TGCGGGCCGTGCGGTGGGTTTTCATTGTCACCGCCAAAACAGTGAGATTTCCCCACCTTTTAATGGGTTTTCCCCAACTTTCTTTTCCCCCAGGGCTTTAACCGTGGATGATGCAAGTCCTAAGGGGAGCCCGAGGGAAGGCCGTGGGTGAGGGCTCCTGGGGGTCAGCCTGCTCTTTTCAGGAGAGCCCCGGGCCCCGAGCAGGGGCAGAAGCCCCCCAGAAACCTCAGAGACATTTTTGTCTCAGAGCAGGCCTCGTTCTTCAAAGGGCTTTGAAACCCGCGTTACCTTTAAAACCCAGGAGATGCCGCCGGCACCGCCTGTTCGCGGGGAATTACCTGGTGCGCCCATGGCTTCCAGCGGGCGGTCACGGCCCTCGGCAGCCCCGGGGCTGAGGCGCCCAGCCCCGGGCCGGCACAAGCCCACGGGCACTCGTTCCATGGCGCGGGGAGGTTCCAAGGCAGCGGCTTGGCCTCTGGAAATGTGCAACACCTGCCGTGGCAGCCGCAGGGCACCCATCACGGTGCCTGTAGAAATGTCACCTGCACCGGTGTAAAGCTTCAGAGATGCTGGTATTTCAGAGATAAGCAAAATGAAAATACAGGTTTTGTGAAGATAGGGACATGCTCTTTCTGGGGGTGATGAGGAGGACGGGATTTAGCACAGCCTGGATGTCTAGAGGCTTGGGCTGTTCTTTGACAGGATGCAAAGGTGTATGTTCTCTGTATGTTCTCTGTGGAGGATGATGCGTGGGCCGGATCAGCAGCAGCACTTTTGTTAGACCAGAGGTACCTGCTGCAATGTGTTTACTCCCTGCCTCTCCAGGTTAGTTCCTGTCCCCACATTCTTGTGGAATATGTCAGTGCAGTTTGCAGTTGCCTTCCGGCTTTCCTAATCCCCCCTCAAGTGTCTCAGGTCACCCCAGTGTACTTCATAGCTCCACTACTGTTTCTTGTTTGGGTTTTGCTTACCTATTTAAACAGAATGTCATGCTTCTGGGTATTGCATAGGACACTTATTAAAGTACTTTATTCTTCTGAAAGCACAGAGCATCTCCCGTGCTGCAGGCTGGCAGTTTTCAGATGGAAGCACTACAAGTCACTAGCTACAGTTTTTTATTTAATACAGTGGGCAGGTCTCAGCAAGGATGCAAAAAGTATACAACTGGGAATTTTCACACCAAATTCTTGCCCATGCAGATCATCCACAAGCCATAAAATATATGGAGATTAACCCTACACAGCATCAGATGATGCATTTTTAGTGGAGAGGGCTTCTGCTGCTATTGTGAAAAGAATACCACCTTTATTCAAGAAAGAATACAAACTTTTGTTGGTGCAGGAAGGGAGAGCAAGATCATCAAGAGAAGGGAAGACACGTTCCAAGCTGCTGAACAAGTGGATGCAAAGCTGACATACCAATTTAAGTGACCAACAGATAATGAGTTCCTTTTGATGGTTTAGCAAAACAGAGGCAGAGTGGAAGTATGACAGTTTGTATCAACTTACCATCCAGGTGTTTTGAGATCTTTCGGAAAAACACATTTCTAGGACTCTTTTACTCTACAGTTGTCTGTGCCAGTAGGCTGTGACCACACCTTTTTTTGACATAAAAAGCTCCTTATGCTAGTAGTACACTCTGAGCATCTGTACTGAACTCTAACAAATATTTTGGGGAAAAAACCCAAGGAAAGCATTTTCAACAAAACTACTGGCAGAGGAACAAAAATAAAATATAAACTGTTATATATTAATTTAGCTAATTCTACTTAAAGGCAACTTTAGGCTGAAGTTGTACTGAAGTTTTCCCATAGATTCTCAGGGACACCAGCCTGCATTAGTTTTAGGAAGGGATGGGAATTGCTTGTAAAAGGAGTTACATAAGATGGCTCTTTGCAATACCAGGGATCTGAGTTCAGTGACTCAGGGGAACCTTCTGGACCTGATGTATCTCTGTGAAGGCTGTAAGATGCTGGCAACAGCCAAACACACAGTGACACTTCATTATTTTAGCAGTGGCCTGCAGTCTGTGAGTGGTTCCATATTTTCTTGCCTGAGCCAGAAGCCTCCTCCTCTCAGTATGAACCCATGCTTCTGTCAACCTTCCTTTCCAGCTCCATTCCTGTTTCTGCTATCTTCATCTTCTGGGCAAATCCCATAGAAGAAACAGAGAAGGATCCTGTTTCTGTACTGGCTTCTCTTTCCTACTTCCTCATCTTTATTACCAGAACAGGAAATGTTAACTTTATTTTACATATATTAACACCCCTGAGGAAGCTATATGTATAGGTGAAGGACAGGATATGGTATGCTGACAGATGACTTCTGAAATCAACTCTGTCTGTGCTTGGGGAACATGATGCTAACAGATGCAGGAACTGGGAGAGGAACATCAAAAGGCTGCCTAGGTAAACAAGTGCACCAATTCCTTCAAAAGCCTTTAACTGACACAAGCACCACGAGAAAGTGGCTAGGGCAGACACATATGCAGGTATCTGGGAGAAAACGAGCAGAAGAGCAGAGGCTTGCAAATGATGGATAGCACATGCACAGGGCAGGAGGCACCTTCCTTTTAGTTGGAAATAAAAGTAACATGAATTGCAGCTGGCATGCTGTAACTGTGGACATTTCTGAAGCCAAGTTTTGTTGAAGATGAGCACAGTCAGCCTTAGATGAGCTTCTCTTATTAATGTCTGTGAAAGGAATTTTGCTCAGCCCAAGCTCTCTTCTGTTTATAAAGTAGTGCAGTGACAGTGTTGCCAGAAGAGACCAGTGGAAATATCTGGTTCACACTGGTCACTGGTCAGTCTGCGTGGAGGAAGAGAATTCACTCTCCTGGGTAGTATCAGCATCTGGAGGGAGGTGAGAAGAACCACTGCCCCCAGGGCTGCTGACCAGAACACTCAGCCTGGGAGACACTTGCTGACTTGAGTTTGAGAAAAGGGCAAGCAGTCATCGATTTCCGAGCTTACACCAGATTTAGCTGGCTTTTGTTGTGTGTGGCTGGTACTAGTTACCAGAGGATTTGTACTGTGTGTTGGAAGAAGAGCCAGCCCTAAAAGCTATTAGAGACAACAGACACAGAAAAGATCCATTCCAGACTGCATCTCAGCTGCCGAACAACTGGATGTGAAGCTGTCATATCCTTTTAGATGATCGACTGATAATGAGTTTCTTTTGATCTGCATGGAGCACAGAGAATTACCTTCAGTGCCTGCCTCTGACTGGCAGGGGGAAGCTTGAATGCAGAGTTTAAGTTTCCAATTCACCAGGAGTTCAGGGGAAAACTGTTTCCATTATTAGAACATAATTTTAGCAAGAAATTAGAACTTTGCTGTTAAGCACACCAATTTCTTTCTTAGTTCTTGAGCTATTTCTTAGTTTATAATGTTTTATTGTCAAGTAGACAATAACAACAGTGCACCGTCTGGAATGGTAAAGCATATGCATAGGTCAAGGAGCTCCCCAAAACTCAGGCTAGTGAAAGACAAAGGCTCTGCTGCAGTTAGCAGCAGGGAAGTGCTTTTGATTTGGATCTAACATGCTGTTTTTATACTGACTGGGAGGAGGGGATAAGGACATGCACAACAAAGTTACTGGAAAAAATATGTGGTCACTGGAACCACCTCAGAGTTACCTGCCTCAGGAAACACACAAAGAAATGGGTAACTGCAGTTAGGAGAAACAGACAGTTGTTTTTTTCCCAGCAGCGAGATGCAAAGAGCAATAGGCAGCTCATGAGCTTGGAAGGTGGAACAAAGGCCTAAGTCCATTTGCTGGGTAGACAACAAAAAAATTTTGCTGTTGATTTTGAGACAGAAAGAATAAAGCCATATAGACTGCTTTAAAAAAAAAAAAAAAAAGCCAACTTCAAAAATACCCTGTATTAGCTCTGACCTAGGTTTGGAGAGTTTAATTGAGAGTTCTGGTGTTTTGGGATGTATGTTCATATGTAAGGAAGGCAGAGGGGCTGTATTTGCCTCCCAGGTTCATATGGTAAGTTCTTAAATTATTGCAGAGAGGTAAAACTGATTCATGCAGTCTTCACTACCTGAAAGCACAGAGTCTGACTGGGGCCGCATATCCAGGGCAGAGTAAGACTGACGAAAGTAATTGTTCTCACTCTTGCACCTTTCTACCCCTTCCCAAAGAAAGGAACCCCCTTCCTCCACTGAAACTGGTGAGCCCATGCTGAGATGGAAATATTTCATGAGAAGGATGGACTGAAGTCAGAACTCAGTTCAAACATGTTCAAGTTCCTAGCAGCATTTAGGTCTAAAACATGGGTCCATTTCTGGGCTTCTGAGCTTTAGACGCAGAAACTGGAATCCGGATCCTCACCGTGCCTTGCACACGTTAAGCCTCCCAGCACTGGTCCAGATAATAGCAAAGAGTCACCATCTGGCTGGATTTTATGGTTTGATGAAGTGCTCAGTTTTAAGGCAAGCACGTGTCTGGCACCTGGGGACTGTGGAGCCCTGATCCCAGTTCTGGCACAGTTTTTCTGTGGCCCTGGGCAAGTCACGTCCTCTTCAGAGGAGGGAATTCATCAAGTGCCCCATGGCCCTGCTGAAATGGCAAAGGGCTGTAAAACAATCCTCAGCTCCAATGGGAAGAGAGGCCGGCTGGAGGGGCTCTCAGCAGTGCTAAGCCAGCTCCCTGCCACAGCCCCAGAGGTGCTTGTGCTGAGACACGGTTCAGGAGGGCTCCTGTGGGAGGGCTGCAAGCTAGAGACCTTGTTTCAAGGCTTATGCTCCCACTCACTAGGGCCATCCTCATCCTCAAGAGCCTCGGGGCAAAGTACAGACACATTTTTAGCCCTTCTAGTATAATTTTGCCAGCTGTGTTACACCAGTCACTGTCAGGCTTTACAGGTGGTCTGAGCAGGGCTTGCAAATCCATGTCAGGTGCACAGCACTTTTCATTAGTTTGCCATTTGTAACCCCAAACCAGTGAAATATTCTTCAGTCTTTATAGGTTTTTAATTATGACGTACTCCAATTTTGCTATAAACCACATATATTTTTCTATTTACCATTAGAAAACATGAGAAAAGACACAGTAATTTCTCATCATCATGAGTCTATGTTTTTCACTGGTTTTCCTCCCTGTTTAAGCAAGAAATAAGGAGTCCAACAAATTAAAAAGCTCTCTTTGCTGCACACTGAAGCTTCTTTGTAAGAAAAACTCTTCACGAGATGTGGGCATTACAAACAAAACCAATTGTGCATAGTGGAAGCCCTTCCTTTACTTTCATCTTAAAATTATTACATCTCAGTATGCCTTTATTTCATAATATATCCTCTTTGAATGCCAAAATTGGCCAGTCTGGTTTCATTTTCCCTTACAGTTTGTTCTTATTTCTATGTTTGGATACATTTACCTTAAAAAAAAAAAAATTAAATACCTGTAAGAGTTATGTAAAAGTTTTGAAGTGAAGCTGTTTCTCTGAACTCTGAACCTAGTGACCTGTTTTGGTGCCTGCTGGACTAGCCAGAAGCCCTGTGCTTTGCTCTCTACCCCATAGCATTCTGCAGCTCAGCCCTGGCTTCATTCTGTTTCTCACAACCAAACAGCAGGGCTGGACATGTACATTATTCACAGCATTTAACCCTTTATCTGCAAAGCAAGTGATAACTTATACTACATGGAGTTAGGCATCTTTTCCAACAGCAGCACACACCTCTAGCTCATATCAGAAAATGGATTGCATCTGGCATTGCAGCTGGGACTGATGCTCAAGACCTGGGCACTATATAGAAGGAATAAAGAAGTTGCAATGGAATGGAAACCTTATGGTACTTTTCTAGGTATAGCTCTTAGACCTAAAGCCTTCAGATTTTGTCAGGTGTTGTTCAGAATATGGTATCTAATTTAGCAGTTAGACAGTGACAGCAGGGTTGATCTGGGCAATACCAGCTCCAGCAGTGCAGCCAGGAGCTGACATAAGACTTTTTTCTGAAGGCATACACAGTATATAAAGGGGGGGGAGGGGAGGCTGTCTGGGAAGAGAATTCAAACGGCTGCAAGGATGAGGCTCACCAGAGGAAAGTAATGTGACAGCTCTGGGGTTCTGTATTTTACTTCATCAGTCCATGCATTATAATTTTTTCCTGACTACACTAAGATTCCTTCAATGAATTGCCACTTTGAGCAACCATATTCCAGGAATCCATAGCCGTTTGTTCTATTTCTGCTGCTGGTTTTGTTATGCTTATTCCATTGCCAAGAGATTACTTGTAGGTGTCAATTATGATGGAATATAGGCTGCCTCCTAGAGACGTAAAAAAATAAGTGTCAGAGTTTCAACCCAGATCTGCACTCAAATAAGCCTCCAGCGTAGACACAGGCTTATCTGAGTGCAGATCTGGCAGCAGTGATGTACAAACACAGCCCATGTAGGTATCACCAGAGCAGCTGATAGTGGGTGACCCTCACATGCTGCCAGACACGTCTAGTTTCTATATTTTACTTGATCCATCATTCTCTTAATGCTGCTCCTTTCTTCCTAAAACTCAGCTATTACAGGATATCCTTCACCCTCAAAAATCCATTAATCCCCATGCTTTCATCAGCTTGAGGTGAATGAGCTGCAAGGTTCCTCCTCAGGGCTGCACACAGCCCTTTTCTCTCAATGAGGTTACTCATGAGCACATTCTTTGTTCCTCGTCCATCTCTGCTGTTACTGCTTCAATTTCCACACGTGCAACATACACATTGCTTAGTCTTTCATGTCCTGCAGCTCTGACCACCCAACCCAGGAGACCACCTGGGAGAGGACTAGGGAGCAAGGATCCCTGTCCTCAGCAGGTTTCCGTGGTGCCCCCCAGCAGCCGTAGCCTTAGAGGCTCACTCCCTCTGCTGGTGCTCCTGAGCCGCAGCTGGGCCATCTCACGCACCAAAGGAGAGGTTGTTCATTCGGTTGAGGCTTTTGGTTAACCTCTTCCTCCAGTGTGGATGATGTCACTCTCTCACTCTCTTAAAACTCTTTTGTAAATAACCCTGAACTGTTTGGATCCTGAAAGAGGTGCTTCAAGAGCTTTTCCAATCCAGTTGTGCTGTGTTGACATCTGTGTTGTCACCAGTCCAATTGCAAGAAAAATGGGGGGAAAAAAGAGAAAGAAAGTAGAATGTATTTCTTCAGGCTTGGTGTTTAAGCCCAAACACAAAAGTTTAAGTTTAAGCATGTCGTGGAAGGCTAAAAAGAAATCTAGTCAGGCTGATAATCATCTAAGCTCAGAGCTAAGAGAACAACAGCAACACGATTGCATGAGCAGTGTCAGGATCAGCAGGATCGTCAGGACCAACACACAAAGTTCAGCCATATGAGGAGCCAAAGAGCATCTCAGGACTTCTACATCATAGGCAGTGCTCTGTATGCTCGCTGACCCAGAGTGCTGCTTTTCACTGAAGGAAGTCTATGCATGTTGAAGTCCTTTGCTTAAAAAGTTAACTGCATGCTTTTCTGAGTAAGGTTTTGTCAGTTTAGAGTACTAAATGATTCTTAGTTTATCCACTGCTCTAGTTCTAGGCCTTAGACCTAATGAAAAAAATATCCAGCTGTTCCCTTTCTAAATCCTTTCAGGTAATTCAAACCTGCTTCACTGTCAGTGAATGATTTGTTGTTCTTCATAGGTTTGATTTTGTTTTGTTCTTAAAATGTTTTGGCTATGCTAATATTTTAAAAAAAGTTCTAGAGTCCTATGACAGCACACTAGGTAATGATCATTACCTAGTGTTTGCAGCCTGTCTTTTCAGGACTTTGAGCCAGTGTATTATCAGATCTGCTACCCTCAGTAGGAATGGAATGGGTATCTGTGTGCTGTATCATGCACTTGCTACATATGCAGTTACCTCCTCCCCTACACTTCATGGAAAATGCGTACATTTAGTTGACAGCATACTACCTGTACAAGCACACCACTGCCGGCACACAAATGCACCTGCATGTTGAAACCTCACTCAAAATGTCTGATCTCAAGCCCTTGAGAAAATAGTTTCATTTCTCTAACATTGACATTATTTTAGAAAATTTTAACACTTTAATGAACTGTTTTAGGAAGAGAAAATGGTTTAGACATTTTAACACCTTACCATCCTTACACAACTGTCAACATATTCAGCCAGTATTATTTAAAACATTTATTACAATGGTTTGGAAAACATTTTTAACCTCTATGAATAAGATGTGTATTTAGCTCTGCTTATGACCTAACCCAGCAAAGACCTTTTCAAACACAAGCATGGGATTTTTTGAAGCGATCCAAGCGCTTTGCTGGACCATGGCCTTATTCCTCAATTCCCACGTGTCCTGTTCATGACTAATCAAGGCTTCAGAACTGCTCCTAGTATATTTCACTGACAGCTTAAAAACAAGGAGGTAAGAAAGATTTCCTACTGTCTTGCACCTCCCTTCACTCAGGTTTTAGAGTTTATTCCTGTTTACCAAAACAACTCCTAGTTAGATATGCTGGATTTTCATATAATTCCTTAAGGTACTTTTTTGCCGTCTTTTTCATCTTGTTCATTCATTGTACTTAGCAAGTTTGAGCCTAGGTATGATGTTCATGGACTGCAGTTCTTGGAATAAGAGTTTACAGGCATAAGGTATGCGCAGAGAAGACACATGACATGAAGATTTGCAGTAGTGGCACCTAGGGAAACAAACAAAAAGTTAAGAGTTGGTCAGTAACTTCTGCTGAAAAAACCCAATTGCCACTAGCCACTGTTGTTTTATGCATCTGCATTTAAACACTGGCCAGAGTCCTAGAAGCACCAAATGCTTGAGACACATTTTAGTGCTTAAGTCATAGCTTTAAAGTCCTTAAATAATCTGACAGAAATCAACAGGAGCTTAATGTTAAACCTGCACTTTTCTAGGAGGGCAATCACTCAATGCTCAGGAGCTAACAGGACTGACTTCTGCTTCTTCAGCACTTACATAAATGTCAGCAAATTCAGCACTGCACAGTGGCAGAAACAAGGTGAACAAAGCCAAGTGCTTCTGAAAAATGGTTAACGGTCCAATTTCTGTGCTACATGTATGTCACAAAAAGAAGAGTCAGGAAGAAAGGAGGTCTTTAATATGCAATTTCACCCTAAAATGTCTCAAATCATTACACTTCCCAGAAAAGAGGCCCTTCTCATCTTACATCTTTAAACTTTAGTCAGCATAGAAACTCAGTAAAATTGCTTTAACACATATTCTTTGTGCTCTTTGCTCTAATGATCTTAAAATTCAGAGAGAAAGGGATTTTTTTTGTCAAATATATATAACCATGACTATATAAGGAATAAATAGGCTAGTCAGCCAACTTTACAGTATTGCGACACAAATTCAGTGGTGGTAGAAAATATTTCTTATAAAAATCAATTTCCAACCTTCCTATTTCTTTATTCTCCTGTATATTAAATTTTCTGGTTTTGGACAGTTGAGAAAGCCACTCCTTTGGGAACACAGAGTGACTCAGCACTTCCTAATGGTTTAACAAAGCTCCTTTTTTTTTGTTCCTGTGTTTCAAATTTGTATTTCTGCCATAAAGTATTAACAGTCTGCAGATTCAATTAAGGAAGAATTAGCAAAACTCCTGCAGGCTTCCATGGTACAGAATGAGGCTCACAGTCAATACAGGTTTGTAACTACTCCCCTAGTCCATATTTATAAGGACACAACTTCTCTGCTATGAGCACGTCTCGCATCTGATTACACCTCCTAGGGACTGAGGAGCAGAGACTACTCACTGCACCCAGGCTCAAAGCTATACCATTCTGGGCCTGCTTTGTACTTGATGGGGACCACCCAGAAAAGTGCAGTAAGCACAAAACTCCATCAAACAGAGATCACGGAAACAAGTACATGAAAGACCATTTAGTATTAGAATTGACACTAAACTGGTCAGAAAGAGACAACTGTACCATTCAAGGCTGAATCTGGACCAGAAATAAAATTTTTCTTCATGTATAGTTTAAAATGCACATACTACAGAGATCAGAATAACTTATCATCAACAAAGGACCAAATTTTGCTCATTGCATTCAGTGCAGTTCTGCTCCTAAGCACCTGTGCAACAGCTAAGTTGGAAAATCTGCATAAACACAGTAAATCATAGTAAGTTTCAACCACTTTTTCTACAGGGATAAATTCTATCACTGGCATAGGAGTCCTTCTCCCCTGTGAAAATGCCAGTTCAGGCCCCAACACTGATCTGCTGTTACCATCTTGCAGAAAAAAGTACCCAGGGGCTAGTCCTTGTCTGAGAGGAAGGGCTCATCTTCCATAAGACAAGTGCCCTTAATGCCAGCCACAAACAATGTTTCTAAAAGGTTTCTTGCAGCAATGTCTTATTAATGCCTGAGTCACTGAAAAGGCCCATTTGGAAGTTTCTCTTAATGAGTTCGTCTCTACTGTGATGCTCATTAGAGGGCTACTTACCTCAGATACTGGTAGACAGTATAAAATTTAGCAGAAGCTCTCTTATTGATTACTCTCACACATCAGACAGCTTTTCATAGAATCAGATTGCAAGAATGTCTGGCTCTGTCTGAGACAGTAACTTCTTTCACAATTATTTAAGGAGTTACTTAACTTTGCTACAAACTTCAAAAAATTTAATTGTATTAGCAACACCTTAAAAATAAAATGTAGTATTACTTCTGAAGTTCAAATTCCTTATTTTCTTCAAGGTACTTTCACTTCCTGTGGACTCTGAAAATCTTCAAGAACTGCTCTGAAAGTCAAGGTCTTATTGAAAAAATAACTGAGCTACACCTGCAAGTGAGATTTTTTAAGGGCAATGCTTTACAGAGTTAGAAGTGGTTGGTTCTATGACTTATGGCATGTCCTTCCTTTCACGTTACTTCCTACAATTGTTATTTGCATTGCAGTAGTTTTAAGAGACCTGGCTCAGAAAAAAGCCTCCCTTCTTACATACACTGAACACACCCTCAAGAGAAAGAGGACTTTCAAAGGGTTATGGCACAAGAGCCAGCAGGACCATGCCCAGCTGAAAATCACCAATTTCAGGATGCCCAGAGAAGGGCTCATCTCTCGTCTGGATTATATGTGTTTACCCACCTCTGTCTGAACATCTGCTTCCCGAGGAGCAGAGCTGCTGCTGCTGTGAGCAGACAAAGGTGGTGCTTGGTTTCTGGCCAGAAGCCACATGCTTCAGAAGAAAGGTCTGACCAAGGGCAGAAACAGTAGCTGTCACCATTACACATCTAGAAACTGAGAATACACCTTCCTTTCCTACTTCATTACATCATGGAAAAATCACTCTTGAGACACTGAAGTGAATAAAGTCCAATTTCCTGCCCCTCCCAGTAAATTGATGCTGACATCCAAGACATGACAAGTTTCCAACTGTGTTTTTTTGAGGTTTAGAAATTAATCTTTCTCCTCCTCCTTCTAATTCTCTATCTTTCCCAACATAAATATTAGAGTACCTTGTAACTTGAATTTGCACCATTTATTTTTTCTTCACTTAGTCATGGGATTTCAGGTCACCTATTTTTGCAAAGCTTGCAAGAACATTGTACCTCAAACTCCTATTGGTCTCACAAGTCTGTTTTCTGCTTGCCTAAAACAAAACCAGGTCAAATCAAAACATCTCCCTCAGAGACCTCTAAGACTATAAAGAGAAGTCTGTTTATCTTCCAATAACAATAATAGTGGGTATTTTCAGCATGCTACAGGACAACTTTAAATCTAACATCTCAAAATTGCTGGAGAGAAGAGACAGAGCAAAACCAAGTGTGTTACATGTGGTGAGTTCCACACAGCTTTGATATTTAGTTTTATGCTTCCCCTACATGAAAAACCAGTTTGTTTTCAGGAGACCAACTCAGTACTGTGTTAGGTCTCAGAGTAAACCAGCAAGATCATTACATTAGCCAGTCTAGAGAGAAGTTTCCTAGAGACAAGGCATTCAGGCAGAAGCCAACTGAATTTCCAAACAGGCAGCTGCTCGACTCTCAAGCTCCAACATGGGATCAGTGCACTTGCCTGATGCTTTGAGGAGGAACTCCTTGTTTCACAAGATTACAAAGCAAAAGGCATCTGGGAGGGGGACAGCCAAGAAAACCAAATGCATGGGATTATGAACACCATAGCTAGAGAACAAGAAAGCAGGGGATATTGCTTTCTTCTCGTATTCTTCTGTGCCCACTCTCACTCTTCAGCCTTGTCAGGTGCAACATGGGATTGTAGCAGGAAGATGTGTGACTAGCCCAGCCAGTATCCTCATTTCTGCTGGCAGAACCGTCAACTACATTGACAGTGCTGTTCTCCCCTTTTCAAAACACAGATATATATGGGATTGGGTGCTTAGCAGTCCCCTGCAAGGGTGGGACGGAAGGTCAGCAGACAGACTGAAGGGAACAGCCTGGGTGTGGAAGAGAACACCTGTGTCCCCACAACAGGAGCGATCCCTGGCCCACTGACTACACACTCAATTCAGTCCTAACTTCAATCAGACCACAATAAAGAACCATACCCTGTCACCAGTTTTCCAAATTCCAATTTTGAACTTTTTAAATGAAGTGCATGAGATTGTTAATTGGTGTCTGTGAGTTCTTGAAAACTGAGAAGCACTGCAACTAAGGGTAAGGTTCTGTTACACAGAGACACTTGACAACTTACCATCCAGAGTACCCTAGCAAGCCACACTGGCCACAAACATCCACTTCGAAGGCATCACTTGAAATCATCAGTCTCTCCAACAAAAGCATGCTGGCTCCATAACCTATCAAACAATCCCGTTCCATCTCTCCAAGACGTAAACCACCATCACGGGATCGACCTTCAGTGGGTTGCCTTTGAAAGAAACGTTTGAGAAATGTAGTAAGTACTGCAAAACATACATTCCATGACTCTAGGCTGTCTTCAAACTGTAGGAACAACACAGGGTTCACGGACTTTACAAACCAGAGCTGCTGATCTCACAAATGTGTTGCTCCTGTACCTGCAGTATGATGCAGTTCTGGAAGTGGCAACTGCAGCACCAGGCCACAGCTCTTTACCTCTCAGAATGAGTAAGTGAAAACAAAAAGATTTCTAAGATATCCAAGACAATCTGGACACAGATTTGGCACTCTTTCTTGATGAGACATTTCTTTGTAGCTAACAAAAATGAAACAATATTCAGCAGTTAATGAATCAATCATCAACCTAATGCTTCAGCTGAACCACAGCTAAGATTAATTTCTAAAATAAAGATGGTTTTTATCTGTGCAAGAACACCACAATAAGTCATCAAACGGGTAGTACACATATTGCTAACTCATGACTGAAATGGTATTTTTTTAAAAGTAACATTTATCTAGTTTATTTTTTCATATATGATTCATTTTTGTGTTCCGTAGGTTCCTCTACACAAGTCAAACTCTTATTTATTGTCTGGGGAGACTTCCTGTCCTTATGGTGCTAGAGGAAAATTTTAATAAAGCAATCAAATATACATTAAAGATTTTGAAGTAAAAAATAAGGTACTGTATATAATCTAACATTAAGATTGCACAACACAATCTTTTTGTTAGACATAATCAAAACTTTTAACCTCTTGTTTGTCATTCTGCAATTTCATAGTATCAGTTCTACTCTCATGTACCAGCACAATGATGTAGTACTTATGCTGGAAATATCAGAGCAAACTATGAAGCAAAAGCAATCCTGATTTTCTACAGCACTAATATACTGCATGCATTTTAATGAATATTTCCATCTTAGTATATTCCCTGAAACATGACAGCAAAGAGAAGGAACTTAAAGTAAGTTACTGAGCTTCACTGCTCCCTGAAACCTCATGCTTATGTGCTGTTTCTGACACTTGTAGCAGTGTAATCCACCTAAAATATTCAATGATAGATCTGGCCCATTACTTTTGGAGTATATTTTGTTTCTATTATTTCTAACAACTGAATTTGTTAAGCTTACTAAAGATAATAAAAATAAGATTTTGACAACTTGCTGCAAATCACAGGAAAGAATTTATAAAAGCCTTCAACATTTAATAATCTTTTGTAACATGTAAAAACTAACTTAATTACCAGACCAAAATACCTTCTAAAGATGCAAGTTGTATTTGTTTTTAGGGGCAAGTAGTTTCTCTTACTCTGACCACACTGGAACCTTGAAACGAATCTGCTTGTAATTCAAATTGTCCTTTTCATTCATATAACCTTCTGCTTTTCCCACTGCTGGGAGAATGGATAGAAGTTGTTTACATCCTGATTAAACTCCCCAGGGCCCCCTCCCCAGATGATGGCACCATCACTGTTCAGATGCTGTTTTAAAGGCTAACCCTGTGGTGAATGCAGTTTCTCTTGTGAAGTGCCAAGAGGCAGATTTTAAAAGCAGTTTGGACCTCCAAGGAATCAAGCATTTGCTACAGTACTCGAAGTGCCTGAGTTGTTTTTATGAACTGATTTCTATAATATTATTTAATACACAAGTCTGCTTTCAGAGGTTTCAACTGGTGCTGTTGTTTAGGACAAAATAGTTATACAAATGTGAGCCCAAATAAAGTCTCATGCCAATTACGGCAGGATAAAACCTCTGGAAGTAATATGGGGCCTCAACTCCATGCCTAAACAGGCCATGGGTCTTCCAACAGCTACAGGGTGAACATTTTTAAGGCAGATGAAATTCCATGAAAAAAATTACAAAAAGCTCCCCAAACAAAAACATCCAACTTGCACCTTTAGCTGTTAAGTTTCACTCCCACTGTCTATGACCTCATTGAAAGAAAACAAAACAAAATTCTGCCTACCTAAAAAGTCGTCTTCTCTAAAGTACCAAAAATTTCAATACTGAGATTGAGCCTTTGAAATGAGTCTATCTTCTGCTTCCTAAGATTATCAGATTCTTCTTCCAGCTCACAAAAGTTTTAAAATTCCTCATATAAAAAGTTGTTTAAAATGCTAAAACAATACTTGCAAAGCATATGTACTTCCCCTTTCCCACTATACACATGTACACTGCAGCTGTTGCCCTGGGTGACTAACTTCTTTCTTTATCCTAAATATAACATCAGAAAACAAAGCAGACTCTTGAAAATAAGACTGGGAATATAATGAAAAAGAGATATTTTTAGTATTAAGAAAATATGTAAGTTCCTAAAATTCTCAAATGCTAAATAAAATGCAGTGATGCTTTAAATAAAAAAAAAAAAAGTGATCTTCATTCTATTTAACTGTTGCTTTTAGAATAAAAAAGCATAAAATAATTAACTTCAGTGTTTTTAAGCACATTAATAATTTATTGGCATTAATACTGCATTTTCTGCAAGAACAGTGGGTCCAGCTGAACAGTCTTATTCCTTGTTTCACTGGCCAGTGGGGGAAATAAGTCTGCCTCCACGGTCTCAGCAGATCTCCCTTGTGCCTGCTAGGGAAAACAAGTGACTAGTTTGAATGGAGTTGTTTGCTGAAACACTCATCTCCAAGAAGTGGAACATTACTTAAAAGCCCTGCCTGAAGGAGGAGGGCATCCCATGCTGGCAGAGCCCTGAGCGTTGTTTGTCCCATTGCTCCCCTGCAGCACAACAGGACCTGGCACATCTGACATGTCCAAAGACACACAGGTGGCAGCTCTGACAACGTCCATCAAAACAACTCTGCATGCAGAAAGCTTACATTGCTCTCTTGTAAGAAAAATTAAAAGCAGGTTATCTATTAAAAAGATTCAGCAGGACTGGGTATCTGAGCAACACCACATATAGAACTGTCTTACACACTAATTGTTAACTACCCATGGCATTGAAATTAAGGATTGCATTTAATTTCCATTACCAGTCCAGAGGGCATCCTGGTGGGTTTGACCATGTTGACAACGAGTGCAGCTTAGAAATTCTGCAAAGTCTTGTTTTAATCAGAACAATAACTAGCATCAGTGATGATCAAGAAGCTCAAGAATTCTGCCTTATTCCAGATGGAAATACAACTTTGCTCTGTCACTTAGGGTACATTTGATATATAATAAAATGCATTTCAAGACCATGACAGCCAAATTCTACGTTGGAAGCTGTTACAGGATTACTTTTAAAATCAAAAAAGAATGTTAGATGCAATCTACTCTCCAGGAAGTGCAGTGGATGATAAAACAATAGTGAATATGAAAGCTGGCAATGCCGACTCTCTCAGCAGAGCAATGGCAGTAACAAATGTTTAATTATTTCAGGAGAAAAAAGAAAATTCCTGAAAGACTAGTCAAGAGGCAGCATAAATTGAACATCCACTAGCTTTCCTGGAAGTCAAATAAGGAGCCCTAATTAAATAGTATGATGCTACTGACTGAACAAAGAATTTGCAGAAAGGAAGGGATGGGGGAAATCACACAACCTTCATCTTTACATATAAACATTACATTGACTTGGTATTTAGGCTTCATTTAAATTCAGTGTCTCTGAACAGCTGAGAAGTTGGGGAGGCAATACAAAGGCAGATCAAGCGATTTGGGTATGCCAGGAGTTCTAGTAAATCCTGTGTACTGTTAGCTAAGATAAAGAGTTTTCACTTTCATGTGAAGGACCAATATAATGCTTAACGCACTGAAGAACAGAAAATGGGGCAGACAACCTATTATTTGGGAATATCATTTATGTTCACATAGGCAAGCAGCTGTGGTTGTGCTACACCTCCTTTTCTCAATGTGGTTGATGAAAAAGTTCAGACAAGAGTTACAAAATCTTTTCACGATTTCTTTCCCAGTTCAACCATTGATATTTATTTCCATGGAAAGCACAAGTTTGTCCTATAGACAGTGTGAGGTTGGAAAGCAAAAAGGCATAGAAAATAAGCAATGAAAAGCCAAAGAGGAAGACACCTCTGTATCAAGTACAGCAGAGACCTGCCCCTCCTTTCTCTAACAGCACATCAATAGGTAGAAGCTGCACTTAGTAAGAGCTGTTGTGCAGCCAGGCAAAGCAAGAGTGGTGGATCCTCACACGATCAGAGGCATAAAAATAAATGAAGAATTAAGAATACAAACCATACTTGTTATCGGGAAGAGTAAGGGACAGACATGACTGTGCTTACATCTTACAAACAGTACAAAGATTGCTATGGTCAGAATCAGTGCATGTTTTCAGTGGTCAAAAAGAAAAATGCCACCATGCAGGAGGTGAGGTATAAGGGCCTACAGAATAGCCCAGAGAGACTGGCAAAACACATTTGGAATAATCTTCTAAGATTAGCTGGAATTTAATTTTCTGGCAAGTTTCAGTAAATAATCCTATTGTGATGGAGAGAGGTGACACCTTAGAAGCATCCCCAAAGCAAAGCCTGTGCCACTGAACTCTTTTTAGTGAGCAAAGAAAATCAGAAACTTTGAACATGAGTGCAAGGAGACACAGACCTTGGTTTTAAGGAGAAAAAGTAAGTAGCACCAGTAAAACCAGGAGGCTTCAATTTCCCCAAAGGGCTTCTCAAAGTATGTTGAAACATTAGACCTTACTTTAAAATTTCTTCCTTCTACTCATAACTGATTTTGTTAAAGAAAAATACCTACAATATGAGCTAAAATACCTAACAAACCTCTTAAAATACTTATGATATGAGCAATTTGACAGGAAGGGCCCAGAGTGTGTACTGTGAATCAGAGATTATGTTTTTACCAGCTGCTAGCAGAAGTTTGAGAAGCTCAAACTTCAAAACTCAAGTTTTGAACCACATAGCCTTCAGAGCAACCTCCTGCCACTGTCAGTTTTTGTCTGCAACAACATAATTACAGTTTGGAGCATTTCATGCCAAGTATCTCAAAGCAAAAAAGCTTAATTTTGCAGCAATCAGTCAGCTGGGCATACTTCTGCATGTACACAAGAATTTTGTGCTTAGCTTGTAATAATACCTGGTGAGCACTGCTCTGGGTCCTCGAGCTCTTGCATGCATTTTATCCAACACCATGTGCTTCAGTTTCTGGTAATACACAGGACCAAAATAGATATATGCTTCCAAAGGCTCCCTGAAAGAATAAAAAGCAAAGCAAAACTGACAACCACAGTTAGCACACATCTACCTTAAGAGAGGCAAGGGTGTCATGTACAGGAGAAATGTGAAACAATTTGGAAAAAAATTAATCCTAGAAAAATGTGTTTGGGCTTTCTTTCTGGGCAGCCAGTCTGAAACCTCTTCCAGGGAAATCTTCTGAACACAGGGGCAGCACGCTGCCAGCACCACATGCTGCTGTCTCCACTGCAGCAAGGAACAAGCTCCTGAACTCTGGTCTTATGTTGTGCAGACATGCTGCTACAGCTGCAGGTACCTGTGTCAGCTGTTACATGGTATGCCCCTCCTCTGTATCTGTACAGAGTGTTTCAATAGTGTCATCAGTAGCCAGGAAGGACTGTAATTGTCTCAGACTCTGAAAATTGACTTAGGGTATTCTGTTTACATTCCTTCATAAAGGTACGCATATATGTAAGCAAATACATCCAGCATAATGCTCAAAACATCCTTTTTGTAGGAGCACTTTAAGAAATTTGCATTTGCAAGAATCGCTGAACACTGGCACGCTGTGAGCCTGACAGTGTCCACATGCACTAATTCTCCCAGCACAGCACCCTGAGGCACAGCCCAAGGCCCAGATGGGTGAGAGCCCTCCTGATGTGCATCAGCCCTAGCAGCACTGCCCAGCAGCTGCATCCAGGGGACAAAGACTGCTGCCCTGGCTGGCACTGGGGGCTGAGATGAGCTGGGTAAAGGGCTCTTGAGAACTGTATTTAGGCACTTTCATCAGCTTGAGAACATCTGTGAGCAGTACAGAGGGTGGTACTCCATTCTGTGAGCTGGAGTATGGCTAAAGATTTCTGTGTTTAAAACACCCCCAACTGTAAGAAGAGTGTAAACGCCTAAGGATCAGAAAGCAACCAGTGAAAAGCACTCCTTCGTTTCCCAGCTAGCACCTTCACCCAGCTATCACCTACAGCACTAAGAATGACCAGAGTTAACACTGACAGACTCAGCATGGCCACCGATTTGTTTGAGAAAAAAAAAAAAAAAAGTAAAATGCAATGTAAAAACAAGCAAGAGACAACAGTATTATACCCTTCAGAGTCATTACTGACATTATGCAGTGTTATTCCAAAAGTTGACTATTGAAGAAAATAATAAAACTTCATTAGACATTTGAAATCTGCAAGCTTTCACATTCTTATGAAATCTGCCTTCAAATTTCATAACAAACAGATTAAGCCTGTGTAATTTGCCTGGAAAAAAGTATCAGTATCCTTAAACAAAGTCTCTAAATAGGGCACTTCAAAGTTGAAGTTCAGGGGATGGGGGATTTTTATTCTCCCTAGGAAACATGATTAGTCAGGTTTTTTTAAAAGCCACCATGGCATACAAACAGGAAGTGTTTCAAGCACCAGGATACTTGACATACAATTTATGGAATATGGAGTGAATAAGGAAAATAAAATTGTATCTCTGAAACAAAAAGAGAAGCAACTTATGGAATAAGTTGGTAGGAAAGGCAATTAAAATAAAAAGTATATTAAGAAAACTTGCAAAAGAGATCTAAACTTGCTTCTTGAGAAGAAGGGGACTGGAAGGATAATAAAAATAGCAGGAAGGTAGGATTAAGATACATTTTGGAAGGGCAGGCATGTGAAGCCATATGGCCTTTTCCTGTTCCTAAACTATCTTATGTTCTTTGAACTCTGTGTCTCAGAAGCCAGTCTGATCAACACAGCAGGAAGTTTGCAGATTAGAGTATTATGCCAGACTGAAACATTGTGTAATCGAAAGAAAAAAAAAAAGGAAAAAGGAAAAAAGAGCACACACAAAATATTCCCAAGAACAGATGCTTGCCTCCAAATCCATATTTACAGTACTATTAAAGTCAACATGAAAATGCTTATCTGATTCCAAACATATGCAACACTTTCTGCTGACAGAAATCTGACATTTTTTCTATCTCTCACAAGAAAGCCTTGGTTTTAAGGTTTTTTTTTTTCTGCCAGGCAGTAAAACTTCAGAAATTTTCATATGTACCACACGGGCCATTCCCATTACAGCCACACATACACTAGCAATTTTTAAAATGTGGAACCACAAAATGCTTCTAAGAAAAAAAAACAAAAACGCACCCTACTCTTCAGCCTCTTTTCTCAATCTCACAGAGCAGTTTTCAAACAAGAGAAACTTCCCAAGCTCTGAGACATGAAAAGATTTTTCAGATGTGCCTCAACAGGATTTCCCCACTCTCCTGAAACACCTAAATCTAAAGAGCAGATTCTTACCCAGTGATCCCAGATGTTACATAGTCCTTCCCTAGGTAGTTATAACCATGGCGAATAAGATCTTCACACACATCCTTAACTTTACTGCCGCCAAAAGCCGTTCCATAGTGAAATCTGCCATCGAGCACCCCAGCCTTTCCAGCCAGGAGTTCAATCAGCTTTCCTACCTGTGAAAGAAAAGCAGAATTAGCAGCCTGGCCATTGGGACGGGCACATTGCAGGATTGCTCACAGCACAGGTTAGTCAGAGAAAGTGTCCCAGATGGCAGCCTGGGCTATCGCATGCAACAGGAGGAGTGGAAGAAGCCCAAGAGCCAGGAATACTCCTGTGTGAAGGGGAAAACTGGACTCATCACAGGGTCTGGGAACACCCTTAAGGTACTAAGTCAAGCAGTTCCACTTCTTCCAGTTATCTGAAAAATGGGCAGCATCCGTGTGGCCTTCTGCTGTGGGAAACAGCCATGGAGACTGATTCGCTGCAGTGCAGCAGGGGGAACAGAAGGGAAGATGCTAACAAAGGAAGAAAGATCAGAGGCTGTATGAAGGAAGCTCTGAGGTCCCACCAAAAGGCCAGGCAGTGAGGTGTTTAACAGGCAGTGACTCTGCAGCACAGGTGCAAGACTCGCCTCAGTTCCAGGGAGGTGTGTATAAGTTAAGAAGTTTTACAGGTCTCGATCTATAATTGAAGCTCCTCTCCAACCTTCACCTCACAGCCTGCCCCAGCCACATCAGTGGGCACAGGCAACAGGGAAAGAAGAACAATACATTTTCAAACACAAAGGGTGCAAGTGAAGTATTCAGTAGCATCCCTCTTAGCTTAACACAGAACAAAATGGAAATGATGCACAAAGAGCCTGCAACCCCGCTCCTTTTACAGTAGGATGTTTCAAAATTGTGAAACAGAGGGCTGACTACTCAGAGCAGAGCAAGTGCTGGCATGATGACTGGAGAATATGCTCAGTGAAATCACACTTCAAGCTTTTTTGTCTCTAGTGGCTGACCCCCTTCTCTCTCCCTCTTGGGGGACAGTGTGGTGTGAATGGAGCAGCCCCACTCACCGTCATACGCGATGGGAAGCCATGAGGGTTCATTATGATATCTGGGCAGATCCCTGTATCGCAAAACGGCATGTCCTCCTGAGGAACAATCAGTCCACACACCCCTGCAGAAGAGAAAACATTTCAATTCACAAAACAGCAAACCACCAGCAGGGCTGACGCTCATCACCAGATTTTCTTTAGTGTTTTCCTCCTCCTCCCTTTCTCATGGATCACTTTTTACCCAGACTCATTACCATGACCAGTGCTCCCAACCTGCAGACTAGAAGAGAGCCCTTGTGACAGGGCTGGCAAAATTAGCATACCCTTATATAATGTCCCCAGTGATTTGTGAGTTAGCAAATTAGGGAAGAAAGCTTTGGATCCTATTTTCAGAAGCAACTAGAAACTTCTGTCCAATCAGACTGGAATATCCCAAGAGAGACACAGTTTTTAAAGCTGATGCTATAATTTCCTGAAAGAAAAAAATTCAGAAATTTGGCCTCAAGTTATGCCTTTGGACACACAGAATTATTATTGATTTTATTTATCATATGTATCTTTGCTAAATACTGTCAATAAAAACAAATCAAATGGGACTTTGACAGGGATAAGTAGGGGAAAATAAATAAAAAATAACAAAGATTTTTTCAGGTAACATCTGTTTGCTGAGCAAAGAATGCTGTCAATGAATTACAAAGTGCAATCCATTCCACAGGCTGCTTTTATTTTGTCAGTCCATGAACACAACCTGTCCCTTTAAAAGTTTTGGAAGCTTTTTTCACTCTCTATCAGTATTGGATATAAAACAAAGAAAATCCTCAAAAACCCTAAAAATATTGCAGAAAGAATAAACAGAAACATGAAAACTCATTTTAAATATCCATCATGCATCTCAAAATTTTCCTTCCAACCCTTGTAACTTTCTATAGTGAATTCTGCAGTTCAACATACTGCAGCTATAAGCAATCAAGAGATCTAACATTCAAATTCAGGTGCTAAAATGCAGCTGCTTAAGCCCCTACTCCTTTGAACCAAAGCTACTGTTTCAGCTGGACAATTTCTTCCAGAAGCCCTTAGAGCTGAAAAAGTCTGCAAGCTATTTGAGATCAGCCTGCTGCAACTGTGCCAGAGCATGCTTTGGGAACAGTCCTGGAGTGGAGGGGGCTCCTGGAAGACTGAGGGTACTGGTTACATCCCTAAAAAGGCATCCCCCAACCAGCCAGTTCACAGGGGGATATCGGCGTCTGCTCAGGAGGGAGCTCCTCTTCCACTGTCCAAGCAAGACAGGGATAGGTGTATGGGACAGTAGTTAATAGAATGAGAATGATAAGTATGGGGGAAGGGAGCAGAAAAAAACCGTCTGGGGCAAGGGGGTGTGTGCTGTTGTATTTTGTTTTTAAACCTATTGAAACTAATTTTCATTGTTCTACTGTGATAAATCAATAACATCCTTCCAGCCCTCCCTGCCAAGGAGCAACCATTTGCTGAAAAAAAAAACCAAAACAAAACAACTCAAACCAACCCACTATCTCTTCCTTGCACAGCTTTTTTTTGCCCTAAAATTTTATACATAAATTCTCTGTTACATGTGTATTATTGTGCATGCATTCTGCCTTATTTGCATTAACATCTAAGAAAGCATTAGGTTGCATCTGGACTTCACGGCACCTGTAAGCCAAGAATTAAATCTCAGCTAACTTAAAATTACTTTAGGCTCTGCAAACCTTTTATATGCCAAGCTGGTTCCCATAGCAGACAGCCACTGTGTTGTTTGTTTTGTGTGAAAGTGAATGATAAAAGATCCATGAAATCGACACAGAAAGGCAGAACAGCAGAAAGAACTGAGGGCTCTCCATCATAGCGGCTTCTACCCTCCGCTGACTTGTGTAACAATAGGACCTACACACCCAACTGCAGATCTAACACAGCTGTGCATTTCATTAGATGAAGAGCACTAGTGACACAAGTAAATAATTAACTTATTCTGGTCCGCTGACTGTGGTTATGAGACCAGTCATAGCTGACAGATTTTAATACAAGTTAACACAAAGACAGCATAATGAGCTTAGAAGTTAAAAACAAAATATTTAGACAGAATCCAGAAATGTGAAGCTTACTAGGCCATTTATAAAGTTTCTATTTTACAGAGAGGGGAAAAAAAAGGGAAAAAAGAAAAAAGGGAAAGCTATAAAGCCTCAGTTCTAAGCTTCTGTATTTTAAGAAGCTGCTGAGCCTGTAGCAGATCTACAGCATGTCTGTGTGTATTTAGAGGACAGAGAAGCTTCCTCCTACCCTATGTTTTAAGGAAGTTCATTCAACTGTTAAAAAAGCTGAAATATATCTTTCCTATATACAATGCTACTTCTAAAAGTAAGTAACTGCAATTAATTCAAAATGTAAACTTGATTTTATTTAGCAATTATTATGCAAGCAATTATTGCTTGCTTTCAGAAGCTCTTTAGGAGACTAATGCTCGCAGATCTGCGCTTTAAGCTCCTCAATTTGCTACTTTTTTTTTATTGCAGCAGCAGAGCAGTACCAGGCAAGCCAACAGCTGCAAAAAAGTGACCAAGTGAATTAATCCATATAAGTGGAATTACCACTTGCAACTGGCCAATAAAACAGTAAAGGAGAGGAAGCTGGACTTAAAACAGCCTCAAGTTCCAAACCCTGTTAAAGTATGAACTGCATTTCACAAATGAGCTGCTCGACTACACCCCATACAGTATTCATAAATAAGGCACACTCAAACTAGGAGGCTGTTTTGCTCTGTGGCTCTTACTAGAGATGAGTATTTCTTAATTGTTACTGATTTAGACATCACATGAAAATTGATCCTCAGCATTCATAGAGGACACATGGAATAACTTGGTTTCATTCACTTCCCTTCCTCTCACAATTTTTATATGCTGCATCTGGAATCGAGTAATACAACTTGAGACTAAATTCTATATTGCAGTGAGACTGAATGGCTCTCACCTATACATTCTGGTCTCTCATCTGGGACCAGAATCAAGTACTAACAATCAGAAAAGGCTGCAGACAAAACAAAAACCAAAATCTGTTTTTTAATGTGGATTAACAAGATGGTTATGTGCTTGAGCAAGAAAGCACCTAGCAACTTGCTACATCTAATTTCATTTGAAAAACAAATTAAATTCTAGGGAAAAAAACTTCTCTGTATCTATTTTATAATATGTGACCTTAGAAAGAAAATCAGTGAAAATGCTAAGAAATTCTTTTACAATATCAAAAAGGAAAAAAACCTGGAATAATAAGCATGGCAGCTTAATGCAAGGGTAACAGTTTAAATTAGAGTAACCTTAAATCAGACATCCACAGTGGTTTAACATGCAAGTATAAAACAGCCATAGGCAGTGTTTTTCAATGCTATTGTACGGCAGCCAATAAATGACAATCCCCTGACTATGCACAATGGCCCCCAGCCCCACACACGCTATCTGCATCAATGCTGACAGCATCTCAAACCATGTACCTCCACAAGGCACTGACAGCATAAAGAGCCCCTTGCCCCTGTACTTTTGTCTGAGTTTCTTTTCCTAATCAGGAGAAACTCAGGTTTCCAGAGCTGGTACCTTTCGTGTGGCTGCTTTTACAGTTTGCTGACAAACAGGAGCACAGCCGGACTAAAAGCGCGGTTTGGCGCAGAGGGGGAAGGGGGCGGCCGGGAGGGGGCAGGGACAGAGCACAACACTCTGGGAAAGTTTTTCACCAGGCTACGATAAGGTTCCTTCTATACACACACATGCCAAATTAAAAAAAAAAAAAAAATCATCAAATAAGTCAAAACAACCTAATATAGAAAACTAATTACTAGCAGCAGGAGGGGCATTAGAGAGCAAAGGAGACGACGTGAATAGAAGCAGCAGCAATACCAGTTTCTATCAGCAAGATAAAAAGAAGCGCATTACTAAACGTGCTTGTTTACTCCTTCTAATGATACGGTGGTAAAAGAGCTAAAACTGACTTGAAAGGCGTGTATTTTAGCTTTGCCAGATTTGCCAGAATTTGGAAATACTCTTCAGAAATAAGACAACATCACACAATTAAGCAAAGTTGCAGCAGTAACACAGCACTGTATGTTACGGACAAGTGACAGATTTGCAAAAATTAGTAAGGCTGAACAACGAATGTACAGCTGCTTCAAAACTCTCTAATTACATACTGTGTTGGCTAACTAAGCATAAAAGAAGTCTAGAAGAAAAAAGTGCTGCATCACATAAGCTTTGTTCAATATTGAATCATTCACTGATCTATCATATCACTTGCTACATCCCATTTGACATAGGAGGTAAAGAACAGAATTAAAATTAACAGATAAATAATGCATAAGTAAACTTGATTAGTTTTCTTATTAAAAACATCACTCTAAATGAGAGGAGGTGCTAGAAGACAATACAGTTTGTACACTGCTTTCCCATGAGCTGCTGAATGGTCTGATGTGATAAATTTGCATAGTCTGAAGCACACAAAGAGCTGATTAATTGAAACCCTTACAATGCTTCTGGAAGCAGCTATTGTAAAACAATAACCATAGGAACTTTACAAAATACACATGGCTGAATGAGTCAAGAGCTTAATAAAATGCGTGTTCAGGATAGACTATTTGGAAACAGAATTAGAGATTTTTATTCTGTGCCATAAAATGCTAAATCACGCTAATTTCAGAAGTTCAGTTGAGGATTTACTGAAAAGGTCAGAAGGTTACCTGTTTGCTGCTTGAGATAAAAAATGCTGTAATTTTCTTCTTAAGACAGCAAGCTAAGCAGCGGTTTTGTTAAAAATAAACAGAAAAAAACAGTTTGGGAAGTTTTAATGGCATTCTGACATTTTCTCAAATTCAACTTCTGAAGATAAAAATATGGTAAGAAATCCCTACCTTCCCTGCTGCCTAATAACTACTAATCATATGACATTCCTAGAGTCGATTAAGAGCAAATTCTTTTTAATGCCACTTCAACCATTTAATTACTATAAACCCACTGACGTTCTATTAGAGATAAAGTAGTAATTCTGAATTGTAACATGGGGAAAATTACACAAGTAGCCATTTAAAACTAATATTTTATTTTAAATGTTCTGCTTATCTGTACTGTACAAATGCCCATTAAAAGGAAAAAGATAAGTTGATCTCCACTATGAAGTTAGGAAAGCAGATGGGAGATGCTCAAACTAATAAAAATTTCAAAAAGCAAGCAAGGTCAGACTTTGCTAGATGAGAGGGACTGTCATGAAGTTTATGTGGTTGATAATGCAGTGAATGGATTTTGTTTTGACACTAAAGAACATGGTTCATTTAGGAAAACAAAGACCATCTTTCATGAATTTAAACTTGCTTCCTTGTCTTTAGAGTTGTTTAAGTGCAGATACTTCAGAAAGGTTTAATCCTTTATCTTAGATCTTCAGCTATTAAAAAGCTTCTGTTTGCTAGTTCAAACAATCTCTTGCTTAAATACAGTTTTTCCACTCCTCAGGAATACTGTTCAGTATTGCTGCTTAGTTCTGTGATCTACAGGACCTTTGTTGGAGGTGTTAATCCTTTTTCACATGAGAGACTGAGAAATGTTCTTTCAGAGAAGTGTTATATTGCTTTTTTTCACATCAAAGGAGCCCAACTTTTTCCTCATTGTGACTTGTAGCAAAGCAAGAGGAAATCTGGAAATATAATAATTTACTTTGTATGGAACTCAGATGAAGCTTCTTTAGCTTAACAATCCTTTTGCCTTCTGTGCTTTGAAAAGTGACTTTGCTTGAAGAATACAAGATTAAAACAACAAAATAATTAATCAAAAAAAGTTTTTTTATCCTTCTGGAAAATATATGATACAACATAGTGAGAACAAAGTCGTGCAGTTCAGGATAAATATATAACTACCAGAGAGGACTTATTTGTGAGACACCAGAAGCTCAATAACTTTACAGAGACAGTCCCAGTCCCAAAGATCTTACTGCAACATCCAGTTTAAAGATGAATATGAAAATAAAGCATAATATTTGCATTTCAGAACACAACATGGTGGCCTCATTTGTTTGGGTTTTTTTTTCCTTCTCCCCATATACTTCTTTCTGAGAAGCTCTGAAGGACAGGCAATCTTTTACAGGAAGGAGTCTACTTAAAACACAGACTCACGTGAAAAGAGGGTGTGGTGGACAGGCCAGAAGTGGTGACCCTTGCCAATACCATGTTGACATATGAGAGGAAACAAACAAGGCAGCAAATACAGGCAGTGACATAGATCTGTGTTATTACAGAGGCCTACAAAATCCACCTACATATTTAACGAAAGGCTTTTCTGTAACAAAAGGGTAAAGCTGGTTTGTAAGATTTAATCTGTTGTATCCCAGACGCTTTCTAATTCCTTTACTCTGCTTCCTTCTGCTCCAGTGACAAAACAGAGCTCTGAAATACAAATCAATTTGGAATACAGGAAAAAGACCATCCAGAAGTCTGAGATGTGGTTTGTGCAATCATTTATTTTGCACATATTTAATTATTTAAAACCCACTACTACTACAATTCCAGGAAATCAAATCTCCTCTTCATGCATTCCTTCTAGAAAATAAATATATTCCACAAAAAAGACTGACAATACAGACAGACATATGCTTTTTCTTCTTCTCACTGAACCAAGGTACTTGCTAGTTTAAGATCATTATATGTTCAAATGGCCCTATGGCAGGCTTAAAGCTAACAGTAACAAATTGCACTTGAAGTCGTAATTGCCTACATCCAAACCAAGATGAGAGAATAAATTCAGAGCTAATTAAAAATTCTCTCAATAGAAAAAGTTGAACTGTTAGTATTATGATTTCTGTTTCACGATATTTTTCTGATAAGACTGATCCTTCCCCAGTTTGATGTCAGAGGATGATACTAGATGTAATGTTAAAAAGCTACCAAAGGAGGTTTTCCTTTTCCTTTTCAAGCCTTTTCTCCAGTTCTGCTATTGTCAGTATTGGCTTCTTCATTGTATTGATAAAGTGCAAAACAGTGAACTGCACTGTTCTTGTCAGTTATTTTTTCTTAGTATCTATCAAATGTATCTTCTCCATATTCCTCCTTTCTCCTGTTTACTGTAACATCTTTTTCTATAGTGCACTACAGGGCAGTGAACTGAGAGGTTTACTGCCAGGAAGGCTATGAGTCCTAGTAAAATGTAATAATTTGGAATGTGATCACTCCCCTGATCACAAGGGATTATTACTACAGATTGAGGTATGGGACAGCTACAGGCACATGCCTGCAAACTGTGTAACACAACTGTTGCAATGTTCCCATTCATGTCTCCAAAACCAAGCTGAAAGGGACATTCTAAATAATTGATGGGTTTGGCTTTCTATTAGTATTATTATTATTATAGTCCCAAACACAGATAGAGGGTGATCAGCCATTGTTAACCTGATGCAATGCCAGGCATAATTATGGATGCCCTCAAAGTTTCCTACAGCATTTAAGGATACTGCTTCTCATTACCATGAGATTTCCACAGGTAGTTCCTTGCTCTACATTGTGAGATGTCTTATGTGCATTTTGTCGTATGGAAGTTTCTCAGCACCCTAAAGCCATACTGCAGCCTGCCTGACAGAATTCTCTTTCCTTCTGTCATTCTTCCACTTCCACTTATGGTTCTAACATTTGTGGAGCACTCTTTTTACAACTTTTTGGAGGGATATGAAAAAGGTTCATTTACTTTCTGTTCAGCTATTCCAATTGGTGCACATTAATAGCCCAAACTAGGAGAAAAAACTAACCTACTTAAAATTTTCAGGTAAATCCCTATAAATATTTATCATGATTAATCAAGCAGCTTCTTTAATACAATTTGGAGGCTTTTTAAAAAAATTCTAATAAGAAAATTTTTCCTGCACAGTACTGATTGCATTATTATAAAATAACTTGCCGCTAAAATACTGCATACCACTTATAAGGAGAAGGGTTTAATTAGACAAAGCTGAAACTGTATCAAGAAATAATCATTGCTCTAACAGTGCTCCTATGTTTTTAAGCACTGTACAACTTCATTGTGTATGAGGCTGAAAAAGTATTAGAAAGAGAATCTACACAAAATCTTCCTGAAGGAGGATCTTCCCTGAGAAAAGGAAGAATGGGGCAGCTGAACATTCCAATTGCTCAACTCCTCCTGGTTGCCTCTGAAGCTCTTCCTCCCCTCACTTATCATAACTAAACTATAAGGCTGCAGTGCAAGAACTAGACTCAGTTTTATAAGGAAAGTCAAGTATATCATGCTGCTTCTTTACTTTTTGAAACCTTCAACAGTACTGATTTCCAAATCACTTGGGAACTCAGTGGGAATAGCTTTGTATTTTTAGATCAAAAACCATCTTTAAAATACAATCAGGAAAAACATTTCAATGCTTATCAGAAGAGTTTCTTTCCCTTAGTAACAACAGAAACAATGGAAGTATTTCCTGAGAATACAGAGTTTCAAAAACCAGTTTTGTGGGTGTGTGGAAAGACACAGTGGAATCAGGGGATCTTGCAGAGAGTTGGATGTACTGAGAAAGGCTGTGTTGACTATTCCTTACATATAACACACAAACTTGAGGCAGTATCTGGTAACAGCTGTCACTGTGATCAACTACTGCCTTCTGCACCCATTTCACCTCTTCTGATTGACAGGTCTGCTGTAGGTAGATGTCCTCATCCCCTAACCTGGACACCACAGAAATGTGGATTACAGTGGTTAGCTCTGCATCTCATGACAGGGATGCAGCCTTTCACTTCAGTTATACCTGCGAGGAGTTATTAGGACAGAACTGCAAGGGGCGTAGGGACTGCAATGGAAAGGATTTGGTAACATCAACCTCTTTACCTTTCCCTCACATCTGACAAGAGACCAAGCAATGTTCTCAAGCCAAAATAAGACCTAAAAATGTAACAAGATTACAAAACTCAGGTAAGAGCACGGCACATACACTAACACAGGTCATGCTTCAAATACTATAAATCTTGATTTTCTAAGTGTACAGAATGATGAGAACATATCAAAACCTGTTCCACACTGACACCAATGGAAACAAAACATGCTTTCAAGTTGGTTACAGTCAGGCTGTTTTCAGTCACTTCTTTCTTAACACCTGCTGTACACTTTCCAACTCTTTGAGATTCAGAGGATGATCTGATACTCATATTTGTTTACATTCAGGTCAAAGGGAGTTCACTGATGTTTTTCAGCAGATATAGAAGTAGGTTCCTGATTTTAATTTTCCTAGTAACACTAAAATTTGAGAACTACATGCCACCAAGCAGCTTTCGAGTGGGCACTCATTTTCAAGTTTTGGTCTGAAGATCCAGAGCTGCTCCAGATCATGTCCCAGGTATATTTTTAAAAACATTCCCTTTCTTTCTGCTCTTTGCCGGTGCACCCCTAGTTGTGTTCCTGATTTGCTTCCCTTTTACACCATGTCTCTGAGTTCTCTACCTGCAGTCTTGTTTTTAGAGCAGAATGTCTGCACAGACGTGGAAACTTCCCATTTCATCTCTCTTCTTTTCTGTCCAACCTCTCCAATCTACGACAATCCGCTGACAAATCTATCACCTAAATCCAAATTGTGACTTCAAAAAAAAAAACCCAACCAAACCTCAAAATCTCTGTACTTGTTTAAACTGGGGGCAACTACTCTATTTTCCAGATTCATAGATCAACCAAGAGTTGTTTTTGCTAACACATTTTTGTTTCAGAAACATCATTGCTAAATTAGATGAACTTAGATACGGCCTTCTACCACTGTAATCATAAAAGATCTGAACCAATCAATGAAAACATACATTATGTACATATAGTAGGGACATAAAACAAGAATTTATTTTTATTAGAGGGTCCTTTACCTTTCTGCCCATGACGACTGCTAAATTTATCTCCAATTTCTGGGCGTCTGGTTTGCCTAAGCAACATTTTGATCAAGAAAGCATCCTCTGCATTTGATGAAATCATTACTTTTTCAATGTAAGAATCAGTGGCACCTTTGTACCTAGTAAAAGAAGCCAAAACACTGGTTTTACTTCTATGAACCAAACACAAGTTACAGACAACTATCTGTCTCTTGGTAAGCTCCTGACCAAACTGTAATCTTTAGGGAACTTATATATGAGGAAAAAGGACTTTATATTTACATATATATTTACATACAAGTTCTAGAGTACAGCATGCTTCTGGAAAAGGAAAGTTTTAAGAGTTGCAATAGAAACTAACAGAGAATTAAGCTGAACTTGTAAAGGACAAGGTATGGGGCTTTTTCACATGGGCTCTTCTTGACAGCAAAAGCTTCCTCATCTATTACCAATTCCTTGATCTTCAATTAAACAAACAACAGCCAAATATAGTTATAGTTGAAGAAGATAGTTTTCTAGAAGTTAATATTTTTTCAGACCACTTTCCTTCATGTAATCTGCCCAGCTCTGAAGTTATATTGCAACATACGTTACTGGCACATCTTTGTACTGTGGCTGCTGAGGCACACTGCTTCCTTCCAGAGGTGTCTGGGTCACAGTTGGCATAGATTTGTTCACAAGAACTTGCTTATTTTCTACTTTTTCACCTACAGAGAAGGAGAAGAAAAAGCTACATGAAAATGTATCTGATTGTGTTAGAAATACATTTTAAGCTTTAAAAAAAAAAAAAAAAAAAAAAAGTGGGGAAGACAAACTGGAAGGAACATGCCCAAGAAGTACGCTCTGCTGTTTTACTCAATATTGAATGGTAAGGGAATCACTAAACCAGTTTTCTTTGGGAAACCAAAGCAGAACAGCTTGCATGCTGGGTGCACTATGAGAACAGCTATTCAACATCCCCTGGATCAGAAGTCTGCACAAAAGCATCTGAAGTCATATGCTCCAAGTATGGAGAAAATTAACAGGGAACACTTTGTCATGATTGAACTGACAAATTTTAGAAATTCACACCTAAATTTGGGACAGTCCATCATTCCACAATGAGCTGTGCAAAACTACTGTCAGTGTCCTAGTATTTACATATTTCCATTGATACTGGTGTCATATACAGCTTCTCCCTGCTCCATTCCCTTATCCTGCCCTTTACATTGAAAACCAGATCAGGAGGATGCCCAATGATACAACTGCACACCAAGAATATACCTCCCACCTCCTCCACTAAATCACACTGATCTTCAGCCTGTGTCTCTTCTGTCCACATGAACTATCTCAAATAGGTTTTCACCTACATGCTGAGTCTCAGTATGGAGACCAGCCCAGTCCCATCTATCCTAATACTTCAGAAGATTCTTGCCTTTTTATTCTTAATTAACTTTGAAAGCTCCATTGTGATGTGTTAAGGAGCAAAATTGACCCAATTGTGTACTATAATGGAATTAAGTTTAATGCCCTTTAAAACACCTTTCTTACTAGATCTTAGCAGATCTATTAAGCCATTTTCTAACTAAAGGATGACAGTATGGGAGGATTCTTTCTCAAATCTATTACCACTGGAAATTTACACACTTCTCCTTGCATTTCTGTTTATTTTTCTTATCTCCAAACATCCTTCTAAAGTGTTAAAACCATAAGGTTTTACTTCCTCAAATAACTGCATTAGCTGACATCTTGCTAGGAGATTTTGATGCATGAAATCAAAATAATGAGTCTATCCTTAAGAAAACAACAGCACATGACAGACAAACAGGGAAAAACTACATTATTAAAAGTTTGTCAGCTTGGGAACATAAGAATACAAATTCTAATGCTTCAGTAGATTCACATTATTAAAAACTCACTCTTCTACTTAAATATAAAGCTACTTTTTTCGTGTACAAAAGTCCCTCCAATGACTGGTAACATGCTGCTTTCAGGAGCTAACTTTTTTAAAATTTCTCATCACAATACTGTTGTCTTCAAGACAAAAAAACTCCCAAAAGGCTAAGTATAACACAAGGTGCACAAGAAATACTGACAGAACATTAATTTCCACTTTGACTACGAAGATGCCCTGAGTGAACATGCAGTTTTGACCAACCTGGGGAGCAGATCCCATCAGCATCTAAAATCTCATGGCGCCAGATGGGTTTACGGGTAGCTGCATCCAGCATCGGCCCCATCACTTTGTCAAACGTCTGGTTCGTGTATCGCTTCAGTGTACACTTGGCATTCTTGTACACAAGACACCTTCCAAAGCCTAGAATGGAACACAAACTCATCTGCCCAGGAATTCAAAGATCTTTAAAACACATGACCAGGATAAAATCTGAGCTATAGAATATAAAATATTCTTTATTAGTTAGATTATTCATTGGCTTGAATACGCATAACGTTGTACACAGTGGTGGTGCACAACTTAAACATCAGATCATGTACACTAGTTTTTTTTAGATGCTGGACTACAGTCCAATTCTGAACTGTGCTAATCTGCTTCTGTATCTCTGCACACATCATTTCTCTTGAAATGACTGAATCTCTTGAATAATTTTGGTGGTCTCCAGGAAGATGTAACATGGGACGGTAATAGGGTGAGAGGAGCACCTCTTCCTTTCATGAGTTCTAAGAAACCTGAACTTTTACTCATGTTTGTGGCTGGCATAAGCTAGTCTACCAGGAAAGTACTAACTGAGTGGTTAGTATAATCAACCCATTATTCTTTTTTTCCTCACCTGAAATTACATGTACTGTTACAAAATTAGTGGGTTTTAGATGAGAAAAGTAGCATCTGTGGAATTTCTCTCTAAGTATAGCAACTAACCATGATACTAAAGACTCTAATCACATGTAGAATTAGAGAGCCAATAACAACTAGCTTGCTAATAATCCTGGGTTATTTTAGTTCATTTGAAAGATGGTTGTGGTCACATACAGTACATCTGTATTTTCAGATTATGTCAAGTAATTTCTGACAAGCACCACAGCTCTCCCTGTAAATGTTACCAGTCTACCAGAAAACATTCAGTTTTAAATCATGCCTGTTGTTGTTTTAGAAAAGGAGGCATAAATTAAATGCAGCAGACATTAATGCCAAAGATACATGTCTAGGAATACTATTACTGCTGCCTAGCAACGAGGAGCAAGGGAATTTGGGGGGGAGAATAAAGTGATGGACGAATCTGATTTTGGCCACCCGAAACTAAAACCAGCTTGATCACTCACTATGCCTGCTCTCAAAGGAATTTATGGAGAAAAGGGAGAGAAGGGAGACTAAGTTTTCAGACAACTCTCCTCCAGCCCTCAGCAGCACTGACACGAAGTGCTGAAGAAGTGTGGAGAGTGAGACAGGCTAGATCTACACAAACATGGGTCTCTGTTAGTTAACCTTCCCTTTGGTATTTATGTACTTTTACTAAAAGTACAATGCATCACAGAGTTGGTATAATTTTTTAAGGAAGGAGGTAATTGATTTAGCTCTGGATAAACACTAAATTATTTTGCTTTAGACAACACTATTATTTTCTCTCAGAAAGTAGGCAATACTGCTACTGCTCTCTCAGAACACCAAGCTCACAAAGACACAAACTGCCTTATGTTCTATTCCTTTCCTAAATACATTCACAAATCTAATTTCATCTACTGCTTTTGTTACTGGTGGAAATAATGAGATCTCTCTGTTAGTAATGAACTAAGGTTCAGGTAAGCATCTAAAAAGCAAGCCCAACAGAACAGATTAACTCATGCCTTATGTTTTCTGTAAACTAAGTATTTACAACTTTTTTATTTGGGGTCAGAAGTTAGCCATTTTTTCTTATAATATCCAGACCCAGAATTTTATATGCATGTTGGCAACTTCACCACACTATTGTATGCATGGAGTTACAATCACTAATCATACAGAAAACCAACAAAAGCATTTAAAGCAGTTTGGAAATTCAATTTCTTAACTGGAGATCTAATGCTCATAACTGCAGTAAAAGTTACTACAGGATAACACTATGAGAAAATGAGCTCATTAGAATATATACTGGAACACACACTGGAGAAGTGGGCAAGAGTTGATGGATCTTACCTCTGTCCAAAGAGGCTTTATTTAAGACAAGAGCATCTTCAATATCGTAGCCACTGTAGCTCATCACAGCGACTGTGGCATTCTGTCCAGCAGGGAGTTTCTCAAAATCTATCAATTCTATTGTTTTTGTTTTTACCATTGGCTTTTGTGGATAGGCAAGGAGATACATCAGAGTATCTATCCTGTTTCTTTGATTGTATCCAATAGTACCTGCATGTAAAAGAAAAGAAAAAAAAGCAGTGAACATTAGTAAGTTTTCTAGGAATGTTTTGGCTAAAAAGTTACCAAAATGCAAATTAACTAAAATCACGCAGAAATTCTTCAAGAAAAGAAAGGGAAAAAATAGTAATTCAAACTAAAACAATTTTACATTATTATATTTAAATAAATATATAACTAGTTGCTTAATTTAAGCTCCCAGAAAGAATTATTTATTTTCTCTCAGAGAAAACCTAAGCATCAATATAAAAAGAACAACAACAAAAGAAATAAAAGCCATTTGAATAAATACAGATAAGATGTTTTTTTCTAATTACAACACTGAATCCTACAAGTATGAAGTTTGCTTTTATTGTTCTCATAGCCACTGGCTTTGGGTTTTTTTGTGGGGTTCAACTGGTGTTTCAGAGACCTGATCCAAAATTTCATGACAATCAACAGAAAGACTATCACTGAGTTCAAGAGAAACTGTGGATCAAGCTCTTCATCTTCAACAACGTATTTCCTTCCATTTTTGGGCAATAATTAGTTCAACAGCAGCCCGTGTTAGAATGGGACAAAGTATTAACGAAGCATACCACTAGCAGCAGCCAAGAGTGATTTACTTTCTAAAATTAGAAGCACCACTGATAGAAAGACTACAGTAGAAGTCCACTTCTGTATGTCTTTTTACATGAAATTAATTTTAAATTTACAGTTCAGAATTCAACCCTTTGTATAGACCTCCCAGCTTGAGACTGAAATTTTTGGCCCTGTCCCATCAGAATGCCAAAGTGTCTCCTGAAATCTGAGGAAAAAATAATTAAGACCCAGCAGGGGAACATAAACCGTTGTGTAGCAGAACAAAAGTTAAGGCAATCATATGTTCTTGGAGTTTGCTGCACCAGGACTATGCTATGTCTCTAAGCAATTAAGAAATTACAGTCTGAAAAGTTAACATTTTAAAGTTTTAAGTGCTAAACATTCTGCAGTACTTTGTTGTCCTTAGTATGTAAGTCTTTCAAAACTTTTCCATTTTGTCCTGCAGTTTCAGAGCCTGGCTGCATTCTTGGAAAGGTCAAAGCAGTCAGTGTACATGGAAGATTTCACACAGCCAGGAAGCACATCTGAACACAAACCTGCTCACTGGGGAGCTCAGCTTCACATTTTACATGCATCTAACTTGCAATTCCCATTTACATAAAGTGTCTGGAAAATCAAACTCTAAAACCAGGCTTCTGCAAAGACCTATCCTGTGCTTGGCACTAGGCTCTCTCCTAAACCACAACAGGTCTACCCTTCCCAAGGACAAGAATGGAGAGAGAGCTCAACAGCTACTGCCTGAAAATGAACTGTTACAGCTGGCCTGGACTTTCTCAGGTTCTAGAAAGTAAATTCAATGATACAGGCACAGAATTTTCAGATGACAAGAAAAATCTGGTAGAATTGACAGACTTGTCTCTTGCTTTAAAGCAGTTGTTTTTCTGTCTTTTTCTTGTATAAGGAAACAACTCTTCTTCAAACAGTATTTTTTGTCTCCAGTAAGACTTGCGCTGGTAAGGCCTGGATTCCTCAAGACTGAGGACCTTTGCAGTCCCACCCTGCAAGGCCCACCACCTGAAGGCCCCACTATTTCTGATAAACCCTGAGATTTCAGTTAGACATTGTTCCCATTGTACTTTTGACTCAACTCCCCTGATTTTCCCAGTATACAGATCAGAAAATATACTTCCAAATTAAAGACTTAAGAGGTTTAGACCACTATTCCCCCCTGCATCTAGAATTTGTATGCTTTCAGAGTAGGTTGCAATGAAGCTCAGCTTAAATGTTTCACAGATAGGTGCATTTTCCTGATGTTGAGAGAAACCTTTCCAAGAGAAAGTCATGCCACACTTAACTTTCAAACTGCTTGCATTTTTTTTCTCCTCTGATATGCTTACATGCTACACCTGCTATGGTTCACCGGTTAAGGATGCTAAGACAGGATGAAGTCTGGGCACCAATTTTATCTTTTACACTTTAAGGGTGTCCTTTACACCCCAGTAACAACCTGTGGAAGTCCCCTATATATCAAAGATTTCAGATAACACTTTAACATATTTCAGGTAACACAAATTATTTCTCTTCAGGTGTTTCACGTATTTCAAAACTGGCATTTTTATCACAGGTTCAGATAAGCCTAACAGAACTGCTACTGTCTGGGAGCCAGAAGCAACTGATATTACTGAGGTTCTGAGCCTCAATAATAAACTCTATTCTGGCTACTCTTCAGGAGATGAATGCTGTATCAAATGGAAAACATATACATATATATCAATGACAGATATCCTAGCAGGAAAGAAACTGGTTAGAGAATGACTCCAGAGCACAAATGAAATAAATTAGCCAAAAAACATGCCATGTATCAGCAATACTATTCCTAATTGCTGGGATTTAATGGTTATACAAATAATCCTTTCTCTAAACTGGGCTAACAAACCACAGCCTGAAACCACAATCTGCTTATTTAAAATAAAGTAGCAGCTCTCTTCAGAGGACTGGTGTGCTGGGATGAGCCTTCTGTGTGGGCGCTGAAATGAAGGAAGTCACTAGCTTTATTTCTGCTTTCTCTCTGAAAGAACAGAGCCCTTGTTTGCTCCAGCCAAACAACCAAGCAAAAGTAAAGTATAATTAAAGTTCACCATAACAAACCCTGCTCACAATGACTCACATTTATAATTATCCCACCAGCAAGAACCAATTTTTTTCATTGGTAATTAGTCCTGGTTAAAGCAAAACACACAAGGTTGACCTGGATACAACAAAGATAATTTTCTTGCTTTTCTCAGTACTTGATATATTGTGAATGCACGTGTGCATTCTTTCCTTTTTTTTTTTTTCAATTTCCTGACAGTTTTTTTTTCTTTTTAAGTGCCATTTGAGTATCCTTTAGTGTGAAATAATCACTACAAAAACACTACCTACTGATATTTAGCATAAATGAGGCACTGTTATTCTGATGCTGAAAATTTTGAGAACTCACCAGAACAAACAGCCAGCTAAAATAAGCATTAATCCAGTTCTCCAACATTAAACCGTACAATCAAAATTACCGAGGATACAGAAATCAATCTACTTGAACCAAAAGGGCTACTACTGCACAGGTCAAGAAAAGAATTGCTGTAATTCTGTATTTCCCCCGTTTTCACCATGGATTTTCTATGATTCTGTCCTTTTATGTGAGTACAAAGCAAGAGAGGAAGAAGTACAGTTTTTAAATGCTGCGATAAACCTTGCAGAGGGGGCTCCGACTCTGCTCAGATTGTCACAGTACATGCATTAGGTGATCTGGATGTTAAGTGTTAGAAATATTCTTTTCACAGTAGAAAGATTAAGGAGTGGGTTAAAAAGATTACGGGTAAAATGGGGGGGAAGCTCATTTCTGCCTCAGCACTTCTGCGCCTATTACCAAAGAGAGGAGAGGTGTCAAAACGAGGTCGTGTCACAGAGCACAAACAATCCTCAAAGAGCAGTGGCAGAACACAACTGCGGCCACAGCACACCCAGATCCAGCTGTGATGACCAGCAACAGCTGGTTTTGCTTTGAGGTTTGTTTAGATTCTGTGCCCCTAGGCTAGCTGTACAAAATTTGGGAGGACTCTGGCTCTCAGTCCACCAAAGAACTTTCACAAAGGTCCAAACCCCCCAGCACTGAGGTCCTTTAAGTGTATTTACCTTCTCAATTTAATTTTAACCATTCAGCTGGCTACAGTACAAGGCAGAGCAGTATATAAAGGGCTTTGGTACTTCACAGGAGCAAAGCAGAAAGTTCATGATACAGTAACAGGCTTCTTTTGTAATATCAAAGTTTTTTGCTTCGTTCTAAGTTTCTACAACAAAGCTCTCACCCACCTATGTCTGTTCCCTCAAATACTTCCTTTTCTTTCAGAGGTTAAAGTAATAATCAACACTCAAATCCTCCTTTTCTTAGTCAAGACTTGTGTTATGTCATATGGGGTTGAAGCTGCAGGGCACAGTTGTGCCGTGACTGTACAGCTTGCTTTGTGTACCCACACCATCACTTACACAGCAGCACATGTGCATGTGCAATATGGGGAATTGCTGTCAGGAAAACCGTATTTTTTCATTCTTCAAATTAGGCTTTTACACAGTCACAGATGTACGATGTGTAAAACTGACTAGGTTTTTATGTCTTAATGGAATTTAAAAGCTCAGTTTAGAACTCTTTCTCTAACGGTAGAAGCCTTTGATCCTCTTAAGTATTATTCTACCAACACATGAAATGCAAACAGTACAGACTCTTGTATTTTCATCTTAAGTACTTCTGAGATTTTAAGCTACAACTGTTAACCTTGCACTGAAATGTCACCATTCAACTGAGGTCTTTGCAGCTGCTGTTGTATTTATTACCTAACTTCCTCTCAGTCTTACAGCTCAACCTGCAACACATGGTAAATAATCTATGCCAAAATGAGGGGTTTTATTTCAATTTAATTTTACTGAAATCAAGTTTGGTTATTAAGTGCAGCTCTAGTCTTCCAACAAGATGACTCATTTACCCCTGAAAGGGAGATTTCAGGACATGTAATGCTCTCCAGAAGAAACATTACTATTTCAGGACCTAATACTTGTCAGGGACACTGGATTACAGACTTCATTCCAATCTTTCATGTCTACTCTCCACTTACTTGTGCTTTCACAATTTCTTTAGCTTGATGTTCCTTAAAAAAGAGACTTAAAAAAGAAAAGACTGTCCAAAGCTGCTGGCACAGCCCAGTGATACAGTCAGAGGGGTGGGTCAGTGTTGACAAGCACAAGGCTCTCCTCTCCCAGTCTGAATCCCGGGCTGCCTTCACCACTCCAGGTTTTGACAGTCAAGGGAGTGACACAGAAGACTTGGACATGAGATTTTCCCCATGGCAGTGCTGGATGAGGAGCTGCTCTGCAACTTCAGTATGGAGAAAAAAAGCAATAAAGATGGATGGTAACTTAGAGGTTGGGGTTTGAAGCTACACTACATCACATCTCTTCACAAAAATAAACACAAAAAAGTATGTGCAATGTTTCAGGAATATCCTCTAGGTCTCATCTGACCAGCAAGTGTAGAGAAAAATCATCTCTGCCCCTACATATTGCCATTTACGGTGGCTTTTTTTAAGCAGTTTTTACAAAAAGCTTCAGGTGTTTGCAGGTACTTCAGACAGAGCAAAATAAAGCTCAAGTCATGTGCCAACTTTTAAAATTTACTTTTATCTAGCTGCTCATTCTTTGAGTCAGGTGTTTTGTCATAACAAACTGAAACAAAGGCTTTTTTTATTGCTCAAGATATTCAATGGCTTTTGTGTTCCTAGCGTCAGCAGGAACGTCAGAGGATTGTATCCAAGGAGCTAAATGTGCAAGACCTGGGGTCAAAGCAGCTGAATACACCAACCTCAGAAAACACAGACAATGAATTGCAAATGACACTCAAAACAAAACGGGGAAAAAAACCTTCACACAGAAAACTACAAAAGAACTCCACAGATACTGAATTGGCTTTCTGTACACACTGATCCTGCTTAACTGTGTGTGGTAACTAACCAAACCTTCTGAGACTAATAGTCATAAAATAGAGACTCAGGGGTGGGGGAAAGATAATGGGATGGGGGAGAACTGTAAGGAAAAAAGATTGCATTGCTCCTCTTTCCACCCACCCACCCTTTTTTTTTTTTTAAATTTAAACAGAGAACATGTATCTTGCTATTTTCTGTTTTCATTTGCTCAACGTGATGGTTCAGCGTAAGGCAGTTGCTTTGCTATTAATTCTGTTGGAGAAGTCTCACAAAAGGTGTAGTGTTTAAGCTTTGAACACACAGCACAAAATAAATGGTTTAGTAAACCTAACTGAAGTGGCAGTTCCTTCATGAAACAGAGTTGTGCTACTGTAGCTCCCAACTTGTAAGCCATCCATCAATACAAGCCATGAAACCAGCCTGTTGAGCACCAGTCTGAATGCAGCTGTCTGAATTGATGTATGACTGCTCAGGCTCCTCTGCCTTGATCACAGGCCATAGACTTGGACACTTTAATGCTGGTTTCACTGGGTATTAAAGAAAGGATTAGAACTTAACTGCTGTCAATTACCCCCAGCAGCCAATTTACAAAACAGTTGGGTTTTCATGACCAGATATGACACTGTCAAATTAAATAATAAGTAATCAGAAAATTAATTTTGTTTCAGTGCTCGCCCTCTTCATCCAAAACAGCAAAAGCAAAAAATCTAAACTATGGCTGTGGAAAGTGTTCAAATTATTAACAACTCTCTTTCACACTTGAGTCTTCTTATTATCTGATGTCAATGTTAACTGTTGATATATTTATTTTTAGGACACTTACTCAACCAGTCAAAGAAATGCTCCTCAATCTGTGCTCTGTCTCTCTTTGTGAGAACATTTTTTAACTCTTTTTTGTCTGGAAACCCACAGCACATTGCAGCATAAAGAGAAGAAAAACCCCACTCTGCCAATCCTGCAGATATGCTGAAAACTTGAAAGTCATGATAATTTCCAATAAAATGCAATAGAAAATGCAAAAGTGTCCCAGTTTATTAAAATTTTCTTTTAAGTGTTAAGAATTGCAGATATAGTCTTCGTTAAGTAAATCTGACTGGTACCTGGTACTTTTCTCACATTAATCTTTCCAAGTTTCAGAGGTAAACTCTTTTTTTTTTTTTCTCAAAGCTAAAATACATAGCTTCAAAAACTACATTAACACTTCAAAGAGGAATAAAAAGTGAAGTCTTACCCATGGCTTGTTTCCCCATGGCACACTGGTAAGTGTTTCTTGGGGACTGGTTGTGGTGAGGATATGGAATCAGCCCAGCACAGACACCCAGAAGTGTGAAAGGCTCTATCTCCAAATGGGTTGTATCTCTTAAAAGAAAGAATACCAATTATGGCAGGCTTGTGAACAAACAACTTCAGTAGAATTTATTTAATTTAGCAGTATCTCATAACACTTCAAATTCAATTCTGTTCAGGAGAACGTAAGTCAGTAGGACCTCAAAACACAGACTCACTACAGGATTTTTATTTTTATTACAAAAACCCAACAACTTTCTTTTGGTTATAAGTGTTTCCACATGAAAATAAATGAAGGAGAAATAAATAAGGGTTTATGAAATTCCACAATGGAGGAAAAGCCTCCAGATAATGACAACCTGAGGGAGCGCAGTAAAACAATGAAACATCAGTTTATACAGTAAGACCCAAAATGCCTTAAGGAATGTCTTCTCATGTAATGAGAGCGCTCCGCATCAAATTACCAATCTCAGAGATCCAGAAATCCACTGGGGAGATGGAAGAAGGAAGGGCACAACAGATTCAGGTATTTAAAAAACGGGTTTAGTTTTCCAAGGTCAGCTGTATCAGTTAAGGAGAAAACATCTGTCTCCAAACCTGATCCACTGCCATAGGTACATGACGTAATACAACACTATTTGAAAGCTCTGCAAATATTTTGGAAGCGATTATGTTGTTAAAGGACAGTACTGATGAGAAGTAAAAAGACAGAGAAAAGGAGTAAAGACAGAGAGACAATTTGTTCTATCATCTGGCATGATCTTCAGAAGGGAAAGTCCACGCTCAACAAAGACAAATCATAGCATGCATTGGGATGAAAGTGGAGAGACTAATAACTAAGAATGAAGTGTAAAATAAGGCTTGGCTGGAGCAGACATTAATTTAAATCAAGATAAGTAATTAGGAAGTGGGGAATTACAAAATACAGATGACTATAACTAAACCTGTTCAAAGTCTATCTTTCATGTCCTGGATTTATTACAGAGACCTTATGCATACATTGCTTCTTCCAAACATCTAAACCCAATGCATTCTCAATATCTCACCTTTAGTGTTTGACTTCTCTTGGAAGTCTTTTGGAAGACTTTAATTATTTAAATAAATTAATTTGATTACTTAACTTCAGGATCTTGCCAAGGAAGTGACAGAGAAGTCTTTATTATGGCAACACTCAAAAGACAGCCAAGCACTGTAAGCTAAAAAAGGCTAAGGAATTACCCACAAGCACATAGAGACTGACGACTAGTGCCAGCAGTAACTTTATAGATAAACAACACATGTACTACTGGAAGAGTAATGAAATCTGAAAGCTGAAAAAAATAGACCTGGAAATCCTGAGGATTAAGCCAATGAAACTATCTATCAGTCCTAGAAATCTTTATAAATCACAAATACACCTGAACAACCTAAAAATCACCTGCTGGTCAGAGGACAGCCACTGTTTTTTCTCCAGTTGATAAAAAGCAGCTATGTTATCTAAAGCCTATCATAAGAAAATACTAATGGGAGAATCCAAACTGCCATCAAGTAATTGCAAAATGGTCTCAAGAGCCAGTAGCAAACTGGAAGCAGAAACTGCTTCTCCATTCTGCAGAACTGGTGACACTTTTCAAACAATAAAACCAGAAGCTTGACACTACTGATAGTGAAGTTTGCAAATTTCGTCAGAGGGTACAAGTGCATGGAAATAGATATACATTTGCATATAGGGTATTCAACAAATACCTTCTTCCAGTGAGGTCAATCCTATTTCAACCAAAGATGATCCCTACTACCTTATGAAGTATTCCAGAGAGCTAATAGGAGACATTCAAATTTTACCAGGCAGTTCAATTTCTGCAGGTCAAAAATGCCACTGCCAAAACCAGGCCCAAGAAAGGAAAGGCAACCACAGGAGCTCGAAAAGCAGATTTACAAATGTGTAAGGAAGACACTGAACACATTAAAATCAAATACTCCAAAGAAAACCCCTCTAACTGGATTGGAAAGATAAAGAGAGGATACTGTAGCTAAAAGAAGCCTATATTACAATAGCAGGAATGCTACTGAGATACTTCAGATAGTGGGTTGTATCAGTGGCACTGCCAGAACAAGCGGTACCAACATGGTCACACCATTTAAAATGCAAGATGATCATCTGGGGAAAGGGGGTACTCAACTCAGCTATTCAGGATGCATTATCAAACACAAGGAGCAATGTGCTCATATGATGCAAGCTCAGATACTTACGGCACAGTTAGACACTGTTAGCATTGAAATCTAACTCAAAACAATTGATGGACAATTCAAGAATCTTCTGAACTTCCTGGGAGTTGCTGAGGAGTCTTTTCCTCACACTGGTCCACTGGAAGTTCACTTTCTCCTCCGCTTTTAGACTAAAACAATGATTTCATGTGATACATTCCCATTAACCTTTCTAGCTGAGTCAGTTGTCCTGTAACTTAAATTTTCAGCTCTGGTGCTTTGTGGAAGTTATTTAATTTTGGCACAAATCACAGCAATTGTGTGCGCTCTCCTTTGCTCATGTATACAGAACTCAGTCAAGAGCATGCAAGAGTAATCTCTTAAAGTGATAAAGTCTTCAAAAGCCTGGGTAGGAGCAATGCAATTTAATTAGCAGAGTTAATGCATTACATTTAGAAAAGGTTAAAGATAATTTAAGAGGTCACGCAGCTCCACTGAAATCAATGATGTATTTCTATTAGCTTGCAGGAGTACTTGACCAGGACAGATTATTTAGAAAAAGAATTTTCTGGATAAATCTACTGATCAAACATTCACAGAGATAACAGCATTTCATATTCAGGCTTTAGTTTACAGGATATTGTCAGAGAAACATTAAAAACAACTAAAAAGACAGGAGGACTTAAAAATTTAAAAGAATCCTTCCTTTAATGTAGACTCTTTAATCACAGTGAGAAGATAAGAGTAAAAAAAAAAATTGCAGCAGGTGCTTCAAATATGTAGGAAACATAACAGATCTGGAAATCTCTCTGAATTAAAATCACATATCAAAAATGGTTTTAAGATGTGTGCTAAAGAATACACAGAATGATGCTGACATTTTTACTATTGTAAATCCAAAAGTCAAAAGTCAAAGGGAAGGCCTCATTCCAGCAGTCCACTTTCTGTAAGGTGAGTGTCTAGGGTCCATTTACGGCCAGAAAAGAAATTTCCAAACAACCATGATATGCTAAAATAATCAAATAACATGTAAAACCATTTGCCTCCTGGATACCTATTGGATAAGATTATTTATAATGAGCAGTCCAATGCTCAGAACAAAGAGCCACATCCAGAGAAAGAAAGGATATAACTTTAAGTATTTAGTAATTTTGAGAGTTAGTAGCAGAAACAGCTCTCTGAAAATCTGAACCATTTTTTGTAACTTCCCATGGATAATTTAGGATGTGTGCAGACAGATTTCTCTCTTTAGCTTTCACCTGGAGTAGTTTCAACCACTAGCAAAGGAGCAGTGTGTACATGTGAAAACAGTAACATTATTTATATGTTTGCATTTCAGAGAGTTACCCTATGAAAGTTTTTCCTGTACCAGTTACTGAATGGTTACTGAATGCATACTTACTTATTGATTGTATTTTCATACAAGGCAATGTTACAGTCATTTTCTTCATTCACATCCAAATATTCGACAAGGCCTTCATGCAAGAAGTCTTCAAAATTCCTATAGATAAATTAAAAATTACACTAGAAGTACTGACCATATATTTCTGCAAATATAAAATACTTAGTACATATATTAAAGGAATGTAATATGTAAAGAAAAACCAGATAAATACTTCTACATGTAGAGTTCTGTGCATATTACATATTGAAGAAAAATGTGGTTTTTTAATTAATCCTGTTGCCCATTCTGACAGATGATTGTTACTTATGTGAACAACTACAAAAAATCTTCCCATATGCACTCATCACTGCTGTCAATGTACATAAATACAAGGATAATCACATATGTTTTTGTGATTTGTGGAATTTAATTAGACCTAAATTTAAATGCCTTTGTACTAGTGTCGTTTTTTAAAAAAATATGTTTACTAAGAATTTACAAGGACTTTCAAAAACTCTGAATGTGCCCAGTTTAGGGTGGTTAAGTTGATACTCCTGTGAGGTGCTTGATTTTTCAGTCAGGAGGATGATACTGCCTCAAACGTTCCACTTGCAGAAAGATGAGGCTGTGAGATGTATTTATTCTGTATACTCACCAAATCTCACAGCAGTAACAAAATAAGAACACCAGCCTTAATTTGACTTTAAACAGAAAATCTCCAGTACAAAGGCATGAATTTATATGGAGAGCAGACTTCTCTAATTAGCTAACCCCAAGACTGTGAAATATTGACTGACTGAAGTTATCTCCACACAGTATTTACTTGGTGAAGATGAATATGGCCTACTCGAATTGTGTACCTGTAGCCCTGAGCCAGTTCTTCCATATGCTTGTTTGTAACTGCAGGTTTTTGCTTCTTGACAATTATGTAAGGCCTGAAATTAAAAAAAAAAAAAAAAAAAAGGATGGTCACAGCAAATACTAAGGCAGGTAACCTAATTTATTCTTACACTAAGAACCCTGCCTATGCATAACCATTCTATAAACAGTTCTTAAAATTTATTGGCCTTTAACTGATAAAACCACATAAATAAAATCAGCAACTATTCAGACCTTAGTTTGATATAATTAAAATGTGCATCAGAAAAATCAAGACTTCAATTTTGAGGTAAAAGCCATTTTTCCCCCTTTAAATCATTCAACTAAAATTTTGCAAGTCTACAGATTTTGATGATGGCTTTAAAAGATTTGAGATTTCCCAAACTACAGAGCTAAGAACAGCATTTAGTACTGTGGTTTTTACAGAGCACTGCGTTCAGTTTGTGCTCAAGTGTCCACATGCACGGCTGCATTTTGCAATTGCCTACATGCTGTAAAGTACAGGCATTTACTGTGGGTGATGTCTGATGAATCCATAAATTTCAATAACACATGGATCACTGAAGGCTTCCCTACCACACAAAACCACTGACACAAAGGATGGCATGCAAGAAGGCAACGTCAAGGGCTGTTGCTATTTGGACAAGTTGCTTTGATAAAGAGAAGCAAATAGCTACAAGGTACTTGTGGAGTCCCTGCTGAAGTCTAAATAACTGTTAGAAGACTAATAAGCACTTTTAAATGGTTAATAGGGATATCTGAACAATTGCAGGGTGAGGGGTGCCACAAAGCAAAACTGGTAAAGCCTTGCAAATCCACATATTTCCCTTGCTTTTATTTTAAAAATGGGAAGCTTTGCTGTCATCTCCCAAACTACACATATCAGCCCTGACTGGAAGAGTGATTTCTCTGCCACTGAATATGGCTCTACTCAGGATCTCCTGACTAGTTATGATTAATTGATGGTTTGTGCATTTACTATTTTGGAGCCTCTGACATGCCTCAAACTGCATTCAACATGCTCTGAGGTTCAATTAATGAACAAAGTAGAATGCCACCAGTAGTTGTGATTGCTGCTTTGTTGAAGTGAACACAGAATATGCACACAGCCAGTCATTGCTAAAATACGTATATATTCATTAACCCATTTCATTAACCCATTCAGTCTCTTCCAACCTCTGCCTATTCTGAATGAGGGCTATTTAAGGAGAAAAGAGATGCTCAAGTCTTACTGAATTTGCTTTAATCTGTTCCTGTAAAAGTCTAGCCTACTGCACAGAAATTTATAGCCAGTTCAGTAGTGAAGTAATTCTGATGAGAAGTTTACCTGCACAATCTCCCTCCATCAGAGGAAATGTAGACACATCTGTCAGACAGATTTGTAGAGATGGAAACGAATTCGTTAATATAACCTGCTCGACGCAAGATCCGAAAGGTGTTGACTAATTTCTGGTGATCACGTATGACACCAAGGATGTTACCTGGTCAGAGAGAGAATAAATACCTGGTGCATCCTTTGCACATCCAAAACTATTTACAAATTCTGATCACGTGTGGCATGCATAGAAGTACTTCTGCTTCTTGTAAATAGAGTTGTTGTAAAATCCCCCTTCTCTAACATGAATAAGAACCAGCTCTTTTTTCCTCTCAATTCAAAATTGTTAGAATTTCACAAGTCATCTTCCTGCACGCTTCCAAACAGCCTGAGAAACCAAATGGTGTGGTTCTTCCAGCTTTCTTCAAGTATGTTTCTGCTCAGCTGCCCATTAATCAGTTGGTACACAAGTTAACAACTCTCAAGTCTGCAATTTCACCTGTACTGAAACTGATTCAAGGTTTCCAAGAACTGACCAAGGAACGGCCCAGCTGCCTTGTCAGAAATTTTAAAGTCCTGATATTTTGATGTATGGGATCACTCACAACAGCACTAGAACTTCTCTTTTAGGCACTTAGCTCAACTCAACTATCTTAGCAGGGCACTTCAGCTCATACTTAAATATTCTGATGCATGATGAGCAAACAAGAGAGTAAAATTCATTTTAAGAGTCACCTGACCAAAGTAATCTTAATACATAAAATAAACATCTATGCTCACATTTTAAAAACATTAAAGGAGAAGACAAAGGATGATAGTTTAGGGAGTTTTTAAGACAACAGAAGGGTCTTTACTGCTTGAAGAATTTGTATTTAACACATTATTTATGTTAAGTCATAAGTTTAAACCAGGATCAAGCCAGCTATCCACAAGTTAGAATTTTTTTATGGATTAAACCCATAAACCAGTGGATTGAACAGTAACTTGGCTTGTCCCACTTAGTACTAGTTCATCTGCATTTGGCTACAGACTCTTGTTCTGCACTCCAAACTGAGCTTGTCAAGGAAGAGTCCAATATTTTGGCTCTGCACTCCCCTCAGGACCTCAGGACAGAAGACAGTGCATGTGGTTTCACTGAACCTTATCTTTAACACACTGCTATAGAAAAGCAGAGCAAAGGAATGCAGTTTGGTCAAGTGTTGCTTTTATGTTACCAGGAAAAGGCAGGGTTGAAGAACAACTGCTGTTTAATTCAAGGGTAAATGGAGACCTTACTCATGGCGACAGACATTACACACTAGTCCCTGGAAGTGGATGCTACTGACAAAAGGCTATTTTGAAATCATAGCCATAGTTTTAAAAATGTCAGTATTTTGAAATCTGATAGTACCTGTTGTTTTAGAAATGCTAGAAAATCAGTTGTAAAAGACATATGAATGTGCAGACGCAAAGCACGTGCACTAAATCATCCCTTTAATAAGACAGGCCTGTTTTCCATGGTCTAATTTTTCTTACCACACACAAAGTAAGATGCCCCTTCAAAGGTATTTTTAAAGAGAATAGCATTGCTAAACTTCACAAATAATATTCTGATGTTTCCTTTCTGTTTTTAAAGACTCTTTAAAATGCACGACTATATATAAAGAGTACAGAAAACGAAATGCTTTCTGTAAAGGAAGATCTGAATTTGTAAATTTATTACAATATTACATATTACAAATTGAAGTTATTTTCTTCTAAAAGTACTTTACGAATGGCACCTCCTTTGGCCAATATCTAAAAAACAAACAAACCAACAAACCCAAGTTAAATGTACATATTTTTGTCCCTATTTATGCAAGTGGGCTTAAAAACAGGGCTGAAATTTGAGAAAGCTTCAATTTCCCAGCTACACACATCTGCAGTCAAAGTTCTGAAGACCCAACTTCATGAAACTAAGTGCCATCATCTGGCCCATCTACTTTGCCTAACCCTATCAAAATATTTACAGAGGAAATTATTTGCACGTGGAAAACAGCATCTGCTGTTGACTCTGATCCAAGAACTACTGCAGGGTTTCTGAAGCCTAACTCTCCATCAGCAACAAACCCGAGTCAAGACTGCCGAAAAGTAACATACCATTAAGAAAAACCAGGAACACGTTTGGGTATGAAAGTTCTTCACCACAGAGCAAGTTGACATCTTCAACTCCAAGATTACTGGCTAATTTAATAATTGGGCCATCTTCCATATCCGTAGTAATGTGAGTCATGAGGGCAAGGTTTTTAACTAAACCACAGGCCTAGGAAAAAAACAAAACCAAAACCCACTAATTTTATCCCTTCTCTTTCTATGTGTTAATACCACATTTGCATTTTTCTCCCCAGACTGTATTTATGATTGACAAAAACAAAAATATGACAAAGTGGAAGAAATTAAATTAATTACCCTGAAATTTTGGAGGAAAAAAAGGTGGAGTTTTCTATATCACACTGAAATGTAATGTTTTAGCATTTACAAGCTAATAAAAAATATAGGCACTGAAACAGATTTTAAGTTAACCACATATAACCCTATGTTTCTCTTGTCAGCTAGTCAGCAACATAATGGAAATACAAGATCAGTCAATTGATCAATTTTCCATGTATCCTGTATGTTCTAGCACAAACATTAACATTTTAAAATGAAAAAGTATCTTATACAGTGTAACTTTATTTCAGCTGCCTAGTAAGACTAGCTTATATTGACTTATTCAGAAAGTTCAGAATTCCTCCCCCCAGAGTATCCTCTATTCAAAAAAAAAAAAAAAAAAAAAAAGAGAGAGAAAAGGAAAGCCAAACAAAACAAGACTGTCAGAATCAATTCCTTGATTGCAATATGTATAAAGATGGTTTTCTTCCTCAAGTTGATGGCTAAAGAAGTATTGGTACATGTTTCAGAAACACTGCAAGTTGATGCTGCAACTTGAAAACAGAATGTTTATTACAGAACAAAGGGAGAGGGGTTTAGAACTCCTCTCCTTCTGCTCTCACCAAAAGAGAACAAGTAGTTCCACTGCAAAAATGGAACCTGTTCATGTCATTCTCATATACCCAAATGATTTCAGAACTGTTTCCAGACAGTCTATGCAGGAGAAAAAAGACAATATAGTAAGAAGGACCAGGATGCAAACAGGTAGGACGTAAGAAGTTGTGTTACCAGGCTGAGGATAATTTATCTCTGCAGAAACCTCCTCATCAGAATTATTCCTCTAATGAAGGACCACCTGCTTCAAGTTAAACAGTGTCTCCATTTGTCAGGACAAGAAACACAGAAAGCAAAATAGAAATCACTCACCTCTCCTTCAGGAGTGTCAGAAGGGCAGAGCATCCCCCACTGAGATGGCTGTAGCGATCGAGGACCACTCACTTTCCTTGTCTTTTCAAACTGAGAAGAGATCCTGGTCATCATTCCCAGAGCAGATATGTAAGACAAGCGGGACAAGACTTGTGTCACGCCTTGGCGGTCCATCTTGAATCTCTTTAGAGACCAATTTCCCTGTAGAATAAAATTATTGTTTCAAAAGAATCTGTGCACTTCATCCTTGTCTTGGCTTTTTCCAGAGTGTAGACAGAATGGTATCTGAGGAGTTTTCCAAATCAAATGTTGCCCATTTATATAAATCAAATTTCTAACTACCTATCTGCCTAAAAAGTCCTAGTTATAGCATATCTGTATTAAAGAGAAGTTGAAACAAAAGGACTGCTCTTTCAGATGAGAGGATACTTTTGCTATTACATATTCCATCACACAAATAGTCTTTTTCATCTGTTCCTCACAGGTAAATCAATACTCAAATTTACCTAAATTAAATTATTTTGGTTTTGTTTTATCGATTTTTTTAGTATTTAAGAAAGAAAAAGTCTTTCGAGTGATATAACACTTTTACAATAGATCTCACAAGCTTTCAGTTTTGCCTTTTCCATGATCTGTTACTTTTGTAGGAAACACAGACATTTATGCTGGAGAAGTCTGACATCAAAGCCCGCTGTACTTTTTTGAAGCCTTTTGTTTTTGTAATCCAGAGGAAAAAGACTCACTGATGTGTCTTCCCTGAGAAGAGAGTGTGTGTACGCATGTGTGTGTGTGTGTGTGTGTGAGGAGTAGGTCCTCCCAGCTTCTGTTTGGATTACATCAAATATGAAATGCAAGATCCATGAACATCTCAGAGGTTTTGTGTTTCAGGACTGTCACATGCACTCTCACTTGTGGTTTTAATCACGAGAACAGAGGAGCTCAGAGCATGTTCTAGGACACAAATATGCTTCCATGCAAGCAGATTTAATAAACTCTACTGCAATCTTGAAATTTAGTGCTAAAATTTTTGCCTTTGTGACATTTACTCCATGTCCAGTTCTCAGCACCTGAGTCAGTGGATACAGCAAGTTTCTATCTGAAATACTATTTACTGCAGACACCATGTTACTGTTTAGTCCAAAGATAACATTTTCCCAAGGATTGCCTTCTGCTAATTCTTGAACCCTTTTTGGCAAACTCAGCTCACCAATTTTAACAAATAACTTGAAGCTTGCTTGCCGTACTGCACCAAAACCCTTTTAGAGGGTGATTTGCTTGGCTTTTTTATTTCCACTTTAAACAGCACAATCCCATTCAGTGAGCAACAGGAAGAAAACACCATCCATATGAATGGTTTTGTTATTTGCTTCCACTGGAGACCATCAAATAGTCTCAAGCTTGTAATAGCAAGTGGGAACACATCATGCTCAATGGCAAGTCAGTCAAACCTCTTAATTTGTTCAGCATCTTTGGGAAGGGCTCACTCACTGACCATTTCATTCTGTAAAGACTGGGAGTTATGGGAGTGTAAGTGGAAGAATACAATAAATCAGTAGTTTTTCTTCCCACCAGAAAGTATTGCATCTGTAGGCTAAGTAAGTATGTGGTTTCTCCTTTGCTGCCCAGAAGAGTCTAAAACAAAAAGAGTGGGAAAAAGGGGAAGTAAAAATGCTGCCTGAAGACATACAAAATATTCTTTGTGCTTTGAAAGGGATGGAGTGGATCCTTCAAAATTTGACCACAAGAAAAGAAAATCCAAAGAGGTCAGGGCAGTTGTGAGACCACCCCCTTGAGAACTCTTATGAATGGGAAGTTGCCCCCTCAGTGGCATCAGATGATTCTTCAGATACTGAAATGTGCATCAGGCTTGTGGCACTGCTGCCTGCCCTACCTTCTCTTCTGGGGTTTACCAGGGTAAGGGAGGACCTGTAGCAAACATCACTGAGCACCACTGTACAGATGATGCAGTAGGGCTATGAATTCTTTTGCATGCTACTGGTGTAATTATGAATCTGCTCAGTTATTTCATGCTCTTTGAGACTATCATTGAAGCATTCTGGTGAGATTGGAGATTGTCATTTCCAAGAATCATTTTTATGGTATTTGCTTAATCTCTTGAATGGTGTGCACTGGGCATTGTTCCTGAGAAATTATTTTTCAATGCTTAAGAGCAGATGGTGTTTAACTGCTTATGCGGCAGTAAAAAAAAAGTCCAAAGACACAGGAAGAACGACGACTTTACTGAATATGGACTGAATAATATTTGCAGATTTATCTCTGTCAGTCCAAATGGAAAAACTGGCACAAGCTAGAAGAAAGCACTAGCATTTAGAGAAACAAATCTGTCAATTGTTTTGGTTATGTGCACTGTGGAGATTTAACTACATTTGGGGCACTCATAAAATTAAACAGTGATAAGCTTTAACACTGGGATTTGTAAGTTACAGACTGTTGGTGGTTTTGGATGCAATATGTGGAATTAATTTGTTTACAAGAACCAGAGAAAAACCTCAGTTTCATGCTAGGCAGAAAAGCCCTCTCAAGAGCACCAAAGATTAAAAATTAAGTTCCACAATTTTTACCAGCTCCTAAAATACTTAAGTCTAATCTAATTTCTTTTAAAAATCATGCATTTCAAAGTCTTTTACAAGCTACTAGCTGGATTTCAGGAGCAATCTCACAAATTGCTCTTGCAGATGTCTGAGGTGAAAGACAAAGTTAGTAGCTATTGTTGCTCTTGTCCACTGGCATGAAGGAAAGTATCTGCTCCAGGAGAAGACAGAAACAGGCTAAAATCCAACCAAGACAAATATTTAAAGAGTAATTATCGGAGTTTTTTAGTATTATGGCATGCCGCAGATTTCCCTGTTAAATAGATCAGTACCATTAGCAGAGAAGTATGAACTTCTATGCTGCAAATTTGTTCATTTCATCAACTTCAAAATAAAAAGGCACTGCCCTCAAAGAGCTCAAAATTGAGGTTAAGGGCATTTTTTTTTTCCTCCTGCTCATGATGTTTTCCTGCTGTTTTTCAAAAATCTTTTGTACAAATGATGTAGCCTGACCCCAGCTAAATCCAGATAATAAAAAACCACATAGTCAAGCAGAACCTAGAAGACAGTCAGCTGGATAAATACAACCATGACCACTATTTTAAATGTGCCTGTTTCTACCATTCTTTCTCAAAAAGTAAAACATCAGTTGGAAATAAAAGATGCTTGATGATTAGTGATTCTTCAGTGAATTCCAAATGCCCTGCCCCGACAGAGTTTTCCAATTTTAATCTATAAAAAACATTAAATAGATCTGCTTTTCAAACCAAAACCAGAAGATCCAACAAAAATAAATGTACACATTTCCATCATTCACTATGGTGGAAAAGCTCTGCATCCTAAAATGAGAGCAGAAGTACTTACTGTGGAGATGGCATTGACCATGCCGTTGGTGATCTGGTCCTGCCGCATGTGCTTCACGACATCAAACTGAGCTGCACGCTGCTTGGGGATCACCTGGTCAGCAATCTTTTTCAGTTCAGAGTTAAATTTTTTGAACAAATCTTCAAACAGAAGAGAAAGGAGCTGGAAATACAAAATGGTTAAGGGAAGAATTATACTTCTTAAGTCTAGGAAATGAGGAAAGAGACTACTTGTCAGTTAAAATGTAACTTTTCTGTTTCACAAATGATAATTTTACCACAAGTTTTTTTGCCTTGTTACAGTATTAGAGAACTTTTAATAGAAATTAACTAGAATAGTCTAAGTTTATGCACTTATCTCCTTTTGCTTCATTTTAATCTTTCCTTCACAATATTTTAGCACAGCCATACTTCTCTATGCTATCCAACTATTTTCCCTAATCTGCTACATTACAACCCAGCTAATTTACTTCCTCCCTGAAGTTATAAACTCTTTTAAAGATTTAATACCCTAAATGTACAACCCTGAATTACACACAAGATCTGCAGGCAAGAGTGGTTTTTACTCTAACACATATCTCAGGTTTCATAGGCAGCTTCCTTACTCATACACACTTTTATCCTGTGATTCTGCCAATCACAATCTGTGGAAAACATTACACCCACAGAGAGTTCACCTGTGAATGTTCAACATCTGTCACTGTCTTCTAGAACTGCTACTGTCTGGAAACTGCAATACAAACCAACAACCCAAAAAGTCTACAGTTTAGGCAATAAAGCTACATATCTCAGGTGAATATGAAAAAAACCCCAAACAATCAACCCAAAATGAACCCAGCAACAGAACCATTCAAAAGTGTGGCATTTTAACACAATTATTTCCTGTATATTAATCACCTCTTAAAATAGCCATAAAAGGAAAAGGCTACCAAAGTTGTGATCTGATTTTTTTTGCTCTCTAATCTGCTTTGTTTCTGCAGTTTGTTCAGCCTCTCCTTGCATCAGTAATAGTTTTCAAAACATTTAAATCTGCACCTCATGATACATTTTAAGTGTTCACAACAATCAGCTTTGCAAGCAATCAGTGTAAACTCTAAAGCCTGGCATTCCTGTCCTGGGACCTGAGTCTGAAACTGCCCCAAGTGTCAGAAAAACCAAAAGTGCAGCTGCTATCAGTGCCAGGAATGGTAGTTCCCAGTGTACAAAGCAGTCAGTGTAGAACAAGCTGTGTGCTCATCCACCACAAGCTAGGACATTCTGGAGTAATTTGTACCATACTATTTCTGTATATGCAGAATGAAACTGTATTTTACCTGTCTCCATGAGACATAATCCCCACCTTTCCTTACCTTCTGGAAACAAGAAAGTAAACCACACTCACTCTTCTCTCCCTAGGATGGGCCACTAGCTTTCATTTCCTTTTCTCCACCTACATGCTCCAGCTGGGCTGACCAAAGCATTTGGCAAATGACACTGTAAAGCTGGTGACAACACACAGAGCATGCTAACCCTTGACAGAAGTGGAATCCTATTGCCATTCTGGACAGACAGGTTTTTTAGACCCGACCTTGGAATGAGAGGAAGGTGCTGTAGAGCCTCTTTTCCTTCCTGATGTTTGTAATACCATCAACAGTTGCAAAATCATACTCTCTCACCACTGTCACAAGAAATCCACTCACATACGATATCACAGTTAATTTAAATTAGACTTCCACCAGAAATAAAAGCAACTTTTATTAAGCATTGTATTAGGAAGGAGAATGCACTGGAGTTCCCAAAAATAAGATTATGAGGGAAGAGTTTCAGAAGTAGGGAAAAAGTAAGAGGTGGAAATGTGTCATTTTAAGATGGCTGATAGACTTGTTAAATAAGAACTAAACTCTTGAAACTAACTACAGTAAACATTCGATCTAAACAGGTTTGAGCAGGATTTAAACATTTAACTAAACACTTTAAAAAAATTACTCAGAACTCATTTTCATATTTGATTTCTTGATCAAAAAACTGCAAGAATTTCATAATTCCTCATGTCATGGGGATTATAAAGCCACACCACCTTTCCTCTTCTCTAACAAACAAAGTCAGTTACACCCCAAGTACACCAACTTGTTACTACCTGCCAGTCTGGAAAGCCTCATACTTTGCTAATTTCACTCACAGCCTCTCTAAGAGCTGGGACTATCTGGCAAAGAAGAATTTCACAATAACCACATTATTTAGGTCAAGAGCAAGAGATTAAAGAAAAAGGATGGAATGCCACTGATAATATTCAATGGATTTTGTAGTTAGTCCAGGGCCTTTCAGCCTTCTTCAGAGAGGAGCACTAAAGAGCAAATTATATGTAAGGAAAAAAATTCTGACAGCTCACCAATTGATTTTCATTGAAAATCCTAAGAAAAATTAATAAAGAAGTTAAGCTGCTGAAATACAGTTTCAGCAATTAGCTTAATGTCAGAGAATTCTAATTAGGCGCCTTGAGATTGCTATTTAGCGTTTAAGCCTTTAGAGTGCCAAATTCTCCCTTTCACACAAACTGGTTGCAAAATTAAAGACATTAGGCAGCCTTAATTATATTATCAGAACAGCTGGGATTAGGCAATCTCTGAAGTCAAGGTGGTATTCTTTTGTCACAGGATAGAAATCCCTTGCTTTCCAGGGTGCCAGATTTTGGTGCTGTTCCATATCTCACCCATACAAAGCAAGCTGCATTAGAAACAAAAAAAAAAAAAAAAAAAGAGGACAAAGAACAGAGTAATGCTTAGCAAATAATGAACACATTAAGGGAAGAGAAAAGGTAGGTGAAAAGATTAAGCCTGAAATCGGTAGGTTTTGCTAACACCTCAGCTGGCACCTGGCCTACTGAGCCTCTAGTGGCAGGCAGACTAAGAGAAAGCTCTGTAAACCAGCTTGGCTAGTGGATACAACCCTGTTATCTAAAGCTAAAGCACATTTCGTACTCTCTTGTCCCATGGGGTGTGAAATTAGCAGCTATTGTTTTCACACATTTTTATAAACACAATGCCATTTATGTCTTTACACTGTTTAGACCGCTGTGTTTTTCTCCTCACATGGGAATCTTTTCTTTTTTTAAAATTTATTCAGATTTTAAATCAACAGGATTTTTATTCCAGGAACATGATGCTGGCATAAAAAAAAAACCAAAACAAACCACCAACAACCATTTTATCCACACAAACTTTAGCGAAACACAAACATCTAGAAACTGGCAAAACTCTACACAGTTTAGTCTGCAATCCAATAAATTAGTATTTCACCAAAAAAAACAGCGGAGGGAAATTAAACCACTCAGCTTGAAATGAGCATTTAAAATACCACAAGAGAGAAAGAACTACTCTTAATCAAGTGTTAACCTCCCCCACCCCCCCATCCCTACACAGGTCTTCTTGATGTAGAAAAAATATGCATTGGCTTTGTTGCGATGATCCTCTACATTTAATACCTTTCCCCACATAATTTAAAACAACTTTGGTTGTTAACATCTGTGTGAGCAGAGGCCTTTTTCTTACAGCTTGTAGAAAATTCTTTACCTGCTCTACTTTCTGCTTCTAGAAGTATTAGGAAAAAACAAACTACTCCTTTGATCCAGTTAAATAAGAACAATCTGCTGACAAAGCAACAACTAATATACTGATTACAATCATACTGAGCTCCAGCAGTTACAGCAGAAACCCAAGAAACATATCACAGCTTAAAATATTTATTCCACTGAAATGTTGCACTAATGTCCATTTACTACTCCTTAGAAACTTTAGAAACATATTCTGCTTCAGCACTGGTACAAAAATTTGATGAACAGTAAAGACATTAATTTCAAGAAAGAATTTTCTTATCCTAAAAAGTTAAGTTTTTTTCATTGCATTTGTGCTTTGAATGTGTTCAAGAGTGCCATCTTAGTTTCTTCAGAAAACTACGAAGCAAAGCATGTGGTTTTTACTCTAAAATATTTACACTATGTGTACGTGTTCACATGTGGACATAGAGGGCAGGGTGGAAAGGAGGAGTATGAGACAATATGCAAGCACACATCTTAAAAAGTGTAATAAAATGAGAATTTTCACTGGATAGGAACAAAATGGAATATTGTTATGTGTGCAGAAACAGAAATCCCAACACAAACACTGTGGGCAGCAGAGATGCAGTTTCTGCAATCCAGTGCATTTTGTGTACTTGTCTGAATTTCTGATACATGATCAGTAACCACAGGTGATACCAACTACTAAAACTCCAACTTGCATTAGTATTAGCACAGCAAAGAAGTCCAATCCTAATATAAACTGTTTAACCAAATAAGCACACATGGCAAGGAAAAATCCATGCCACATTAGCTAAGCAGTTCCTTTACCTGACAGGTAAACTCCTCCAGCATTAGGAGAATGCAGTTTGGCCAACAGCTGTGAACTGCCACCCTCTCTGCAAAACAACAATGCCAGACACCTCAAAACATTCCCTCCTCTGCAGCCCTTGGATACTGCTTCTGCCTCCAGTGCCAAAATTCTGCAAGCAGAGAACTCCACAAAATCCACTTTTATTAGCTGCTCAAGTTAACTTTGAATATTTTGTTAATTCATGCCACCCTAGAGGCCAGAGAGGCAGCTGACAGCAAACGAGCAATCTTATGGGCACCAAATTACAGGAGGCTTGAGTGGCTGTTCTGTGAGCTGGTACACAAGCTGTGTTCTCCACAGTGGGACAGCCTGGACATGACATGCAGGCACCTCCTTTGCCCCAGTTTATTCCCTTACGCAGCTGTTTAGAGGGGAACACTGGGGGATGGCTCTTACTGCTGCCTTCTCGACACTAGCAGTGTTATGCCACAACCAGGACTGATTCTCTATTTGCACTGCTCTGTCCTTTCATCTGGTACAAAGAGGCAATACAGAAGTGAAGATAAAATGTATTAGTCTCAGTCATGAAAGCAGATCTATGAGTCAACACAGAAAAGCCAACAAAAATAAAATGAGAGGGAGAACACTTCAGTTGAGAAAACAGGGATACGCTTTATTCCTTATTCAGCATCTTTTAATAGGAGACAGTAACAAAACCCTGAAACACTTGGCTCTGAAGTAAAAACTCACCTGCCCTGCCAGCTCCAAACGTTTATTTCCATAATAGTCTCTGTCATCTACTTTATTTTCTCCTTGAGCCAAAATTACTCTGCGTACCATCACTGCTGTGTATATGCACTTGGCACGAAAATTGAATTCCTTCACCTGTAAAAAATCCAAAAAAACTAAATAAAACAAAAACATATCAATGCTTCAGGATCAGCTCCTTAGTTCTTATTCAGACAAACCCACTGGTAATCCAGGCTGACTGAGTTACAAAAGGGATTTCAGCACTTTACTTTCTTTAAAAATGCAAAAAATAAACGTTAGTGACTTTGAAACAGATAGCAAATGAAAGTAAATCAGAATAAAGATATAGGTCATGAAAGATGAAAGCCCTGAATTCACACCTGATACTGTCTGGCCGTGTAGAAAAAAGTGCATGGTTTGATTAGTTCAATGGTACAGCATTTCACAAAGATTTCTTTTGATTCAATCCAAGTCTTCCCCTTTATTTTGAGGATGATTTACTTTATCTCAGCTACAAAGCCATCAAAGGCATTTTTCCCTGCCAACAAAGCTCGCACCATAAATAACCATACAAGCTTACTCTTGTTTAAAAAACCCCCAGAACATTACATACGAGCACATGGGTCAGAATGGTTGATGCCAGCAGCTCTCGGGCTTCTTCCATCTTTGTTTTCTTTGGGCCTCCCCACATCCTTTGCCTTCGTACTTTGTTTCCAATGTACTTCAATGCCTGTGAAGGGGGGAATTAACCTGAGTTAATATTAGAATTTTAACCTATACAAATACACACACATATTATGTGTGTATTCCTCAACCAGTGCCATCTCACCACCAATGGATGATACAATCAAACAAGCTGCAAAATAACAAAGATGTAAGTGATACTAACTTACAAACAAAACTTAACTAACAAAAAAAATTCCAGAAAATTGACACAATTGACGATGTATACAACGTGTTTGTCACAGGTTGGTAACATCTGGAATGGAAAGTGGTGGAAATTTATGATTACTGTAATACTAAAAGAAAGGATATGGCAGAGATATAGCAAAAAGGATTCTATAAATTCCAAAGATATCCAGTTTATTTAATTAGGCTTTTCACCTTCAGTTCTTTTGTGTACTTGCTAAATTCCATTCAGATATTAAACCATTAAACCTCACTGTTTAATATCCCCAAAAGCTACTGTGTGGCATCCATGTCTGTCTCCAGGAGTGCCTTGCAGTGGATTCTTACTTTCCTACCAGTTGTCAATCAATCCGTAGAATTCCTAGTTAGAAGAGTCCAGAAGCTGTCCAAGCCCACACAGGAAGTTCCTGCCTGGAAGTCATGAAGCTATGTGAAAGAATCACCCTCTCCACTAAATGACAGATTATCCTTTCCATCTGTTACACTCTTCCACAAAAAGCTATCTCTCTATTAACTTCATTTGACATTTCTTGCAGAGAATAACTTCTGTATTTCTGTTTTTCTAACTTTCTGAATACTTCACATTCCTCTGTGTTACTCCAGCTCACTTAATCATCTGAGACTGAATTAGGAGCTCTTCAAGCTAACTGGAACCCTCAAAAGCCCCCAAAGATGAAAGATGTTCACTTTAAAACACTAAACATCACACATGGAATGATTTGACAAAGTTTACAATGAAATAGCAGAAATAAGATTAATCTCCAAAAGCTTCTTCTAGCAGATTAATATATACCCATTTGCTCCCAGTAAAATGGCCCACAGCCTGGCTAACTAAAAAAGGTGCATGAGCTAAGAGAATTCTACTGAGTCTTTAGCAGGACGCAGGGTAGCTGCTATGCAGGCTTCATACAGGAGACTTAAACAGAAGAACATCTACTCATGATGAAATGGTCATAGCCACATCACAGGGCTTCAGCAAAATGGGGCATGCAATTCCCTTTTTAAAAGTCTTCAACAAACCCCCCTCATGTTATGGACATTGCTACTTTTTATATACAGGGTTATGCCATTAAAACACAACCCTGGGCTTCTGAAAACAAAGCATTGCTTGACTTTGACTTTTTTTTCTTCTTCGGTTAGGTTATGAGAGCCAAGTGTTTAAAAAGCCTCAGCTTGAAATAAATCCCCAAAACAAATCTTAAAACAGAAAGTCTATGTCCATTGCTGACACAGCAAAGTGGTCAATACCCACTATCTTGATTTTTATGGTCTCTGGCCATGTGAAAGGACACACCTGCATCTGTGTAAAAATCTGAGCTTTTTGGCATTCTTCCAGACTAGGAGCAAATGCAGCCATCACATGTTCCTCTGTGCCAATCATCTGTACAATCTCCTGGTCACTCTCAACACCCATGGCCTAGGAAAAGAAGAAAAGGCAGAAATAACACAGGCTTTATGTTAACTCACTGACATTTGCTTATGCTAATTTGGTATTGTTTGTCTGTATTACTACTAAGCAAGAGCTAGTTCTTCTCTAAGAAACTGTGCCATCTGGCACTGGCAGCACATATTCTGTGGAAATCTTGAAGCTATGGAAATCTTGATAAGCAGCAGGAACACACACACTTTTTGGGGTTTTCTTTCTTTTCTTCACTGACAGGAGTTAAATTCTGTGGGTTTTTTCTTAAGGAAAAAAAAATACTGAGTAAAAACAAACCAAAGTGTTTAACAATGAAAGCCAAGTCAGAATCTACAATAAAAGAAAGTGAAATTTCTTAAAGGAGTACTCACAGTCTCTTACCACAAGTAAGTTTGAAAACTCCATTTGTGATGTAGCTCATCATATTTGAGAAATGTTTACCCCTTTGCAGCTCTCTGCATTTAGAAGATGACTTCACTACACAATTCCACTTGAAAGACATTCTATTCTTTCACTGATCCATGGACACCTTGTTAGACTTTATACCGTGGAAAAAGCTTAATAAACTAAGAAAGCGCTTAACAGGTTTAGAAAAATCTCTCTATCAGTAAGTGTTTCAAGGTGGCAGCCAGCAGTGAAGGCTTTTGTGGATTCCAGATGGTGCTAAAGCTCCCCTCCTTCACACATTTGCCTGGAGCTCAGCCATATCAAGAAATGGAATAATCTCACTAAACCTCTTCTGGCTGAGTTATAATATGTTCCTCAGAACTGTGAGGAAGTTACGTTCGCAATCACATTATTCTCCAAAGTGCCTGCCACAAAGACCATCGTAAATAATGGCCCATGTAGACTCTAGCATTCTGGTTCTCATTAAAAACTGGCATTATCCCACAAAGTCGTATTTTCCTCAAAAATGCAGAAATACCTTCCCTTCTCGTTGCCTTCATGGAGTGTCACTTTGCTTAACACCTAGCAAACACCATTCCCTTGGAAAACTGTTGCTGTAATTGTGAAGTATTCAGCTTCTTTTTTTCTTTTGAACAAAGAAGTGGCTGAAGTTCCTTTTCACCTTGTGGTTTATTAGAAATTAAAAGTGCTGCAGAAGCATCACACACCCAGAACAGTGTGAGGACTCTCCTCTTTTAACTCAAAGCCCAGATCACAGTTCCTCCATCTCAGACAGACTTGAGTGCCAACTCAAGACACAGTTACTTCACCAGGTATGAGTGTTTCATCTTAGTCTGATGCCATTAAAGAGTTACCCCTCTGATCTCAAGGCTCTTTTCAGAACCAGAAGTTGGCCCTGTGATATTATTGTGGTTGGGATCTGTTTTTCAAATATTATTACACTTCCTCACCCTTTTAAATAAGGTCACACAGTAGTTAAAAAATCTCTGCAGAGAAGTTAACAAAATTCCCTCCTGACCTGAAAGCCAGACTCAAAAGATAAGTCTACAAAAGCATAAAAGTTTCACAACAGTAAGGTTCCATGTGTCTAGGATTTAACAGCTGACCAGCAAACTAGTTTAGGAACAACAACTAGATTCATATAATTATTGCATTTAGAAGTTTTCAGAAGAACAAAATTTTCGCGCCATTCTAGGCAAGTATAATACAAATACATTTATCTAAAGCACATCAACTGCAAGCTGGTATCACCCTGTTTCTGTCCATCAGGTTAATTTTAGGATGGCAACCAAATCTTAAGTGTCATATAAAATCTGGGGGGAAAAAGTGAATCTGATTTTTATTATGTTTTTTCATCCATTAAAAACTGAAAGCCATAGTAAATTAAAGAGGGTTGATGATTTCTTATGCCTTGATGAATACTCTGATCAAGTGTTACAGCAAAAGGATGAGAGTAAGACAGATCTTTATGCCTGCATAGATTTTCTAGCTGGAGTTTGTAGCAGCAAAATCACCTGAGATTCTAAATTTCTGAGTGGGAAAGGCTAGGATCTGTCAGCAAACAACATAGGTTGTGTTGTTAAATATGTGCAAATTTAAAAAAATTAATTTATGAGTAATGACTAAAACTCAGGTAAGTGACTGAAAAATATGTGATAATACAACAGCCTAAAAGTAAACCTATTTATTCTCCTTTATACTCTCAACCATCCTGAGCAGAGTTGTATACACAAAACCACCTACATGCAACACTAACAGGACAAGCAGCAGGCCCATGCTGCCTTCAGACAGATTTGTCATCTTAACACTTTGGTTTCCAATAAATTTGGCTCTGATGTTACCCTTCCAAGAAAAACCAAACAAACAACTAAAAAACCAAACCAATACAAGAGAAGTATTCCAGAATTAGCCTGTAACATCATTAGGACAGTAACAAAATATTCCTTGGTTGTTGCCTGTGTTACAGAAACACGGAAGACACTATAGGACAATATAGGAATGGGCCCTGCGCTTAAACACTCACGGTCCTAGGACAAAGCTGAAGGAAAGGGAATTAACATAAAAGCAAAGCAGTAGACAAGATGTCTTGTTTCTTTTTGATTGGAAGGCAATATCACAAAGGGATAATTTTATGGGGGAGGGGGGAAGGAGACATTGTAAAAGCATAATTTAACAGTGGCAGTGAAAGGATGAGGAAGGAGACAGGAGCAGGCTGCTGAAGACCACAGCTGAAGACTAGCAGTCAACGTACATAAAAAGACAAGGTAAAGCAAGCATTCAGATCATCCTGAGTTCAAGTGGGAGAAAGTGATCCAAGTGGGCTCAACTCCCTCCTAGGACTGGGGAGCTTTCCTCTGCCCAAATGTGTGTGTGTGTCCACATTTGTGTGTGCATATACATGTACAGATGAGAGTGTGAGCCCAGCTCTTCCTCCCCCAGCTCATGTCTTAATGATGATGTCTAGGCGTTTCCATGGCACTTCCCTAGAATGTAGTTCTGCACTCCATCAGGCTAAATTACAGCACAGAGACAGGCAGATGACTGGATTAAAAAGATGTCAGGGAAGTTCAAGGTTGACATCACAGACAGAATTGGTCTGGAGCTTTCATAATTCAAAAGATACGAGCTATGAAACAACAGCCATGGGAACCCATAATCCTGCAGATCCAGTCAGACCACCACCCAGCTGTTCCTCTACAGCTGCACCTTAACAGCTCCAAGGCTAAAGCCGGTTTGTAAAAATGAAACTCAACTTGCTGTTCAAATCTTTTGCCACAGGTCCTAGAGTGTTTCTTACAGTTCCCACATAAACTAAAGATACTTCATCTAGAGATTCAAGTCATAAAACTCAACTTTTAAGTCCCTGTAGGTTATTTATAATCCTCTTCCTTCCCTAACCAGTTTGGATGCAGCATGCAGCCTTCACTTACTTCAGCTCCCAGCCTTCACTTACTTCACTCAAGCCTACCAAATCGAGATCACAAACTCGAAAGAAAAATAGCCCTTACCTTTGAGCAGCTCTAACTCTCTCCAATGTAGGGAGCTTCCTGCAAAAGCAGCAGCACCATCTTACTTCCAACTCAAATGATTTTCAGGATAGAAACACCCTTACATACCACACAAATATTCCACACCTCCTCCAATGCCCACTGCTACCTGAAACTGTCCGAGTCCCCCAGGTAAAGCATGTGTACCTCCTAGCCCGACATTCAAAAGAGCACTGTGCACAGTTCACACAGCCCTATGAGATGTGCAAAACTGACAAAGCTAAAACAAAGGTCTCTTGGGGTTGCAAAGCAGCTCAAGACACCCTAAATACCCCTGTGGTCACATATGTATATCAACTAATAAAGAAGTGTTACAAAGTAAGCAGGAAGCAAATTAGCTGTGTTTGTTTCCCATTAAAAGGCAGTTAACAGCCCTTTAAAAAGTGCAACAGACACATACTTAAGGGGCAAAATTATCTGCTTTATGTCACTATTTCAAACTTAAAGTTGCATTTCCACATATAGGGACTGCACAAATGCTCCTATCACATATAAGAAGAAAGGTTAGGGAAAACTGCTTAAGCTAGCACAGCTACAAAGCTCTAACTCCCTCACATCTAAAGAGCAGATACCCCAAGTCTGCCCTAGAATAGTGCCAGGCATATGCCTTTTGTAGCCTATCAAATTTCAGTTAGTTGTGGTCAATGTGCTAAATTTCACAAAACCACAACTTACACATGTTTGGCACAACTGGCTGTAAAACGTCTGAGCATGCCCATCCCCAGGATCCCTACAGGTCTGGATGGCAGAAAAAAAAAAGCAACAGGACAAAGTCATTCTGGCTTGCAGTTATGGAGGAGGATGAATTGAATGTAGATGCCTACTTCAGGGTGACCCCACACAATCCAGTCCCTATCTATCCAGATCAAGGGACCTTTAGATCTATTCTATTTCCACAGCTCCCCACAGCCCAGGTGCCTGGGCTTCATTCCTCACCAAAAGCAAGGATGGTGAACACTGTGTTCAGGTCTTCCCCCAGCACGCAGCTCTGTCCATGACTTTATACCTGAAACACAAGGGTGACCTTAGAATCTAGCCTAGGGAGCTCTAAGAATTTTAGGCCTCAGCTCGATCAGTTGGTGATGTTTGTAATGTTATCTATTTCACAGTCCTTGCTTTTGACAAAGATTTCTATATACTAGAGGATATACTAGTACACCTCCACCTTACAGATGCAGTCAGTAGCTTTAAATACACTTTGGATTATAGATCTGCTATACTTGCTTTCTCTTCTATAATGCTACAATGATTTTCTGCACCTGATCTACTTCTAAAGTCACATACATCGAAAGACAATCCAGAATTGCTCACTGTCTCTCAGATAGTCCCTGACAAACTGTCCCCTCTACATGGCAAATGCACTGAATGGCAGCCCTCTACCAATTATTATTTGTTTTCTTAGTCAAAACACAGAGGTCTGTGGAACTTGGTTGTAGCCTGGGTGCTGGTTTGGGAGGAAATGCAGAGCAATAGATTTTTGCCATTGCTTTCTCATTTTAGAGAAAATCAATTAGAAATTAAACACGTAGCTGTTTCAGTACAAATTAAGGATTTAAAGGCAGTCATAACTTCAGATCTTAGATTGTCTATATAGCTTAATTTTGTCCCTTGCAGATGTGAATCTCTACATCACAAGAAGAAAAACAGCTATTAGTAACAAGGAAGACACATGCTTCATGCCCAAGGCTTGGGTGTTGGCATAAAGGAATTATTTTTCTTGCTTTTCCAACAAATATCCAGTGTATAATACTGCCATGTGAGAGACCTGAAGTTAGACAGGCATCCCTAAGTCTGGGATTCTCCAAGCTGAGGGCTATTGCATTTGTAATCTTGCTTCTAGTAGTTAAATAGAATGAGGCAATAGCACATTACAGCAGTGCCCAAGAAAGGAAAATTGCAGACTGGTGACTGCTCTCATTTCCAGCTGAAGACTCACCAGAAGCAGACAGAAGATCCCTGAATTTCATGTCATTAAAAGAAGAGTAAAAAAGATGACCACTCATGACAATTGCTGGAATGGAACACTCAGAATAGTTAAAGTGGGTGTAGCTAATTTGATACTGTATTAAATCAATATAAATAATTGAAAAGCATTACAGCCAAGAGATTATGACAACTGTGACCCCTTATTGAGTTAATAAATTAATAATTAAGGAATATTATCTAAAATATAAAAGATACTTAAGAAGAGGGGGATAATTACAGCAAGCATTGTTAGAAGGTAATAAAATATTCAGTACCATTTTGCTTAGATAAACAAGCCAACAACCATCTCCCCAGACAACAACCCAGAACAGTTACTCTACATGAGCAGGTATTTATCTGTACCAGCACAGGCTGACAAAGTGTAATAGAAGACTATAAGGTAAGGTGGAATCCAGTAGTTTGGTATTGGAGTAAATGGATTAAGAGCCACATTAACACTTCCCTGCAACACAAGAGTTGTGAAGTTAATTCTGGTACTTTTCGTACATTTCTGTCCATAAATACCTTCTCAAAACTCCTTTAACCCCAGTCACTAAAAACAGATGATCTCCTCTCTTATTTGAAGATATTTGCTTAATCAGAGGTAACAGCCATTTACTTCTCAAGTCTAAACCCAAGGATTAAACTATTTGCTAGTACCAAGGCACACCAAGTGCTGCAATAATTCGGACAAACCCGTAAATAACAGCTGTGTTGCAGGCACGACCAGCTCGGATGCTGCGACCTCGTGCTGCCCCCTCCTGGCACATCATTTCCTGCGACCACCTCTCCGAACCTTCTGGGCTGTAACCCACTACAGAGAACACAAGCAGAGAGTTTTGCCTAGATCCCTCCAGCCAGAGGCTTTTTTGTGCCTCCAAGAACGCAGCCCAATTTCCTCCTGCACACGCCATGTACCAGGCTGTAAGCCTACAGGCAGCAGCAAGGCAGGACAGGACAGGAAGGAGTTCCAGCTGCTGGCAGGACAGCTCTCAGCCTAAAGCCTGGCCATGCCCTACTGTCTTCTCTAGCAGCTGGACAGGGCATGTCCACCCACCACCTCTTCTGGCTGTAGTCCATGCATTTGATTCCACAGACAGAAAAGCAGAAACAATGACCCTTAACACAACTTGTAACATAGCTCATAACAAACCAGAATGCTTCTGACCTGTAGCAACAGAGGCACCTCATAAGGCAGAGTAAGGGGGTGGCAGGTATTTGTCTTGGCCCAGCAAAGCTCTCCTTGCAGAAAAATACAGCACTTATTCTCCTTTTTGCTGTACAATAAAGATTACTTCCCAGGGGAAAAAAGTTTGCAGTTTCTAAGCCCTGCCAAGTCCTTCTGTACATATTAACTTGAGAGCTGCTGTCAATCTTCGTTCTTGAGCTACAGCACAGCATTTTTCCCCTTTTCTTTTTTTTTTTTTTTCCCCAAACAAACAGCTGTGTTACCTTAAATATGATAGCAATGGGAATATCTTCTGACAGGGTGTTGTGCCTCAGGTAAAATCTTCCTTGTTTCACAACCATATTTGTTCTGCTCTTCTTCTCATGAGTGGAACTGAAGTTAAAATAGAAATAATACTATGTCCAACAGAGTGTTTGCACAGACTCCTAGAATCTTTTGTACAGAACTTAGCAAGCTTGAACAATCTTTCAGCTGAATTAATCCCATTTTTTCCTCTTTTAAAAATTACATCAAACCAGTCAGGGATCAGCCTGTAAGGGTATTATCACCTGTGCTGGGGACAATTTGGAATGTTTGACTTAAGCAAGTAGAAGTCTGTACTTTTCAAAATCATCTTTACATGCTCTGCTCATCAGTTTCGATGTGACCAGCTAGGTCAAACCGAACAAGTACTGCAGCAACAGTGGTAACGATGTAACAGCCCATTAACCTCATCCAGACTTACTGAGAGACAGTAGAGTATCTGGGAGAGACGGGAGGCCTCTGGAGTAGAAAAAACAGCTCTCACACTGAACAATGACAAGCACCATAGAATAGACCAGAATGCAACTTAAAAAAAAAAAACCAACAAACCAAAGGTCAAACAAAATAGAAACAAAACTTGATCAAGGAGGAAAGGCCAAATTTAGACTACTTTGCCATTTTCAGTAATTTGTGTTGGACAAAAATATTTGTTTCATCCTCAGCTGCCCTTGCCTTTAAATATTTTTATGCCGTTTTTATGTAGAGAGGCGGACAAAAGGCTACATCCAATTTCCACTGCAGTAACTTCCGGTTACTTGCTGCAAACACCATCAGTTACAAAGTGCACTTTGTTACAGTAAAAATCAGAACTTGCTTTTCCTAATCTGAGATCAATCCTGAAACACATGAGCAACTCTCACTGATTTTTGTAGGAATACTATTCTGCTTAGGGATTGAAGTTATAGCACACAAAATGACAGTAGAAAGAGAGGAGCATTGAATATCTACAGCTTTTTCTGGTTCAACTATACTAGGAAGAAACCTCCACAACTATTTCAACTACAACAATTAAGTTCTAAAGCTTTGGGTTTCTCACCTTTATGTAATGGTAGGAATTCACCATACCTGGTAACAGAAGCGCCAACTGTGCCTTTTCTATCAGCTTCAACAATGATTCTGTTTTTGGATAACTGCTCTTGAATAAGAATGACTTTTTCAACACCTTTAACAATGAAATAGCCACCTAGTTAACAGAAAAAAATATTGTGCATGTCAGTACCCTCACACCTTACCTGCCTCCTCCAATATGCTTTTGAATATAAATTATTAGAAGTAAACTGTAAGTACACAATGGGAGAGTAAATTCTCCCTTAAAAGAGTAATGAACAAACTTGACAGACAAAAACCAAAAAATTTGTTTGTTATAACCCTCCAACTTCTCTCTAGATATCAAATAATACCATGTAACACTTTATTCTTGCTTTAAAAAAGGCAATGACAAAGGAGAGTTCCCACTCTGGAGGACATCATACTCCACTCTTTCCTAATCTGTTTAATTTTCAATGAATTAACTCATCTATTTCCTCCCACAGCACATCACTGTAGAACACTATACACAAAATTCAAAATAAAATACTCAAAATTTTGGTGTGTTGCTTTTTGGCATTGAAAACTTTTTTTGCAAATACCAACTATTCATGTTCTCAACGAAAACCCTGACAATTTATTTTAGCTGCAAGCAGACACTTGAGAAGTTTCCACAAGACTTAATGGTGGCAGAAAAGATACCAAAGGGGCATTTCTTTGCTGAAAAAGATTTAAAACTCAAAGCACAGATGGGTAAAAAAAAAGAACATGAGTGAAAATGTACCTGGATCTAATGGACACTCATTTAGTTTGGCAAATTCTGCTGGAGTTTTCCCAGTGAGTACACAATTGGAGCTACGCAGCATTATAGGCATTCTGCAAGAAAACCAGTTACAATTTTACTTCAGACTCGTACAGAAAAATATGAATAGTCAAATTCAGGACAAAAACCAGGCTGAACAAACTGGAGATGACTCATTTAGTTTGGCAAATTCTGCTGGAGTTTTCCCAGTAAGTACACAATTGGAGCTACGCAGCATTATAGGCATTCTGCAAGAAAACCAGTTACAATTTTACTTCAGACTCGTACAGAAAAATATGAATAGTCAAATTCAGGCTGAACAAACTGGAGATACACATTTAAGGTAATCAGACCTCATGCATGCTGTAACCAACAGGTTTTCATTTAAATTCACCTTATTTCATTGAACATGTAATTGAAAAGAGACCTGAAACTGGACACCTGCAAGCAGAAACCACAGACTTCCTATTTAATTGTTATGCAGCAGGCATTGTGACAAGCAAGGTCACAGAGTCCAATGACCATTAGTGCAAAGACTCTTGGTCCCTAAAACAGTCTGCAGAGAACCTGCCATTGCATACCCACTGTTACCACTTCTTCTAAGACAAAGTTAGTTCATATCTCATTTCCCACACAGGAATGACACCTTCTGGCTGCAGAGAGATAGTGCCTCTAATTCATAAGCATGAAGTTTCCCCGGTAGTAACTCTGATTTCCCTGGTGTCCTAGCAGTGAAGCCTGCAAGCAAGCATTTTGTGAAGCAACATGTGGTGGAAAGATATTCCCAGAAATTTTAAGAAATTCAGTGCTTAGGGAAGTAAATGAAAGAGAAACGAAAGATTCACAGACTGCATGTGAGGCAAAACTTCTTCATGAGGGCAGTCCAAAAGTGCAAAAGCTGCACAGGGAAGTTGGGCAGTCTGCATTCATGGAGGTCTTCAGGACCTGACAGGATGAAGCACTGAGCAACCTGGTTTGATCACAGAGCTGACCCATTTTGAGCAGGCGCCTGTACTAGAGGCTGAGAAGGAGATCGTACTCTTTCAACCTGAACTGCTCTATCACCCCATGATAAATCATGGAATGCCCACTTTAAATTGGGCTTATTCAACAACTAACCCACAATGATTTTGCAGTTATTATTGAAAAGTGTACTTTCATAGTCAGCTTCATAATGTACCTTTTCACTCCCAGATTTTTCATTAAAACTTTAGAAAGAGAGCACAGTTTACTTCTAAAGAGAAAGCTGTATTTTGCAAAAGATAAAAAACAGTTTACCACTACATCTACCAAAAGATCTCCATGCCCTTTAACCTCTTCTACAAAAAAGCTGACTTTTGATCCAGCTTACAGAATTTCACTCCTTGGTGGACAGCCTTTGTAAGAACTGTGTTCCAAGTGTTTTCTAAAACACATGTTGACAAAAACTATTTGTGAGTTCTACTACACAAATATTTTCAACCTCTGAGATATTTCATTCAAATTTACTTTAATAAAAAACAAGACTAGGCTATACTTCTTGTATTCAAATCCCATAAATTATTTTAATTTCTTCTTTAGTTTCTTAATTTATTTCATGTTTTCATATTCTTATATCTTAAAAGTAAACTGATGAACTCAAATTCTGTACTTCTGCAGAGTAAAAAAAGCTATCTTGTCACTTTACTTCACTGAGAAAGTGCTTCCTAGAGAAAAGAAGCTTCATATGACAAGCAAAATCTATCACACACAATATAAGCTTAATGCATTGGCTGTCTATATCAGAAACAGGAAGCAGTTGGCATCATGTAAAATGGAATACTCAAATGCCATTACTGAAACTCCAGTGAAACATCTGTCCCAGTCCAAACTGCATGCCAAGCAAGAGCACTGGCCAAAGGAAACAAGTATAATCCTAGGGACAGATGAGCAAAATTATTTCCCATGGAAATAATAACTGGATATTAACAGTTTTTAACAGCAAAAAACTTTTTGCATGTATGCCCTTAAGGCCAGTCTAGTAACGTAACTTAAGCAATTTTAAATGAAAGCTTAGCTTGTGCAGCAGAACTAATGTTTGCTCTACTGGTTTTATCATTCACCTTCCACAGATTCTACTCTACATACTATATATGAAAGACTGAGCAATTTAGCTACAAAGCAAACATGCCTGATTTCATTTCACAATAATGCAGCCTGCAGCTCCAGGCATGCATTTTCCTCTGTGGTTTTATATCAACAGAATCAGAGACAACATTCATCCTTATATCCATCCTTCTCTGGAAGGAGACATTATCAGAGGCTTTTGCAAAACAAGATCTTAGACCCTAAAAATCCTGTACAGCTGTTTATGGAGATTTGCCTGCTCATGGTTTCTTTTAACACGGAAGCAAGGTTGGCCTACATCTGTTTTGCAGTAAAAACACTTCCCAGCACGGCACCAAATGAAAAACGCTAGCAGCAGCTCAGCACATGGTCTCACCTGCCAATGGGTAAGGCATTGCGGATGATCCTCTGGCTGCCTCGGGTGTATTCAATATCCACGGTAATCGGTGCGGAATAGGTCATGTCCCTCAGGCGGCACTGGAAGGACAAAAGGCACACAACAGGTCAGGTGCTGACTTCAAGCTCAAGAATCTCTCTTAAAACAGCCTCTATTTGCCCTGTCCTGTAAGTCCTCACAAAGAAATCAAGCAAAGCAAAACTTCAGCAAGATCTTCTTGATACCTGAAGAATGTTGAATGAACCTGACAAACTCTCCGTTCTGTTTTTGTTTAAAACAAAATCCAAGAAAATCCAAATACAATTGCTCGGATTTTCAAAAGCAGCCAGCAGATCTGTGCCTTCAGAAGACAGCACAGCAGAGCTTAACTTCTAAACTCTCTAATTAAACCAACAGGTCTAATTAAACAAACAGGTCTAATCAGCAGAGCTGGCACAAAGACCACAGTGTGTCTGAGCAGTGCTCAGTTCAGGGAATTTCTGTATGTGGACTCCCAACAGCTGAAGACTTGTGCTGCCATATAAAGCCTGACAAAATGGAAAGGCACAAGATTGACAGAGACACCATTACCTTACTAAAATGAGCAAACCTCACTGTATGGTACCGTTTCTAACGATGACTTACAGAAGGCTCACTACAGAATCACTTCCTGCAAAGATTCCCAGAATTTGTCTGCAAATTCCTTGGGGACCAAGAGAGGCAGAATAAACATATCTAGGGCACTAGATACCTCAAGGCTCAATCATTTCTAATCCAATCTTTCTGGTCTGCTCTTCCCAGCCTCCCTCTAAGATGTTGCCAGCCCTTAAGGTATTGCATCTCTTCATGCAAGACAGGCCTGACTGCATCTGCTGAACACAACAGAACAACTCACAGCAGGTCATTCATGACCTCACTGAGCATGCTTTACCTTTCAGCTCCAGGATTACAGGTTTAACAGCAGCCAGACTTGCACATTTATACTTCTGCAGTCTTTCAGTTTGTTGATTATGTACTAACAAAAGGCAATTAAGATGATGCTGTGTATTGAAGATGCAGCTCTAGTGAAAAACAGGCCTCAAGAATCATCCCAAACCGGATGCTTCTCCTCTCCACACTACACAGTAAACCTCTTCTCCAGTAATAAAATACTGATATACACCAGCAGCTCGCAAGCCATGCCTTGCAGGAAACTAGGTGCCACTCTGCTCCCAGCAACTACCTCCAATTCAAAAGTAACTGAGAATATTTCCATATCCTAATTACTTTAAATCCATCTGTATGAACAGATCATGAAACTTCCATAAGGACTGGAGGAAAAAGAAAGTTAGACAGCCTTTTTAGTACTACTTGAGGGAAAAATGCCTTGGGATTCTCTGTGTGTGCTTTTTTAACACAGGACACAGATATAAAATACAAATTACAGTGTAATTTTCCAGCATGTTCCTTGAGGTAACTTCTTACCATAGACATCTGAAAGTAAAAAACAAGCACGACTTGATATACACTCAGACTCTCACAAAAATCTAATGATTTTAGGTGGTTTTGGGAAGGAGCTTTCAACAGAGAAATATAACAGCAGGCTCCTAACTATCTAATGTTTTTTTTTATTTTAAGGCACCCAGGCTTGACCTGAGCAGCATTCTATTTAAGAAAACAACTGTGGCCTCCATTTGTATACAGCACACTGAAAATAAAGAGAAATTATGCACTAGCACTAAGCATCAATGAGACTATATGAAATACAAGAGTATCTCATTCTAAACTCAAGGTCAATATGCTCTATAAGCATTTATTTTCCCTTCTTCTGTATGTACAGTCACTTTAGCTATACAGTAAGAAAGCATATTAATACCTGAATTCTTGAATATGAGTTGTTGGCCACAAACAATTTTTTGCATGCAATTTAATTAATATGAAAGAAATGTTTCCTGTTGCATTTTGTGCATGCTCACATCTACTGACTGAACATTAGCTACACATTTGTGAGATGCAGCAACTATCATGTATTACACCTGGCTGAGTTATTAGCTTTATTTTAAAGCTTTCCATCAAACCAAATGAGATTTGAGTCAGGTCACTGGAGACAGAAAGTGGCCATGCCCAAGCAGCACAGCTGATTCTGACAGGATTTCTCCAAAGCACAGAATGTATTTCATTATAGTCTAGACTGGATGACAAAAAACACATTTCAAGTATCAAGTGGATACAGCAAGGAAAAAAGCATCAGATACATTAACTGAGTTATGAGGTTGACAACAGCCTGCATGCAGGTAAATAAGTGCAAATTCCAAGCTCAGTTCCCCCTCCAGAGACCAAAAAGAAGTGGTCACTACCTCTGTTGCAGTGGTATAAATCTCAAAGCACAGTAGCAGGAGAGAAATACTCTGTTCCTGAGCACTTTGAAGAGAACTGGATGGCTCTAGATAAACGAAAGCAATCCTAAAAAGTTCAAAGCTTATGTTAGCATATGGCTTTCTCATACCTATGGAAACTACCTTGTATCCTATTGGTCAAAACCAAGAGACTTTCTGATTTCAGCAGGATGTCCTACAACATACATCTTTATTCCAGAAGTACACAATCCGCTCATACCTATGGAAACTACCTTGTATCCTATTGGTCAAAACCAAGAGACTTTCTGATTTCAGTCACAGCAGGATGTCCTACAACATAGATCTTTATTCCAGAAGTACACAATCCATTTGTTAACCTAGATGCCTACAGCACTGCAATGAAATTAAATATACTCTCCAGAAGGATGTTCTTCTGCAGCTTCTTATAAACCTAGATGCCTACAGCACTGCAATGAAATTAAATATACTCTCCAGAAGGATAATGTTCTTCTGCAGCTTCTTATAGCTTTAACAATTTCCATCTGTTTCTCTTTAAAATTTCCATGTTTGCTTTCTGAATCAGACATTAAAAATATGAGCAAAAAATCAGATACAAGTTCCAAAAGACTGGAAAGGAAACAGAGACTGAAGTGACCTGTGGTGCAGACAGTAGCAGGGCTAATATTAAAAAGAAGTAAATAAGAATATCAAAGAACCCTACATTATGGCATGAGGACTTCAGCTCTGTCATGAGAGCCGTAAGATGAAGCAAGAGAAGTACTTTTCACTACTTTCATGGAAACCCACTCAAATTCAGCTAACACAAAACACTGAATACAGCAAAAAAAATCTTAACAATTTTAAAAAAAATTAAAAAAGCTTTATTCAATGATGTTTAAGTTCTGAAGCTTTTTACAGTGATGGTGGAATGCAATGCACTACCTAAGGTAACACTCACATACTCAAAATTACATGCAGCTATTATCCCAGACATTCCCAAGCTAAAAAAACTCAGTAAGATAGACGCAAACATTAATACCTCATGAGGTGATACAGGTCGTGTCACATTGAAGCTTTCTTCCACATCTGGAGTACCCACATAGATATTGAGGTACCTGTAATACAATTTCACAATAAGCTATGAGGCAAATATTTTTCAGGCAACCTGAAGAAAGCAAAATTTTACATACACTGAAAAATGAAATTACTTGATGAACACAAGTTGATTAATAATGAGCAATCGTTTTTCTCAAAGTAACTCATTGTATTTGAGTTGTGGTCAAATAATAAAAATTTAGCCTGCATGTGCAGTAAACCTTTAAATATTCCCATCTTTCATTGCATAAAGAGACAAGTCACAGAAAACACCCTCTTGATTTATTCCTACACAAGTGCTTACAAACACTTTACAGCTGATAACAAACCCCTGAGACAGCACTCATGCTGCTACTGATATGGAAATCATCTCATGCTTACTTCAGGTACCACATTGGGTCAGCATCACTTGTGACTTTTTCATTGGCCTTCATGATTTTCTTTATCTGGAGGTGAAAAAGAACAAAATGGATCCATGGCCTTTTCTGAGTGCTAAGAGCCACTCTCCCCCCACCCCAGGAGAGCCTACCTCGACATTGATGAAATAGTTGAATGAGTCTATGTGCTGCTTCACCAGTCCTTTCACCTGAAAAATAATGCACACAGCAAATAAAATCAGCCTCAGTAACGTTAATCACACAAGACATAAATTAAGAGATAAGCATTTATAACTGGTTTTGAATAACTGTGCTAAATTCTTTCAGCTGACAAACTTCTGGGAAGTGGCTGGTTGCTCACTCTGGTTCTCCACTACATTTCCAAGCTTACACTGGAACTGTCATATAAAGAGCATGGATAGGGTCTCTGAGAGCCAGTAAAACAGGAAAATAATCTGGAAACATTACATATATACAGAATGGATTGAGCATAACCACAACAAAAGGCAAACCTATAGGAGGATGTCTCCACAAAATAATCTGTAAACTAATCAAGAAGACAATCTATGGAACAAGTCTATTGATAACTGCAAGGAACTAAAACAAAAGGCAAAATCCACAGGAGTGAGAACAGGTATTCTGGGAAACAGTAAAAGCCAGAAGAAGGGAATGTAAAGTTAGAAAGGAGATCAAATATTCACACCTTGAAATGAGTGTGTAGCACTAACCTTTAGAAATGCTGGAAGAAGTCTCCATTTTTCCTGAAAACAAAAACCAGTTTGAAACATCTTTTCAAGGAGTAGCCAAATATCTAACATGCCTGAGCTTTTTGTCTGCATATTTCATTGTTATTGTTGTTTTTCGAACAGTAACATTATTTTAAATCAGATCCATTTAGGAAAAAAAAAAAACAAAAAACAAAAATCAACTGTCTAAAGCCAACAGAGATGTATTAAAACTACCTGGATCATCTCAGTAAACCATACATGCAGTATTTTCTCAGGATGCAATGGCACACTGCTTTTCTAAGAGCAGCTTATGTGAAAATATATTTTTCTGAGACAATTCCTTAACACCACGTCCTCATTTAAGATCAACTAACATTTTTTTGGATTTGTTCTCTTAACACTGCAAATTATATTCCTAGAAAGGGAAGATTTCCTACAACTTTTACTTTACAAAATACATGCAAGAACCTGGGAGCAGCACTTGTCTCTGTAACACTTATCAGGACTCTAAATCCTACAAAGATGTAGCAAAAGTACTGCAAGTGCTAAGCATATCAAGGTTCCTACAAACTTTCCCCGATTTCTAATCTTTGATGAGCACAGGGAACATCTCTTTATGTCAGCCCCACTTTCTCCCCCCATGGCAGTGCAAAAAACTTGCATATATCTTTGGCCGGAGACAAAATCCTTTTATTTAGGAAGAGTGCTCCCAGATCTCATATGCTTCTCCATCTACTACAAAATTAATAACCAAAAAAAACCTGTAGAAAATTGTTCATTTTGTTCTATCCACAGAAATGTTGATGGTGCTCTTGGCTTTCAGCCTCCACTGCTGCTGTTTGTTAATCTACTATACTTGCTTGTGATCCTCATTTAACCTCTAATAATGGAAAAGCCAATGAAGTAAAAAGGAACACATGCAGTACGGTGGCTTTTAATACCGCTCCTTCGTGGTTTATGTGCAGTAGCGTTTACAGTCTGCAAAGTTGAAGAGCGGCTGATTTCAGGTTTTTATCATTTAAGTGTAATGTCTAAAAAAAGGGGGTTAATCTGTTAAATAGTAATGCAATTAAACTGATGACCTAAGGAAGCGCCTAATGATTTTAATCTTAAGCAAATCATGCAAGGCCAGGCTGGCAGGGGCACGGGGCAGCCTGGTGCAGGACACGAGCTGCGAGGCCCTTCCACGCAGCCCGCTCCGCGACTCTGCCTGCGGGACACAGCCGGGACAGCGACCGGGGACGGCACGGCGCCGCAGGAGGGCCCGGAGCGGCTGCCCAGGGGCAGCTCGGAGCACACAACCCCCAGCCCACACACACGAACACAAACATAAACACACACACACACACCCACACACACCGAGCGGCGCAGCACGGGCAGGGGGGACTCCACGTGTGCGCCGGCAGAAGACTCTTTCCACCCCACCCCAGCTCGGCTGAGCCCGGCCACACTCCAGCAGAGCCCGAGGCGCGCCCGGCCGCTTGCCCCTCGCCCCGCTGACCTCCACCGTGTTGACCGGGGCCGCCGCCTGCTCCGGGGTGAGCGCGCCGAGCCCCAGCGCCTCCATCGCCACCCGCCCACCGCGGCGCTGCAGCACAGCGCGTCCCCCCGCGCTCCAGCGCGGCGCCCGAAGGTTCCGGCCCCGCGCAGCCCGGGCGCCGCCGAGCGCAGCCAGGCCCCGGCAGCCCGGCCTTCCCTCTGCTGGCAGCCCGCCCCGCCGGGGCACTGCGGAGCTGGCAGCGCCCGGGGGTCCCCCCTGAATCCCCGAGTCGGTCACCGCCCCCCGCCGGCGCAGCCGGGAGCCGGGAGGCGGCAGGGACACGGAGCAGTTGGGCTTTAAACGGCTTTCCTGCAGTTTTCAGCTTGTAAAGTAACGCGGGGCACCAGCTTTTACCGTTATTTACTATTATTATTATTATTATTATTATTATTATTATTATTATTATTTTGAATGCTGTAGCTGAATCACCTACAAATTTATTTGTTCTCCTTTACAAGGGTCGGTGGTACAGAGACAGCAAAATCGCAGATTTGGAGCTACTCATCTGCCCCAGTTCAAGATTAAACGAGAAGCACTAGTGATCTCTGCAGATTCCTATGGCAGTAAGATATATATATATATATATGTAAATATAGTAATTGGTAAGTAAGTTCTAAAAAGACTGTGAAAACAGCACATACAGACGTCTGCCCGCGCTCAGGTTCCACATTCACGGGGGTGGGTCTGGGCTCCACCCATCCTGGACACTAAGGCCCTACCCTAAAGAGGAGCAGCATTGCAGACTCCTTCCATTTGGTTTCCTGCCTAAAGCGCACAGCCAGTGGAGAATTCGTTTAATACGTGGCAATCCATGTTTAATCCATGCAAGGCCTCTGTCGGGCAAGAAGCCTGGAGCAGTTTCTCACAGGAGTCACCCCTGCAGTCCACTCCCCCTCCAACTCTGCCATGCAAACCCAATACATCCTTCATCCAAATAGTCAGATTTAAGCAGACAACTGTTTTGAATATTATTTGTACAGCTGGGTTAAAGTCACTACTCTACACTGGAGCTGCTTCTGAGAAGTAACAGAAAAACAGTCACAGCAGAATATTAGTGGAGTTGTTTATCTTTGGCATTTAACAATCTGTTGCATTTAACAATGCTTGTGTAAATGACTTTTCACCACTGCTGGTATCACAAACAAAATTCAATGCATACAAACCCTCAAATACTTGATTTTTAACAAAGCTGCTACAGAATGGCATCTTGTTTCACACGGACAACTTCTGAGTAGAGGCAAGTGCATTTCAGGCACAGTAGCATAAATAGCATGCAACACATGACATTAAACAGATGCAATGTCCCTGTTTGAAACATGAAATTAAAACATATTAAACAATCACTTGAAACACAGGCCATGCTATAAAATGCCCTTTGCAAGTCACCTTAATCCCCACCCCCCCATAAATGCTATGCTTTGAGTATTTACTGGTAAAAACTAGTAGGACAGTTGTCCCAGCTCATTAAAGAGCTGAAGTTTGATGTTTATTTGTACAACAGAATGTATATAAAATATTACATTTAGAAGTTCATAACCATATTAGCAATCACCTTCAAATGTTCATAAAATTCTCTTTTGGCTGAAGCTCAAAATCATGTAAGTATTTCTAAAATTGCAGAAAATCACTAAGATTAATTCCCTCTAGCTGCTTTTGAAATGCATTCCTCTCTTAATGATTTTGAATTGCCTACCAAAATTTCATATTCATCTGAACAAGCCTGGCTTACCTAGTGGCACAGTTAGGATCATCTAAGAGTTCCTTTCTCCTAGGTTTTCCAGGAAACTGTTCCCTTTAAAATATGTATTCATCTTTATTGCAATGTTTTCACAAACAGGGGAGAGAAGACAAGTGCACTAGAGAAATTTCTCTAAAAAAGGCATTTTGAAGAAAGTTTTCCTTAACATTTACATGTGACCAAAGACCTTGGACACTGAAGAAAAACTGAATAAAGTAATTTCCTTTGCTATAAAGGGTACACATTCCCGTAGAAATGGACTACAAAACCACAGTGCTAATAATGCCCAGGTTTTTTAGACCTTTATGATAGACACAGTAATGTACATAAACAATTTGTGTGACACATTATGCTTTTACAGGTTATTTTTGTCTCTTCATAAAAAATAGGCTGTAATATAAAATATTAAAAACAAGCTCCAACTTGTACCACACCAAGGTTTTCAATATATGACATCTTAAAAGGAGTATTATATGGTAATATATTAAAATATCATTTTCAAGTAAATTATCAGTTTCATAGACAAGAACACGTCTATAATATGTACTCCAGCACTACTTAATCCCAGTAATCTGAAATATGCAAGATAAAGCCTGTGTAAACTTAAAGAAGTTCACTTCCACATTTCTCTATTTCAACCCTATTCATTTTCTGTATGCAAGATTCCCAATGCCTTAAATGGGAACTAAGTATTGGGGCCCAGTCCAAAGAAATTTGAGGAAAACAGGAGCATTTCTCACACACTCCGTAAAAAAGTGAATACAGTAATATTTTCAAAAATTACTAATTACTCAGGTTCTTGTTTCCAGAGCTAAGAATATCCTGTGAAAATTTTACATTCTGTTGGATAAGGGCATGAAAGGGGCACTTCTTCTGTAGTACACTGTAAGGTCAGGGTTAAGTGCTTTTGGGAATAAAGGTTAGAAAGACCTAACTTAAAAATACTTTATATCCATCCATTAAGATCAAAGATCAATACATACACATATTAAAAATTCTGTATGACCTCCACTGAATAAACAAAATGCTTATAAACACATTAATTATATACAGAAATTTACTCCACCCCCAACATCATGTTTCTCAGGTGTTTATCATTAATCTCAAGTAGAGCTGAGAAGTTCTGAGTGATTCATACTTGAAGTGGTGAATGCTGCTTCTGTAACAGCTATACTACAAACAGTTTGTAACACTGGCATTCCTTAATGTAACAGAGGCAAAGTCCTGGGTCCAGTAATTGCAGAAGTACCTGCACTTGGCCTGGGATGACCCTGGGTTTGGTTACTAAAGCAGTTATGCCATACTGTCTTCTTCAAAGTATTCTCAGAAACATAATTGTTGTCTGAGATGCTACTCTACAAAAATACAATGTAAGCATAGTACATTTTATCTACAGTTTTGTCATTTCCTAATATGCACTGCTATATGTAAATATATTTGAGTTTAAAAATAACATTGTTTTGATGGTGGCAAAACAGTAAGTACATTGCCAGCTCTTTCCCACTACAAGTCATAATAAATGCTTGCTATGGAAATTAATAATTCTCTGGCTATTACAAGTGACAATCCATTAAACAAATATTTTTCTATTAAAATATATATATGACCTTGACATTAATTTCTTTACAGTCAATTTCTGAAACTATCTGTATACATTCAACAAGACCTTTCCCCATCAACAGTCACTGGAGTAGGCTGTTCTTAGAGATGTGACTTCCCCACTGTCTTGGAAGATTAAAAAAAGGGCACATTTTTTTAATTGCTCGATGTTTCTGCTTCTGTTTTCTCCATTGCTGCCTCAGGAAAAAGCAGTTTTCTAAGTATATTTGCATAGAATGGTCCATACACTTTTTTATTGAAGTTTACAATGCTTGCATACTGAGATCCCAGAAATTCTATCTCTGTCTGAATCACAGAAAGGCCTCCTGGCATAGTAGGCATACACTTCTGAAAACTCGGAAGAGCAAGCAAGCTTCTCATGAAGAGCTGGATTCGTTTGTCTGAAATGGAATATAAAGTATGCTCAGAACAAATGTAAACCCAAGATGATGCCATAGTCACTTTTTAAGTACCCTGAAAACCAAAAATGTAAGCAAGAACTCTTTTCCAAGATTGCTTTGGAGTGGAAAACAATACTGTAAGCTTCTTAAATTTGGCTACTGCAAGGTGGACACAGCATAAACCTACTGCAACAAGTTACATTAACAAATATGAAGTAGACTCAAAGGAAAGAAAAAAACACAGTAGGTTGAAACCCAGGATGGACAGAAAGAAGACCAAACATTCATTTTATCTAAATTCTTCTCCAAAATACTAGGCTGCCTAGGTTTGTCTCTACATGCACTTTTACAATTATTTCCAGCTGTGACTAACCATGCTCTGCAACATACCCAGAATACCATTTCCAAGTAAACACCATATCCTTAGTCTTAGTTGAGCCACTATTTTACTGCAGTAAGAAAATACTTTTAGAAGATAATGAGACAGCTGATTAAGCTTGCTGGAAGTTTATAAACAGACACATATAATATGACAATTAGGTAGTCTCTTACTAACCAATCAAGGAAGAGACAGGATTATTCTTCTCAACAATATGAGCGATTTGACCCATTAAATTACTCTGCATTTCTTCACTAAGAGTGGGAAGACCTCTTTCACTTAGAGACTTGTTCACTATGCTGCAAATCTGGACGCCAATAGCATTCAGAGCCTCCTTCAAGTCAAAACTTCTGGAAGAAAGAGAAAAGCATTACATTCTGCAGTTTCTGTAGCATTGGTTGTCTCCCTTCCCTTTTATTTTCAGCCTGGTCTTCACAATGAGAATTTTGAAAAGTTATCTTTTGCTGCAGATTTATATAAATCTACATATACAGAAGATAAAATAAAGACCTAGCTGTGATTCAAATGGGAAAAGTAATTTCACGTGTGCAGCAGTGACACCAGTTCACTTTATCCTTGTGCCTAGGTGTTTTTCTGCACCTGCATAGCATTTCATGAGAAAAAACAGAGTAGAAAATTCTTTTAAAAGACAGCCATAGACATCAGACTTTGCAAGCAGCCAAAGAAATAGGCAGCCAAGCAACTTGAACTACCTACAACAAGTTTGAAGCAATTCCCAAGAGGATTTAGTGAATGTACTGCCACAATCTCTCCAGTATTAGGAGTGTATGAATGAACTTTACTACTGGGTTCCAACATTCGTACATTAACATCAAAACTAAGATTTCATTAAAATCTACTTTTGAAAATATGTGTCTAACATATAGTGCCCTTGTATCTTAAAGAGAATACAGAAATTATTAAAATTTGGTATCTTCCTATTAATAACAAGCATCAGTTATGACACTAGAATTGTTTCCAATTATGTACTGTCCAAAAAAGAGTTTTATAAGGGGGGAAAAAAAGGTCTTACTTCTTATTCATGCCTTCAAGAAGAGGAAGGGAGATCCTTTTCAGCTGGTCAGCGAAATCAGGCACATCTACAATTGCTGCACCCACCATGTTGTTTGTTATGAGAGAAACACAAGCTATGACTTTCAATTGATTGAGCTTTTCTCTCAACTCCTGAAGACGGACTTCGTCTGTTATTAGAGTCTAGAATTGAAACAGTAATACTAATTTAGGAATAAGGAGGGAGAGAGACAGGAAAAGGACAGATCTAGGATGTAGTCATGAAGCACTATTATTTTTAATCATAAATATGCAAACCCAGAGGAGACAGCAACTAAAATACCCTAAATATGTAGTATAATATAACGTGGCATTATGTAAAAGTACCAGAAGTAAACCTGTGGCGGGAAGAAAAGTAATGAGGAAACTGAGGACATTGCACCTTATTCCTCATCACTGCTGACAAATTTGTAACCAACAAATTTGTCAACCAAATTCAGCCCACAACATGGAGTGCTCAGAAGATCCAGAGGACATTGTCCTGACCAAGTAACAGACAGAACAGTCTTCTGGATTTGGGTGTCTTTTGAAAAAATGCCAAGATTTGTAACTGATGGATAATAATGAACAACTGTGCTTGACAACCACCAATTCAACCACCAGAGCAGGTTCTGCAAGTGATACATAACCCGCTTAAGGCAAAAAGCCAGCTGATCATACCAAGAACATAAATAATCCCCACAGCAAGATGTAGCTGGAGTTCATTTTAGGTTACAAAGAGTTCATCCTGAGCAGCACAGGATGTAGCAACTGCAGTTGGTAGCAATTTCATAGTATGACAAGCTAGATCTACCAGAGGACATCTGTATTTAGATCTTACTCAAAAGGTCTAAGAAAGAAAGGTAAGAAAGTGGTTTCCCTTCTGTCTGCTGACTGAGAACACCAAGAGCATCCCCATGTATTTAACAAATTCTCTGCCAGACCATCCTACATGTAGCTAAGGCCCTCTGGAAATGCAAATTTTAGCCCTGACTGCTGACAAATTTCCCACTGGCTTTATGGAAAGTTGCAGAGGTCAGTAATCAGGAATTGGAGGGAAAAACAGAACACTGAGTCTTGAAGCAATAGTTTACACTGAAAGGAAAAGTACCTACTTTAGAGAACTCAAGTTTTTTACTGATTCTGTTCTGAGGAGCAATCCCACCAATTCCTGCTGCTGTTAGGAAAACAGAGTGCTGCAATCAGTTCTTTTAAAGATAGAGAAAGTCAAGTACTGTCAATACAAGGCCCAGCCTTTGACCACAGCCAAGACTGCTCTTAGGGTGGAGGTGGTGAGCTATGATTGGAAAGAGGAAGAACAACCTTTACCTTATTCTTTTCTGGTTGTTGACTTGCCCATCTCAAATTTCAGAATCTGGACTAGAATATAATCTCCAAATTTCAGATTTACTGTGCAGAAATTTAAGGAGTGCAAAAGAGTATTCACTTACTGTCATCAGTAACAGGATTATTGTATCACACCAATGATTTCATATAGCTGGTAATCTGAAGACACCAAAATATATTTCTTACCTCTGGAATTGTTTTGCAATAATCCCACTGTAACAGTTTCAAGTAGCCATTGTTTAGCACCAGTGTAGGACTAATAATTGGTTTTGAACTACTATCAGCACCAGGGGATGATGAAGACTCATCAGAAATAGATGACAATTCATCTTGTATTGATTCCTTTATCCATTCTGTTGTGAGATTCAGGGCACCTAAACATTGCAAATAGCACAGATTTACTGCATGCCTTCATCAAAATGAGCACTACCTTGAGAAAAAAAAATAACATTTGTATACATAAGAGAATTCAACTTCTGAAGACTTTAATATAGTGGACAGCTGAGTCTTCACAAATGGTAGTTCTCTCACTCACTTTTTTCCACCCATCATCTTCCACTGGTCACCAGTAAATTCTACCTGGTTTGTACAAACCCAGCCACAAAGTGTTAAGACTTCAGACAGGATTTTTAAGTAACAGAAGTCTCAAAGTGTGAGTTCCCAAAGGATTGTTTTCCCTTTTTAGGAGAGGCCACTTATTGGATAGGACATAAGACTAAAAAGTAGAGGTGAAGGAAGATTAAAATATTTGATTTGTTCTCATAGAGTTTTTCTCAGGCTGCAGAAATGAAAACTGCAGGCCCTATCAGTGGCTCAGTGCTCCCATTTCAGAAGCCCCTGCTCCAGATGCTAGCACACTTACTTATTCTTCTTGGAGGATATATTTCTGAACACTGTTTAACCAAATCACACAAAACATATAATAGTGGATCAAGTTGACTTTGCATCATCTAAGAAATTTTGGTCAGAGCCTGCTTTTTGTTTATTAAAAAATAGATCTTAGCCCTTCCAGCTTTCAGGCACACTAACTGGTTTTACATGTTTACTTCACACTAACAACAGAACAGTTGCACACAAAAGAGAAAAGTCTCATCTTATGCAGGGCCTCTGCATCCAGACAGCAAGAGTCACCACTTGTTTGTTTTTCAGACACCATCCAATTCGGCAAATATAAGTTTGTCTGAAAGTGCCTCAGATTATAGGCAGACAAACTTGACAGCAAGTTAAGCAATCATCCAGTGATAGCTTCCTTGTCAAAAAAATTTCCCATTACTTACATACAGACAAGAAATTAAAGTTTTCCTCTAGTTAACTGCAACTTGTAGAGTTTTCACAGCATGTATTTAAATAGGCTTCTTTTCAAAGAATAAATTTAAATTTAATATAGCGTGGTACATACTTGGTGTTTCTTCAAGAATTTCCTGGAATTTTGTTCTTTCATAGTCCACCAAATTATGCCAGAGGTACGGTCTAAGGCTTTTAATTGTGTAATTTGCCATATCCACTTTCATCAGGTCCAAAACGTGGAATATTTGTCTGAAAGGAGGAGTTTAAAATTTCACAGTTTAAATTAGTCTATTGATTTTCACCAGCACAAGTGAAGCACATGTACATTATCACTTTAATTTCAATTTTGGAGAAGTGAATGCCTTCACTGGCATTTCAGAGTAATAGACATGTTACCTATCATCTGGAATTCCTGAAGGAGTAGTATATATAAGGCTTGGCCTAAGTTAAAAAGAATAGGACTGACGTAGCATCACTAAATGCAACAGCCCTGTAACTTTTTGAAAAACTACATGAATGGGTATATTTCAGCTTAAATTAACAGATTTTAACTTTTTAGTCACTGACTGCACTAAGAGAAACAATCCTTCTGACCCAATTGTTTTGATCCCCATATATATACACAGTAGAACAACTACCATTTAGTCTTAATATTTCAGCGTACCTCAGGAGCACTGTTTTCTGCCCTGTTATGCAAATATTTTACTCAAGTTCAAGTAATAAGATCTTAACTAAAGAGTTTTTAAATCCAAAGTTTGGCCTTCCAGAAGAAGCATGAAATTAACACTTCAAGAAGAAACAGTACAAGTGTGCTGCCTACATTTTGTAAGAATGAACAAGACAGAAAAAAAGAGTTTCTGAAACAGAGATTATTGCAAGAGTTGTTGGCTTAGAGCTGCCTGGTTTCATCTAGGTATCCTACTCATTTCATTACAAAGTGAGATACACAGTCTGGTCAGTGTGTCAGAGCTCTTCCCCTTTAATGCTTCAGGAAGTTCTCCTATAGTTTGAGAACAGGTGTTATGCAAACTGACACAACTTTAGACTTCCTTTACCCAGCCCCCCGCCTTCCACTGTCTACTACCCTTTCAGAGAGGAGTTTTTTCTCCAAAAACCACACTCAAATACCAACCTCAGTAACTCTACAATATTGTCAGTTGCTTTTAACTGTTTTATGTCATTGTCTCTTATTGGAGCACACAACTTTCCCATAGTGTTGATGACATAATTAGCTAGCCCAGGAATATCAACAGCATTGTGTTCTGCCTGCTGTCTTATAAGATCCGTATCAAGAACTTCACAAATTTGATTGTGAATCCTGTTTGCTCCAGGAGTCAGGAAGGAAAGAAGAATCTAAATTAGAGGGAGGAAAAAAGAAAAAGCTTATCAATAAAGACCAAACCATTTAGTAAGCACACTTGAGTGAAATTTTAATATTCATGTCAAGTGTATATAACTGACAGAATATAACCAGACATTTTAAGACTGAACATTATCAAAGGCTGTGGGGAAAAAAAAAAAAAACCAAACTAGTACAGTTTTGCAAAAATGCTCAAACCAATAAAACAAAAAGCAAGTCAACAACTAGACCCATTCAAAAGCTGGGAGGCTACCCTGTAAAATAAACATTTACTGACTTAAAGTTCTGAAAGACTTAGTATTGTGCCAGGATTGAAGGTCTGTATGCTCACCTGTGCAATAATCAAACAATGAAGTCTAAGTGGGCAGGTGCAATTATGTTTATGCTGCTGTTCATGCCCTAAGCTCACAGTATGGTTCTGCAAACAGGCTAGCAGAGATGTGAAGCTTTGGGAAAAGAGATGACTTGCAACTGATCACCGTGTAGTGAAAGTTGAATGAACATGCCACTGTCTGTTTGTGGCCATATTCCTGGTTAATATAAATATACTACAAACAGACGTCTATTTTCAGTTCTGGATAATCATGGCTTCATATTATAAAAGGAAAACCAGAAGGTGTTGGCTCAGCTAAGTTAAGCAGACCGTTCAGTGAATTCAGGGACTCTTAAAGCTAAGCAAATCAATACAGAGAAGGAAGAACATTACCTCCTTAATTTCCTCAAAGAGCTTGATAGCATGTTTGTATTCTGGAGGATCTTCATTCAGTTCCGATTCCAAATGATCCCAAAACGCCTTGTGTACGATTTGTTTCACTGTGCCTGCAAAGCTGTGGAGTAAGTCAGTTAGATACTGAGAAGACTCCCAACCAGCTTCCATCCTTGTAACTGTTTCAGATGAGACTGATCACTTGCTGGGAAACACACCTCCCCAGATACTACGCCCTGCAACCACATCTTTCTTGGATGGTGGATCATCAGGTCCCAAAACACAGTCTAGATTGCTCCATTCATTTCTCCTCTCTTTCCAACACCAGTGCGGCTTTTTGCAAAATTCAAGCTCTTACCTGTTTTGTGGGTACTCTTCATGTTTTATGCAAAAATTTGCATTTACAGCAATTTCATGAGCTAGAGTCCAGTTTGACAGATTTCTTGTAGCTGCCATCAGTTCATCAAATGTGATAACCTTGGGAGGGCTAGCTGCTGGAACAAACAAGATCAATTCAAGCCATATATCTATAGCTGATAAGTGCAATTGAATATACTAAAACCTAGAAATTTTACTGCTTGCTAACTGGACTCCAGTACTCTGGAAGAAGCAACCCAAGATTACCAAGTCTTTATATCTTCCTAAAACACTAACTCAGGAAACTCCCAGCTTATCAGGGGTGTGTGTGTTTGTGGGGAAATACCAACAAGCCTCAAAACATTTTGAGGAGCATTTTCATATTTCCATGTGTGAACTAAGATATCTTTTTTCCTTTAAAATGGGATCTTGCATTCCACAGATTTTCTACTAACTGTTCTGTCAAAGCCACCCAACCAAAAGCATGGACAGTAAGACATACCAGATGCCTACTATAATTCTGAGCACAAGATGGCTATATTGCTTGTTGAAAAGGTTCTGAAGTTACTGACTTGCAAACCCTTCCCACTTAAGATCAGCAGATCTTCAGTCTGCTGTGGAATTAAGTTATACTCATTTTTTAGGAGTTAGCAGCAATGACAACACAAACTCTACACTGGAAAACAAGAGCAAATTCCCAAAGTTTCCAAATCCTTAAATTCTATAATTTAATTTAGTATTTGGAAGGCTGGTAATAAAGAAAGACAAAGAACCAGCTGCCAACTGCAGCTCCACTAACAAGCTTGTTTTAATGTAATAATTTACATAGATGTAAGAAGTAAGCATGGTCTGCAAATGCTTACAGACACAGAGAAACCACATTATAACCAAGGTTTTATTTACCATTGCTCAAATTATCCTCCTTGTGCAAATGTGTGTTTTCTGTTTGATTCTAGTATTTATGAAAGAAAAATGTGAATTAAAGATTAATTACATGTAACTTGGTATGGTAATACAAATCTGTAAGTTACAGAATTAATTTTTAAATGCAGGGATCAAACAGAAGAAACCCACCCTTTGCACAAAAGCATATCTGGTTGAGTGGGAGGCTGCTACCAATGTCAAGGTTAGGAAGACCATGGTGACACACTTTTCTTACACTTTCTGAAGGGAAGGAGTGCACAGGAAGACCCCCATGGATACAGCTGCTGCTGGTGTTCCACACACAGGAGATGCACTGCTTCACAGCAGAGAGAAAGCCATGCCTCTCTGTTAATACTCTTAAACAGATTCAGAATCCCAGGTTCTACCCATAACAGCAAAGAGAAACAAGGTAAGTTAGCCTTATTGGTCCATGCACAATGCAGGTAAGGCTGAAATAGGCTTACATGCTGGGGAGCTGGGTTTGCTTGAAGAATCACTGTTAAAACTCTGCCTGGAATATTCTGAGTCACTGGAAGAAGCTGTGCTTTCCGAGAGCCGTGAAGAATCTGAGTCACTGTTCTGGTCATCATTGAGAGGCATTCTGATTCCCTTTACCTTGTTTACACAGTAAACAAGACCTGGAAAGACAAACACAATTCCTATAAAACCAGCACTTACTTTTGTTTGTTTCTCGAAGTCAGCTACTGATAATTATATTGTGAATGAAGAGCAAGTAGTTGCCTTTCCTAAACAGGAAAAGCAAAGGAAAGGATTTGGCTTGACACACAGAATCATATAGTTATCAACAACTACTACCTGTTCTGTAAGAAAGCTTTGTACCTTCAGCTGTTTCATACCTTAATGATTCTGTGGGAGACAGTCCCTAAATTTGGGACGTTTTAAAAAATGAAAGACTACCCACAGGAACCCCTGAAGCTACTTGTTGCAAGAATTGTGGTAGTTTTCAATGTCCATAAAGGCATTTCGTGATGCCACCATCCCCCACCTGACCTGACGAAGAAGTGGTGTTTAGCAATGAGTTTCCTTCCACAAACAGGCTGCACCAAGTGTAACAACTGCGAAGCAAACAAAAGTTGCAGGGGGAGAACAAGCAAGTAATTTAGAATATTACATTTCTGACAAGGTGTAGCTGAAAGTCTGGCCTTTAGGTAGGTCTGTGCTCAGAATCAGATTAACAATGGCACAGACCCAAAAACCAGTCCTCCTAGGGGTGAAGGTAGGTGGATAGGTTTCCTGGTTTAAGTCAAATGGCGACTCTGAGCCTCTAACATTCTATTTAGCAGAGACAACAACCTCCACTGACAAGTGTTGTGCTTCATAGTGTTTGTCTATGTAAAGAAACTGCCTCCCAGGCAGATAATCTGCAATTGCAGAAAATGTGGACAGCCGCACAGTGTGATACAGATGATTAACAACTGCATGACAGGAAGTGAAAAATATGTTCATAGTAATAATATTAAAATGAGAACCTGGAAGTCCACTGTAATTACTACCAAAGGAATTTGGCCCAGATACCAAAAGTAGCTGTCCATCTCTGATTATGGCCATGAAGCATTCTGTAGTGGACTTCATGAAGTGACATAGGCAGCAATGGTTTCCATGAGCAAATTTAACTAATATATAACTTCATTTATTATTAAATCACACCAACTTGAGTAGGCAGGGAATACCACACTTTGCAACTGCTGAATTTGGAAAAAAGAACTTTGAGCAATAAAAGGATGATCTTTGTCTGTACTAATGTGAATCAACATACTGTGGAGTCCTGGGATAGACAAAAGGTAGTGAAAATTAAGATTTCTTTATACTGGCACCTAGCTACTGCTTAAAGCATTTGACTTTTTGGGTACCAACTCATCCTGAATAGGCCTTCATAACTTGATGAGCTACTACACTGGTGAGTACTCCCCCGTAATTGAGATGATTAACATTTCTTAAGTGTGTGTTTACTCTTCCTCCTCTCCCAAGAGGAAAGAGGATGCACTTGAGCATCTTATTGATGTCATACTTTACACTGTTTTTTTTTTGTGAAAAGAATTGGTCACATTAGTAAGAACACAGCTAACAGTTTATCAGTGTACTAGAGGAGCCAGTAAGAGACACTTGACTAGAACACAGAGGACACGCATTCAAAACTTGCGACTTTACCCATGATCCTAAGCATCATAACTCTTATTAGACCAGCAATTTTATCACTTCTAACAAGCAAATATTTAAAACAGTATTGGCTAAACAAGACAGAGTTGCAAGAGAACCTAAAAAAACACTAAACACAGGTATTTTGGCTTGGAAATTGTATTTAAGTTACAATTAGACATGGGTCACTAGTTAATGCTAGACTAGAGAAGAAACAAACTATTTCTTCAATTAAAATCTGTGTTACAGATCTCAAAGTTAGTGATGATCAGAAACTAGTTGTCACAAACTAGGTATAGAACATACTTGAGGTTCTTCATGTTGAACTGCTCACTTAAATACAGCAACACTGTACAGACCCTGCAAAGTTTTTATTACCCTCCAACTAATTTTTTTAATCAATATAAGAATACTGTATTTCCAGACTTTAGTCTTGTGTAACACCCCTTTATTTCCATACAAATAACTAACCTCCAAAAGATTAATGTTGCAGGACGTGGTCCATCAAAAGATTTGATTAATGCTGTTCACAGTGTAGTGGCCCAAAGTCTTGCCAATCGTTTGCCGAGTGTGAGCAATTCACGGTGTGTCTACTGCTTCAGTTCAGGTGTTAACAACATGGAAGAAGGTAAATGACCATTAAAATCCCAGACACTGTCACACAATTTACACATTATCATTTCATGAACTTCCTCTTACCTCTAGGTATGACAATGTTAATAAAAATTCAACTTTGCAAAGTCCTTCTGAGAGAAGCACTAAACCAGCCATGAAGGCGAGTCAGCACTGCCATTTTCCACCCCATCTTGATTTCCAAGAAGTGGTTAAGGTAGAATTAGAAGTCTATATACATTAAGTTCTTAAGCACTAGTCCCAGCAAAGGATCAATGTAAATTGTTGCATTTCAAAGATGCACATGCATTTTGATATATCAAGACCATACCTGCTCCTACAATACATGCACACATACAGACAGCAGAGCTGTCAGCAGAGTGCTTCAGAAGGCTTAATTTAAGTAAGAAGTTTCAACACTGCAACAGGAGGTGACACACACAAAAAAAACACTGCAATCTTTTGCCACACTAAATACATTTCCTAGTAGAATGCTTCAAGCACAATAGGAAGTAAGAATGAGTGTACTCTGCAGATTGAGAACATTACTGCTAAATTCTACGTTTAAAAGATAAACACATCAAACTAAACATACGTGAATATACAAGCAGAACCTGCAGGGGCCATCTAAAACACTTACGCAAAAATACAGTCACTGAGCCTATGAAAGGTAAGTACAAACCAAAAATGACATTTCTAATTAGTTACAACAATAGACAACTGAGTCCCTTAGTCTTTGCTTTATAGCATACACTGGAAGAGCTGATTTTCCTTACATTTTTGTAGATAGCACAGTTCTCATTAATAACTAATGGCCAAGTTAATTTAGAACTTTAAATTAGTATAAAAATATGTCAAAAAGCCCTTCAGCCTTGCAAGATCACTTTGTAACTCACCATCTTGGATAAACAATACCTTTTTTAAAATTTACTTATTAATTATTACATATTGGGCTGTACATATTAATATCCCAACCATTCTATTAAAGGGTCAGCCTGAGGTTACAACCTGCTTTACTTTGCTGCATTAAAGACTACCCATATTTACATTTATATTAGGTTGGACACCATCACAGAGGGCTTCATCACACCATTTGCTTTCTTTCAATCAATACCATACTGTAGGGTTTTTTAAGGACAAACTCTTTGGAAGACCAAGCTAAAAGTATCTTCTATATACACCAACCCCAAGATTCCAACTAATTTAACAACGAAGAAATAAATTCTCACATTTCTCCTATTTAGACAGGTGAGGATTATTCTTTTTAGTAAAAAGAAAATCAATACAAAAATGTAGATGCTTAAAGGCATCTTGTTCTTAACTGGTTACTGCATCACCCAACTCAATTCTTCATTTAGAACTTATCAAGACTGCAAGATCAGGTTAGTTTTAGAAGACACACCAAAACATTTTATTTCTGTAGGTTTGCTTTAGAAGTTATTTTACGAAGCACCTAGGGGGAGGAGGGAGGAAGACAGTTTCACAGTTGGGTATTTTCTTCAGATACCATCTCCAAGCAAAGGTTTTCCACAGCCCTGCTTTGTTCAAAGGAAGTGTGCATGGACACAGAGACTTATGAGTGCTCTGTCCAGTTTTACCACTATGAAAGTCTTAACTCTGTTTATTCTGCTGGGTTCACATTCTTACTGTCTTCAAGCTGGCACCGACTGAATCTCATTTGGTCTCGAGTTTCCCTTTCACTGACTCCACCTCTGTCAGCACTCACGACATGAGAACAGAAAAGAGCCTTTGTTAAGAGTTACTTGTATTTCCTCCCGCCTCATTTTTCACAGCTCACAGCCGACTTTTCTTCCCTTTAGCTTTCTAATTCCACACTCTCTTGGAAGAGACACTTCTCTTCGTGAAGGCTTAAAAAACTGTCTTGGCGAGAGTGAGATGCGGCCGAGCGCCCCGAGCGCTGCCCGCGGGAGTGACCTCCGCCCGGACAGGTCGGTGATGGGAGCAGGGGCCGCGGCCCCGAGGGGAGCCCGGGGACGTCCTGCCCGCTGCCCTCCCCCGCGGGGGGAGCGACACCGAGGGGAGCAGGCGGCTCCTCCTCTTCCTCCATCTGTTTCGCTGCCTGTCTCCTCCCCCGGCCCCATGTTTTTAACACTTAGCAAAGGCAGGAGTTTGGCACCTTCCGACCAAAACAAACAGCGTTTCCAAGGACAGGCCCGGGGGGAGGGAGTCCGGGCAAGAAGCAAGGAGGGAACACTCTCTGTCAGCCCCAGAGAAGGCGAGCCGGGACACCCGCCCCTAAGCGCCCCAGCCCCCATTCCCCGGGGAGGTCTCGGGGTGCCCCTGCCCTGCTGACCGGGGCTGCAGGGGGGGACCCTGCGGCTGCGCTCGTCGGGGCGGATCGTCCCGCCGGACACTAAGGGATGGCGAAAGCCCTGGAGACACGGGGCAGGGAGAGAACTACGGACCCAGTGCAGGAACTGCGAAGCCCACCTGCTGCAGCGGGTACCCCACCGGGGCAGCAGAGTGACGGGCCAGTCCACCACCTCCCTGCCACCCACACCGCACAGGAGGGTGGCAGCTCCCGAGCCAGCACTGTCCCGGACTCACCCCGCGACTCATCGCCCTGCGTGCCCGGACACCCCGCCGCGTGTCAGCTCCGCTGGCCGGCGGGAGCAGCCCTACCCTGCCCTGCTGTCCCCAGCCGGTCACTCACCGCTGACCCCCGCCGTCCTACGCAGCGCTCGCCGGGGCCGCACACATTCACCCCCCTCAGATTTAAAGACCCAGCCCGGACTATTAGTGTCTTCCTCGGGCACGTCCATCTCTGATGGTGGAAGCGGGGAGGTGCGTCATCTTTTCCTGCCTGTCAGCGGCGAGTTATCCGAGGCGCTTGGGCCTGCCTCCGCTTATGCCAGTAGAAACTGTCTGCATCTCCTCAGTCAGCCTCCGACCGGGCAAGAAGCCTGGAGAAATATGCGGGGACACGGGAAGAGGTTTCGGTGGACTCCCCCGCGCTGGCACTGGGCCGTGCCGGCGTGCGGGGGGTAGGCCGGGGGATGGGCCGGGTGGTGTTTACGGAAGGGCCCCGTCCGTCCGGGCCGGCGCCGCCCCGGCCCCGCCCCCGGGATGGGAACACCGACCCCACGGAGCCTGAGCGGGGGGGGAAAGGGGCTGTGCTGCGCAGGGGACGGGGCAGCGCCCGAGGCCGTGTGTGCCTGCCTTTGTGCACTGCGCTGCAAAGGGAGCTATAACTACGTTCCTGCCCTGGTTTCCTTACCCTGTATATGGGGGGGCGGGTAGTGTGGTTCCCCTCCACGCGCCATCTTGGCTCCCCACTGCCACCCCCGCCACCGCAGCTTCAGGGGAGCCGCTCGGCCCGTGCTGAGTTTAGTCACCCGCCCAGCTCACGGCTGTGGTGTCCGGAGCCTGCTGAGCGCCCACTGAGGAACGCAGCACGGGGCAGTGCAGCATTATCATTATAAATGCTTTGCTGATGGCTGTATTGACCTCATGCCCTGGCAGCTTCACGCACCCACGGGGCCAGCAGTACCTGTCAGGGTCATCACCTCTTCCTGTCACAGAAGCTACGTGCCACCACTGCCTCACCCACCAGGAAGCACGGAGGGCAAAACACCGGCAATCGTCTCTGAGGCAAGAGCTCACTAACACGCCAGCCTTGGCCGTCATGAAGGCAGAGCTCCCCTTCCTGCAGATAACCTTCAGCACACGTGGTGAACTACACGGAACAGATGTTGTATTCGGGTAGACCAAAGCACACTCACTGTAGGTCCCATTAACCTCTACTATAAATCAAGGGCTCGAAGCAGGGAACAGTTTGGCTACACAAGTGCCAAGTGCCCGGCTGGATAGGGAGCACTTGCTTGCAGCGATGCAGAGCACCTGTCAGCCCAGCCTTCAGAGCCATTAAATGGGATTAAGTCCAACAGCCTAATCCGATAGCTTCTATAAAGAAGACGATGTTTAAATAACGATATTTGCACTACTTTGCTCCACTTTGTGCATGTCACATGGCAATGACAGTCTGAAAGAGGTTCGAAAGGGCTTTGGAGAAGACTGTAATAATATACAGATGGGCTACTTTGTACAGAACTGTTATGACTTCCAATGACATAATTCATTATTATTTTTACATCAATTTTGGCTTAGACGCCATCTGAAATATGGGGAAAACATGAATTTTTGCTGTGATGGCTGCTGACACCTTTTATTAATTAACCAGCTAAAACTGCACAAAGAGTACTTTGAAAAACACCAGGGACAGTGTTTCAGGCTCCATTTTGTGTCTCTGTGGACTTGTGGAAACCTGTGCTGCTCAGTGACCTAGCTTGCACAGGGAGGGAAAGGGGCCAGCCTCACCGAGTGAAGTAGCTCCTAAATACTGATATGAAAGATAACTTCAGGGGGGAAAGTATCTCAGCCTAAAAGTACGTCCACCTAAATCATGGAGTAAGAGATGGGATTCCAGAAAGGGATGGCTTTAAAACATTTTTTTTTCCAGCTATAGCAGTGTCATTCTCTCACAAACCCACCAGCTGTTTTGGAGCCCATTCTTAAGTGCACAGTTTGCTCTATCTATCTGTCTATCTTATCTATTCTGTCTATCTATCTATCTACCATATCAGAGATGTACATCTGTCATATATAGCTGAGGCACCAAAGACATGCTTTGAGATTCCGGTAAAAAGCCAAGAATAAGTTAGACACTGCAGTACTCAGCACTTCCTCTTCTTTTTGGTTTCATTTCTTTCCTGATCCAGAGGCACTGAAGCTATAGGCCACTATATGGATCTTGAAGTAGATTACCTGCTGGAGAGATTTTCTCCACAGAGAAATGACACTCTTTTCTCACTTTCTGGTGTCCCCAGTGTCAGCCAGAAAAATAATTGTGCAGCCTTTAAATTTCTACTGCTCAATTAACAAGAACAATGTCCTTGTGTCTTATATAGCACATGCATGTTGTGTCCTGGATTTGGCTGGGATAGAGTTAATTTTCTTCCTAGTAGCTGGCAAGGGGTTGTGTTTTGGATTTGTTTTGAAAACCATGTTGATAACACAGGGATGCTTTAGTTACTGGTGAGCAGTGCTTACACTGAATAAAAGCCTTTTCTGCCTCTCACCCCACCTCAGCAGCCAGGAGGAAGGTGCACAAGAAGTTGGGAGAGGACATAGCCAGGACAGATGACCCCACTGATTCAAGGAATATTCCATACCATAAGGCATCATGGTCAGCAATAAAACTACGGGAAGGTTGGTGCAGGGGCACAGCTTGGGGACTGGCTGGCCATCAGTCAGTTGCTGGTGAGAAATTGTTTTCATATGCTTCACTTGTCTTTCTTGGCTTTTATTTACCCCTTTGTTATTTTCATTTTGATTACAATTTAATATTATTTTAATTTTTTAATGTAATAAACTTATTTAATCTCAACCCACAAGTTTTCTCACTTTTACCCTTCTGATTCTCCCTCTCATCCCACTGGGGACATGTGGGTTGAGAGAGAGTAACTGTGGTGCTTATTTCCTGGATGGAGTTAAACCACACAAAGGTACACATTTGGAATTTTGGCTAGTGTCTCAGGTTGACTTTAACTCTTGGCCTTTCACTACAGAAACACTGTTAATTGAAATGAAGGACTATTTTGTGCTCACTCTTTGCAGCAAGTTGGCTCATAACCTTCCTTACTGTTACCAGTAAAACTAGCAAAGACAGTAAAGCCTATAATTAATGCTCTGCTTTATCCAGCAAACAGCAAGGCAGCTACTGAGTGGATAAGATGTGCAGCTGCGTTTGGACCCATGGGTCAGAAATGTCCCAGTAAGTGGCTAACTCATGGTTAGCGTGGGAGGAGAGGGAAAGGGCAAGGCATGCTATAGTTTGTGCCAAGGCCCATGACAACTAAGTTGAGAACATAACTTAAAGTCACAAGACATTTTTCCCTAATCCTAATAACTGAGCCAGGCAGATTGGCTTTAGTGCTAACAGATGGATGTTAAGACTCTGGGTTGACTGAGATCATCAGGCCCAGATTTGATAATAGGCTCAACATCAAGACAGAAAGACTACAAGGCGTAAGCATGCTTTCTCAGCTTGTTCTTCTGTGGAGTTTTCCTCTATTCCAAGGAGAAATGTCTTGTGAGAGGCAAATAGGGTGCTACTTCTCTCCGTTGAAGTATTTGTCTTCAAATTCAAAGGCAAAGCAGAATATTGACGCTTCTGAGAGAAAATGGTACATCAGTAGCTTCCCCAAACACACCAGTCTGCAATTGTATGTCTAGCAATTTTACCAACTCGGCAAATTCCTAATGCATACTCCCCTCAGCACTAGTAATTGGCCTTTCTGTACAAAGGAAATAATAGTTTGACCCACAGCGTCAAATACAACAAAAAGCTATTTGTAGAGTGGTACTCTTGGTCAGAAACAGCTTGAATTGGTTCCATGGTGAGAAAAATCTTTAGGTAGTACATTGCTAACATTTTCCTTGTCACTACCAAGCAAGAGAAGGAGAAATAGTGACAGTTACCTATGCTACCTTACTCCCTGAAACAGATTTACATCCTTAATACTTAACATTGATGTTCCTCTTGATTATTCTCTCTGGTGAAGTCCATATGGCTCAGTTCTTACGGTAAACTCAAATAAGTGGCTTCAGAGCTAAAATCCTGGGGTTTAGGGTACTGCTACAAATCCTAGCTTTTCTAGGCCCTTCCTAAATAGAAATCTGATATCCTCTTCTCATAAAGTGTGAGAGAACTAAGGCTGTGGCTAGATGTTCATGGTGGAAACTGCTGATGTAGCTTTCCCAGGGTGCTTTGTTTGCTGCTGAAGATTTCTACTCTCATTGTATTGAGGAAGACAGATTATTCAGAGGGTTCCTCACCTGCTTTAGTGCAAGCCTCCTCATACCAGCTTCAGCCACCTCTGGTATATAATTTAAGACAACCTCCTGACCCCGTGCAAGCTCTCTGTTACTTGTTAGGGTCAGGGCAGTATCTTCTGTTGTGGTGCTCATAACTTGCAGTCGCACCAACATCCTCTCAGGTCTGTGCATTTGACGGAATTGTGTTAACAAAATGCTTGAGACAATTCACTATAAATTCTCCTCTTATTACCCATTCTAGTAGTTACTAGAACATTATCTATAGACTAAACAGTTCAGTTCATCCTAAGCCTTGGCAGAGATGGAATTGTATTTGACAGGTTGATGTCAGGGGCTGTGATCCAGCTGACTTTACAATTCACTGTTTCTACATAATACTCAACATAAATTTTTTTTTTAAAATGTATATATATGTAAAGGAAGAATATACTGTAATCAAAGGAAAGACCAAGAAAAGAAAACGTCTTCCAAGACAAAGTTTGATTTAATTTCTTGCTGTAATCAAATAGAGAAACAGATACATTCAGTGCCTCAAGCTCCAGCTGGAGGCTGTGGCACAGGGGAAGGCCTGCTCAGCCTTTCCTTTCCTGTCCTGTGCCGGGACTCGCTCCGGGGGGAAGATGAAGGCAGCAGGCTCGTGTTGGCGTGGGGAAGCAAAGAAGCATGCTCGGAGCAGAACAGCTTTGCAGGCAGACTCGGTGCTGAGCTCTCGGTCTGTCCATCTCGGACAAAGCTGTCCGTGACCTGAGAGGGGCTTGCCTGGGGCCTGGAGCGCTCCTGCCAGCCAGGGCAGCAGCTCTTGGGTCCCCAGGGGACCACCAGCCCGATGCCAAGTCTAAGCTCTACAGACACTAGAAATGGGCTGGGGAGAGGGGTTGCAGATGGAGAAAATAACTCTCTCTCCACGCCTTTCTCTCAGTCATTCCGGAGCTTGCTGAGGTATTCCAGCCAAAAACCAACCAAGCCAAACAGAAGTTGCGTGAGGCACAATTCCGCCGCGTTCTACCACCAAAACTACGAGCGTGGCCAAAAACTGTCAGAAGGACCGGTCTGGGTTGGGGGACACCCGGCGCGGGGGGCTGCGAGGGGGAGAGCGCTCCCCGCGCTCCCTCGGCGCCACAGCGGGTCGGGACGGGATGTGTCACCGCGGGGCTGGGCCGGGGCTTCCTCTCCGCCCCGCCCTTCGCTTCCCGGTCCCATTGCTCCCCTGGGGATGGGGCTGGGCCCTGTACGCCACGTCTGCCCCCCGGCAGGGACGGAGCCCATCCCCGTGTGCGTGGCGGCTTCCCGGGGCGGGGGCCGGGGCGGGGCGGGGAGAGTGGCGCGGCCCGGGCCGGCGCCTCCGCCTTCCCTCCATCCTCCCTCCCTCTCTCCCTCGCCCACTCCCGCTGCTCCCGCTCCGTGTACGACGGCGGCGGCGGCGTCCCGCTATGTCGGCCGCCAAGCACCGGGGCTCTAAGGGGGGCAGCCCGCCCGCCGCCAACGAGAAGAGCGCGCAGCTCGGCGGCGGCGACGAGCCGCCGGCGAAGAAGCAGGCGGCGGCGGGGCACGGCCGGGGCGGCAGGGCCGGCGGGGGGGGCCGCTCTGGCGCCGGTCCCCGCCGCGGCTGGGCGATGCTGCTGGGAGCCGCGGTGGTGCTGGGCGCCGCGCT